GTGTATTGCCGCGTAGCTGAAGGAGCTGTGGCTGATAGTGAGGGATTTTGGGTAAACAGCGAAAACACATAGCAGAGCAGATAAAAATATCAAAAACTTTAAAACCTTTCAAAAGATCCTAGAACTTCAGTTTCAAGATTTCAACAATTTTGATCCCTTTCACATCGAAGTACCGCGAAGATTGTTCAATTCGAAGCAGGCATTTCGCAACTAGACGCGACGCAAGCGCGACGCGTGAAAGTCAGTCCCCTCAGCGCCGCGTTTGCAAAATCTAAAAACCGCTTCCGGAGTCAAAGGTAGGAGCCCAGAGCTTTGGGAGCTAGCGCGACGCCGACGCAACGCGCCACTTCGGTTCCACTCCCTTTAGAAACTTTTTGCAGTCCGGATGAAAGCGGAGAACGAACTCAACTCCAAGCTCACATTTTCGAATTTCCGTCCGTGAGCTAGAGCTTCAAAACCTAGGCTGGGATCTGGGAGCTGTGGGCTTTCACGACGCAGCGCTTGGGAACCCAGCAAGCTCCTAGCGTTCAGAAATTGAGATTGTTTTAAAAGCGCTCCTATCGACACTACAAATTCGTTTTCCACCCATTTTTGCCGCTTCGATTTTCCTCCGATTTCTGACCGCCTAGCCCTTCCGGTTCCCACGATCAAACCACATCCAACATTGCTATTTTTACAGAACACTAAACTCCGCGTATTTCGTAGCCAATCAGAGCCCTGATTTTGTGTGGTGATGTAATTTGTAAGCCAGCCGGCTGTGAGGCTGGCCAGATTCCAATGATGCTTCTGGTGGCACGCCGGCTCCAAAATACCTGTCAATCATCGCGTCCAAACTACCCGGAACCGTGTGTCGTGTCGTTTCGTGGCGTGTGCGTGCGCGTGGGTGGTCTGATTTTGGGGGGGTAAAGCTAGATTTAGATATTTGAAAAGCATAAAATTCTAATATTTTTAAGAAAAAGCTAATTTTTCATCTAGCTAAACGGTAACAGGCTCGCTTCCCAACCACAAGGCCAGGGTTCAAACCCTACCCGCTGCAAACGATTTTGCTTTTTGTCCCAGAGTGGGAGGATGCCTTGGAAAAGTCTGAAGCAGCTTAAACATTGACTAACCCCTAAAAATTAGCTTTATCACGCGCTATGTTGACCTTAACCAGTTCCCGGGCGCCAAGATCAACACGTGCACACCTTGGCAAACAGCATCACACACACGAGTTGAGGAGGGCCAGTTGTGAAAACCTTTTTCGGTTTCTGGAAAACGCCAAGAAATCGGGGCAGCGGCGACGGGAAGAGGGACACGAAAAGAGAGCCAGCTGACCCCCGGGCCGGGAACACAGTCTCCAATGTTTTTGACCACATGATCCTCCACACGAGGATTCGACGGCACAAACCGGGAGAAGAAGAAGGAGGAGTGGGTAAGAGGGCGATGTGGATCGGCCAACAGGGCAGTTGGGGTATTTCGGTCCCCCGGGGACTGTCAGGTTTCCAGAGTAATGTTTTTGGACCTTGGCCAAAACGATGGGTTTCGGTGGGATTCTCTGGAAAAGGCTGAAGTCTAATGAACCTTGATCTAACGAATCTAATGATTCCATAATGAACCCAATTTTCCCCAAATGGTCACCGCTATACAGCGCTACTTCTCCGGCTGATCATCGAACTATTCCCCCCCTTCAACATTCCACCACTTTCATATTTGCACATCCCCACGGCTTTTCACACTGCACGATCCGTCAATCCTCTGATGCAACCCGCTTCCCAATGAGGGCAATAATGAAAAGACGGCCATTCAGATGAGTTGGCCGGCTCGAAGCTGCTGACGAAATGAGGGCCCATTTGCACTGCGGCCCTCCATTTTGCAAGCAACCTTTTTTGGGGTGTGTGCCCTGGTCATCGAGTGGCTCGTGGAAATTGGGGGTTCCGGAATTGGGGAACGTGAAAGTGTTTCAAATGGCACTACGTTGTTCTAATTAGCTAAAAGAAAAGCTGTAAAAAACTCACTTCCTAGTTAAGTTAAAATGTAAACCTGCTAAAATTCGCCTGATTGACGATTGTCGTCAGCTCTAATTAGTGAAAGCACCCAAAAAAAGTATTTCCGATCAGGCGCCATGTCGAAGGTGTCGCGACGCGTCATAATCGATTAGGAAGCGCTTGAACCTAAAAATGAGCAGGGATTCCCGGGGAAACAATAAAATGAAATCAGATAAAATAGCTTGATTGAAATCTGCCGTCACCCCAATTTAGTGAAACGATATTAAAAGTATTTCCGATCAGGCGCCACGCTATACTTTATTCAAATCGATTAGGCAGTGCCTAAAATTGCTTTGTCTAAAGACGAACAGCGATTCTTGGGGAAAAGATCTCCCTGACAACCCAAGATCGACCCCAGAGATTGGCCTGAAAACAGCGAAGAAACTCATATTTCAACCCATCACTGCGTCACAACCCCTTTGTCCAAAACGGAAACCCTCGCCCATCAAAATCTCGCCTCACCATTCCTCGAAACAGCGTATGGCCTCTCGACTGCCTAAACGGAGAGTTTTCCCCCAGATAAAATGTGGCCGTGGGGGAGAGATGAAGCCGATTGTCTGCTGCTGCTGCTGCCAGAGCGCCCCATTCCCTTTAAGCCCTTTAGATGAAAGGGAAAATGGTCGAGAAAGCATGCCTGGCTGCTCACTTTTTGTGCGAGGAGGGGAGCCCGAGGGGGGATGGAGGGGAGACAGAACTGCAAAAGAAACACGCACAGGTAATAGCTGCAGCGAGCAGGTCAAATTGGGGATGGGAGGTTTGGGGCGAGGGACGGGCATTAAGTTAACTAGCGCGGATTTCCACAACGGCGGATGTGGCACAGGTCGCGCAATAGCAAGCAACCGTTCAAAACCGAATTCCATGTCGTAATTCAAGGTTTTCTTTTCGTAAAACTCAAAGGAATGTTTACAAAAGAAATATTTATCGAAACAGAACAACAAAAACTATAAATGTTTGGTAGAAACGAACAATAACAACTTTTTCATCCATTTTCAACGTGTGTCACCTCTGCGGCTTTCTTCTTCATACATGATTAGCGGTTCTGTAGATTAATTGTTTGGAGCACGTTTGAAAATGCCTAATGCTCACTTTTAATGTCTCGTAAGCAGCTGGCTTGTCCATCACTTGCTTGTGACTATACACCCTTATCATACCACTTTGCGCAGGCATCCTTACCAGCACGATGGATTATCTTTGCCGGAGACGTAGAAGATGCAAGTGAGGTGGATGGATTTGCCTGCAATATGAATCAATACTCCACTCTGAAAAGCCTCCGTGAGCATGAGAGGAAGAAGCATGTTGAGTCGTCGAGCCATCTAGCCCTCGACTATGCGGTCGGAATGTGACGCTGGTTTCTATACGACGACAAAAAGCTGTTGAGCACTTTTGATTCCAGTCAACGAAGTATAAAGTGTAAATCATTATCACCCAATGCTTATTAATGCTTAGGCTTAGGCAATACTCAATGCTTTTTAATGCTCCTCAGGCAACACCGACAAGGTCCAGGCTCTAAAAGAATATCTGTCGAATCCGATAAAAGAATTTCCGACTGAAGAGAAGCACGAAAAGCTCGCAAAAATTGCCAAGTCCAAAAATACCCCACTCAGAAAATTATCGACTCGAAAGTAAAAAGGCACGAAATGGCAGGAAAGAGCACAGAAGATAGCCGCGGAGGTGAATCCCGTTGAAAATGGATGAAAAAGTTGTTATTGTTCGTTTCTACCAAACATTTATAGTTTTTGTTGTTCTGTTTCGATAAATATTTCTTTTGTAAACATTCCTTTGAGTTTTACGAAAAGAAAACCTTGAATTACGACATGGAATTCGGTTTTGAACGGTTGCTTGCTATTGCGCGACCTGTGCCACATCCGCCGTTGTGGAAATCCGCGCTAGTATTAAGTTACTGCAACTTTATAACAAACTTTTTAGTACCTCCCACGAAAGTTCCTCATCAAAAACCTGCTACAAATCATACATCTTTCATAACAATTATCCACCCAGTGTCCATCGACGAACAGGCATACACGTGTCTGAAAAGGGCATATGAGCCGATGGTCGCTGCTGGCCGACGACTTTCAATAGCCCACCGCTCCATATACACAACCACGCAAAATATTTGTTTCTATTATGTTCTAGGGGCTGCCATGCTTCAACGCCAATATATTTTTGGCCATGTGACGGGCGCCTATTCTCATTGCAAAAAGTTCTGGAAAGCCAGGAATTGTTTCGAAATAGGCTCCAGTCACAAGGACTAGGCAATTCCGTGGCTTACTAGTCAAATTTAAATCATAACAGTCTGTGGGCATATCTTTAAATACTCCACGTCGGGCATAACCTTTTGCCACTTTTAATACCACGTCCAACCACCCCCGCTTTCGTATAGGCCACAAAAACGCAACCCCAAGAAGCGCCTCGGGAATTTGTATAATTAATCCCGGGCGCGTGCCCCAGAGACACGCGACTACATTCTCCCTACTGCACGTAAGCAATTTGCATATCTTCGCCTTCGTTGGCCCCGGGATGGGCGGACGAAGTCCGGCCTTTGTCTGCTACACTTCCAGAAAGCGATGCAGAACCCGGGCCCGATTCTAAATAAAGGGATACAAAAACACATACACAGACCGACAACGAATGAGGCGTCCTGCAAAAAAACAATAGCCTTATTGTTCCGGAATTCGCGAGACGCCTGTGAAATTTGCGCATCTGCGAACGCGGAAATTCATTGTTTTTGGGGAAGCCAGAGGGATGCGAGACAACCGACAGATAGAAGAACAAACACACAACCGTATTGTCTATGCATTTAGCATCTGCCGACAAGTGCCCGCCATCGAGGAATCGCGGGAAGGGCTGGAAATTCTAACCCGGAAGCCGCCGATTGACAATCAGGCACTTTCAAAACGTGATTTACGTGTACAACAATTATTTATTCTCAGAGGAAAAAGAAGACGTGCTTTAAAGAAATTGGGCGCTTACAAATCACAAAAACAAATGGTCAAAATATTTAGAGGTCGCGGTCTCGTTCTTGCGCGCGTTGAGGAGCCGTTGGCCGACGGGGCCACTGAATTTTGGTACCAAAAATAATCGGTACGACTCACGCCAAAACATCGTAGATCAAGGCATGACACTTGTCCGTCTCAGACACTTCTTCAGCATCTGAGAATGTCGAGATTTCCGGAGAAGTCTCTTCGGGATGAGAGTTCTCGTTCATCCATTCGGAGCTGCTGTCGCCGAGGTCAACTTGCCATTCATTGTTGCCGACCTCCAAAAAAAAAGTAAAGTACCAAAGGGCTGAAAAAAGCCATACCAGCGTGGCAATGATTTCGTCAATGTTGGGTCGTTGGGTTGGTGACCATGGGACCCAAAAGTCATGGCTCGCCTCGAAATTCTCTTGCCTAAAAACCACGATATATGTCTTCAAAGCACTCCTACATTTTCTCGATGTTATTCTTAGCATATAGAAGCTCAGAGGCCAGATACGGGGCTATTCCATCGCTGCCCGGCACCAAAAGATCGACCACCGGGGCACGTTCACCAGGACGCTATGGAAAACGTGTCAAGAAATCTACGACCAACGAACCGGGTTGCACTGGACCAAGACTGGCCAAACCTCGCGTCCGGCCACGTCCGTGGCAATGCCGCTTTGCAAGAAGCGACGTGCCGTTCCGATCGAGCCCTATAACCGGGGTTACCGTGATTGCGAATAACTAACCGGTGCGAAGTTGCAGAGACCACGCAGGAGCGTTAGGTGAAGGCTAGTGGCCATTTGCTCGACACTAAGAACCGATGGCAGCCTGTGTAGAGTGGCGACTGGGACCAACTATCGACAAATAAATCCAGAATTGAATCCTGAGAAACCTGCAACACAGCATCTGTGACCTTCTCGGTGGCATCAAGAGGACAGATCAATGCCTAAATGGGGGGTTTGGATAGTAAACTGAAAGTACCTTATCCTCGCCCTGGCATGCGAGCAGCAAGACTCTTTTATAAAGGCCTTGATCGTCCCTGTACAATGCCGTCTTCCCGTAGCCAATATCGCGAAGTGGGCGCAGTTTTGTGGAGGCCATCGTGCTGTAAGAATGTAAGCAAAAATTAGAGGCATACGCTTTGACGTGTTCGCGAATGCTCTTGGCTTTGTCCGAGTCCAGTCTGCCCATGATTAGCATGTAAGAGTTGAGGATAAAAGTTATGGGAGTGGCCTAAATTGAATAGTTCAAAAAAAATGTCAAATATCATAACCCTCTCAGGAAGCGATGTTGATACGAATTGCTCAAGGTCTTTGAAGTGGGCGTAGTTCTCCTCGCGGAAAACGTGCGTTTCAGCATCGTATTGGCCCAATGGACGGCGAAGCAGCTTGTTTCCTGAACAATGCGAGAAATAAAGATTGTTTCTCAAAGAAACAAACCTTGGAGGTACAAAGCATCATTATTGAAACTGATGAGAGACAGTAGGTCTCGGTCGCTCAAGTCCACAATAACCTCCTCGCCTTTCAAAGCCAACTTGAGCTGATTTTCCTTCCTCTTCATGCGCATCTAAAAACGGAATGAAAAAGACCTTATAAACTTGCCGCCATTAGTAGTGCTACTTGAGCCGATTTCTCCGGCGCGGAACCATCGATGCAGTTGTTGTTGTTGTTAGCGCTCTTGGATGGCGAGATTGTCTTCTCGACCATCGAAAGGCCCTGCAAAGATTTTTTTTTGAACCAAAGTAATACCAATTCTGCGAAGTTCGTGAGGAAACGCAATGGCCGCGTAGAAACTCGGTCCCAAAACTTGTCCAATTCGAGACCAAAACCTTCTAGCTGCCGTGCATTAGTTTTCTGAGCAGACACATCGGTCTAAACGATCATTGACATCTAATTCAGTTTATTACCCGTGTTGCAGAAACCGCCTTGGGGACTTCTTGGGAAGCACTGTTGTTTGGAACGCCGACCTTTTGCGGTTGAGCCGCAAGAAAGTTCGAGAATGAAGGTTGGGCGCTGGAACTAGTGGCGGAACCAAATGATGACACGGGCGCAGACTTTACCTAGGAACATTGGAGCTAGTTAAATTTGATGGCCCCAAGGGCGTCAAAAAATTTTTGCCGATTGGGCATCCCCGATCGGCGTAAAAACGAGTATTCTGGGGTAGTTTGATGAGCTGAGTTCGAATTTGACACTCTTAGACTACAATTATTCGATTTTAGTCTACAAACTACAAAAAGTCGAAGTCACGCGAAACACGCCTTTCCGGGCTGGTTTTTCGGGCTGAATCCTAATATAACAATGCAGCAACGCGCAAACCCTGTATTTGATCATCTCATGACTTGTAGGCCAAATTTGGGCCAAATCCGAGTGCTGTCAAGTGGTCCCAGGCTTACAAGCCAGTCATTATTTTGGTCAACGGGTAACGCTTAGCAAGGCCCAATAGAGTGAAGCCCCGTAGCTGGTCCAAACTAGCATTCATGCGTGAGCATAAAGGTGAAAATGGATCAAATATAGGGGTTTGCGCGTTGCTGCATTGTTATATTAGGATTCAGCGCGAAAAACCAGCCCTGAACGGCGTTTTTCGCGTGACTTGGCGATTCTCGACTTTTTGTAGTTTGTAGTCTAAAATTAAATTTTTGTAGTCTAAGAGTGACAAATTCGAACTCAGCGCATCAAACTACGCCAGAATAGTCGTTTTTACGCCGATCGGGGATGCCCAATCGGCAAAAATTTTTTGACGCCCTTGGGGCCATCAAACTTAACTAGCTCCGGAACATTTAGGAATTTCGATATAATAATAATACCGGTGCTTCAACCGTCAGTGGCTTGGGAGGAAGTGGCCTAGCGGATGGCATGAACCTGGCGACCGGTGCCGCTCGCTTGATCACATCGCCTGGAGCAACTCTCGCGGGAGCGGCGCCCAGATTGAGTGGCGCAACGGGAAGGACGTTCATCTAAAGGGGATATTTTTCGTGATCGCCAAAAAGCTTACCGCACGAGAGATCGCCGACTCTCTCATGGTCATTTTCCCATTCCGCACTTCTTCATCGTACACCAGTTTTTCGTACGTCATGCTTGAGAAGACGTTGGGAACCGGAAAATCATGGAAATGTACTCGGTTAGTAAAGCGCCCGCGGGCGCGCCCGAAATTGCGCCCGCGGGCGCGCTCACGGGCGCGCCCTCGGGCGCAATGGCCAAAAGCGCCCGCGGGCGCGCCCGAAACTCGAAAGCGCCCGCGGGCGCGCCCCAATCGCGTTGTAGCGGCGTAGGACGGGTTCTTTTAATGCTTTTATTATTTAAAAAAGGGCACTACATCGCTTTTGTCGATGCTGTACCCTATACTTAATGTAGATCTTCACGTTCCCTGAGAAATTGGTTGTATTGTGCACCTGAAATATGTTTTTTTTTTGCTTTCTTGGCTTTAGCTTCGTTTGGAACTTACAGATACGTTCCAATGCGCGATAGACGGCCCCTAAAAGTGTAGCTAATTACCTAATTTCCTTTATCAACTTCGTAATTCGCACTTACTTTCTTCCCGCTTCCTGAAAACTTGCTCTGATTTGCTTCTTGCCGACTTACTTTGCAACTCCGCCCCAGAGATATCGGAAACGTCGCGCTTCCCATTTGCAATCATGACCATGATCGTCTGAAAGGTTGGCTTATATAAATCGAGAATCTATAAATCTAAATCTAAAGTATGTTTAAAGTTTTTTGAAGGGACTGGTTGCGTAGCAAAACTTTACCTTCTTTACCTGCCCCATGGCGCTTCAAAGTATCGTATTCTACATTCGACGACCATAACCAAGCGAACCTAGTAACGTATTTGTTAATTTATATATGTTTTGAACATAAATAAGTGCATAATCCAGGAACTTAGCCGTTTTTTCGCAGAATTGAAAGGTGTTCACCATTCAAATGCGCCCGCGGGCGCGCCCCTAGTTGCGCCCATGGGCGCTTTTTGCGCCCGGGGCGGTTTTGCGCCCTTTTGCAAAAATTGCGCCCGGGGCGCAAAAGAGTCCAGTTCGGGCGCGCTCGCGGGCGCTTTGGGTTTTCGGGCGCGCCCGCTTTGCTAACCGAGTAAGGAAAGGGAAAATAATAGCGGGAACGGGGAAAAGCATGCTTTGCAGGAAATCCGAAACTCGAAAATCAAAATGATCCTTCCATCGATCCGCTCGGCCCCGCGTTAGCTACCGTAACGGCGTCCATAGTTGTCGCACGGACACCGTATTATTCTTTGCTGACTCTCAATTTTCCCAGCCCCTAGTTTTTTGGTGGTATTCAGTTTCAAATATCGCTCAACCAGAAAAAAAAAAACATTTTTAAAAAATTTTAAAACCCGAAAAACTGTATGTAGGATCTTGATTTCAGTCATTTATTAAATTCGCAAGGCTGATCAATCTTTTCGAGCTAGGTCGAAAACGTTTCCGGTGCTTCTCCGCCGCGAGATCTGGGCCTCCAAGTCCGTAGAGAGATTCGCCATCTGGGAGAGGTTTGCCCGCGAGCCCTGCAAATGGTTTTATTTTCTTGAATGATGAACGGCACGCTCAAGGAGCACTAATTAAAAGTTAGGTGGTAAATACGACAATGCCCTCCACCAAGTGCTAAAACCCTCCGAAAAAAATGCTAACTTCAGAACGGACTCGGCCGTCATCTGGCTGGGATAGCGAGCGCGAGATTTGCATATGCTAAAAGCAAGAAAATGGTTTTGATGGTGATCTTTAGGTGCTTTTTAGCTAATGGGGAAATACCTGGTTTGAGTGGGCGATCTGCTTCATATAGTCGTCCTCTATCTCGTCGTGGTCCCCATGTACGCTCGACGATCGGCTGACCACCTAAAAAAGTTTATTCTTGTAAAAAGTTTAGTCTATTCTATAATTCTGGTGAAAAAGGCGGTAGCTTTTTCACCAGTATTTTTATCAATACCATTCAAACTCGCAGAATATACGTTAGTCTACCTGAAGCTCTCTCAGCTTGTGATCCAGTAGATCACTAAACATCGAGTACAGCTGGTCCATATTCGCTTGTGAGATCTTTAAAAGATTTATATTAGGTAGAAACCTCGATGGTACCTTCTGTTGAGGCGTAGGTTCAAATTTGAAGCTTGGAACAGCTAGTCTCGGCATTGAGGCATCTTGCCTGAAAGCCCGATTTTATAGGGCAAACTGGCAATGATTCTTAGGGAAAGCTGCGCGTAAAATAAAGACCTTTTGAGATGCTCAATCCGTTTGTCTGGGTACACTTTTGCAGTCGGTTTCGCCTGGCTCATCGTCATCGCCTCTTCGAGCGTGATTTTGGCGTATGCGCGGAGCTGAAACTTGCTATGGTAGCTTTGTTAGCGGCAGCATAGATTCCCTGCGTTTTGGTTATAAACCCACGATTTTTGTCGCATCAAAATCGCTCTTTTTCTGATTTCTCATCAGCAGCGGCTTCAAAACTTTCGCGTTGAAGCGCTCATAGCTAAAGTCATCTTTTTTCACGAAATCTGATACATGGCTCACTTTTCATTGATCGTGTAGTGTCCCTTTCTGCCGATAATATCTTCCACGCCGGACATCATATAATCTAGGTACTAGTCGTATTTGCAAAGATAACCACAACGGAAATGAACACCTTGTTGTATACGCTTTCAGCCATTGTCGGCATTCGATGCTCTTCAATTTTAATTTTGAACAGCTTCACTAAGGGTCGAACGGTGCTGCCCTAAAATTGGGAGACTTCTGTCTCTCTTTGCTAGCTTGCCTACCTGCAAAAAGACGGTGAAATAGATGACGGCAATCGTCGTTGTGACAAACATGTCTTTTGCTTTGATTTCTGGCATGGACACGGCGAGACCATAAGCTATAGCGCCTCTCAGGCCACCGTACGACAAAATGAACTGATCGACGGCCGTGAATTTCTTGGCACGGAAGCGGTTCAGGAAAGCGCATTGCACGACAACTCCTGGAAAAAAGATCAGAAATATCAGAAAAGGTCAGAAAAAACCCCACCTATCGTCCGGTAAATTAAGCAGAATACCAGGGTGGCCACGACGAACCACGTGTCCCAATAGAAGGCAGACGACAAAAGGGACAACCCAAGAAACACAAAAATAACCTGGAAAGCCTGTTTTTTCGCATAATTGTTTACAACCTACCGTTTCTGAACTTTGCGCCAAAACCTTTGTAAAATATTTCACAGAGCTGTTGGCTGCTTGGCTCAAATTACCCTTCACATATTGCTTCATCACCATACCACAAACCGCGATTCTGGAGAATTTTCCTATGTACGTCAAAAATTCAAGCAACTGACGCAATGATAGAAGATACGGCCCACCATTCCGCCGTTAGATACGAGACGTATGGAACGACGAAAACAAATACTGTGGCCATCGCGCGAAGCTCTTCGGAATACCTGGAAGCCAGGGGTTGACCCTCGATCTGATGAACCTACTTTGTGACGAAGCTCGCCAGAAATGCGAAAACGACACCCACGATTATCCCACCGATTGCCACCACGAAAAACGAGAGCCCGCCGGCTAGGTAGTCGCGTGTCTAAATACGTTGTTTTTCTTTTTCTTTTCCCATATGTTATTCGTTGCAGACAAATCCGCGTAAATTCAGGTTGCTATCGCCCCAATCATGAAATACGCACAATTTTATAACCTACAGTATTAAACGCGCATAAAAGATTAACAAAACAAAACCTTTAAAAATGTCAAATTTTTTAACGGTTACAATTTTACAATTTTTATGACTTGTCGGTAATACAAAACGCTAAAAACACTTAAAAATACACGATTTTAAAGAGATACAGAGATTTTCTAGGTATCAAAGTTTCTAGTCTTATAGAACTTCTTTTCACGCTTACAATCAAATTCTCAGCTCCAAGCGCCTGGAAGGAGTTGAACAGATTGTAGAGCACCACGGTCACGCCGTCGTTGAAAAGCGCCTCGCCGAAGACGTTGACGAACAGGAAGGCATTCACGTTAATCTCCTCGAAAACTGTAAAAAGCAGAGATTTTACGAAAAGAATAATGATGAAATCGCGTGAGTACATCTCTGTCTATTCTGGCTGGTAATACTCTGGCCTACTCGCAATCACGGCCACCGGATCGACGGCAGAGATCAACGACGAAAATAACAGAATGTCGAGAAGGGAAAATGAGACCGTAAACCAATTCCAAAGCGAAAGCGCGTAGAGGGAGAGACCTGGAAATAAAATAAAAAGGCTTCAAAATTCTTCCCACCGATCGCAGCGCAATTCCAGATCGTGCCCGCAACAGCGAATAGCAGCACGGAATCGATATTCTCGAAAAGGGCACGGTTCGGCATAAAATACCCTAAATTATTTCGATTGAAGTAATTTTCAAAGTATTACCAGCGTCAAAAATAATTGGAGGGAGTAGGTAGATGAAGAAAGCATGGCTGGTTAGGGTATAGACATCAACGGATGCGCCGCCATATTTTAGTAAAGCTCCTAAAGGCTTTTTTAATCTTATTCTATCAAGTATAATAATTTTAACTCCTGGAAAGCTAGAAATTATTTTCCGTTTTCTTTCAACTTACCGAGTCCTAGTCCAACAACGATAAGCAATGAAGAATCCGGTAAAAATCTTGTACATGGCTTGCTGAGAACGAAGACTAATAACAAAAGCAATTTATCCCTTATTTTCAACAGAACTCACAAATTCTTGCTCCACTCGCAATCAGGATCCAGATAGCGATTGTGTATGGAGTTTTCACATGATCCCATTGATTATGTATCACCTAGGACATTAATTTTGGTACTGGACTGTTAGCGGGGGCCTTCGTTCCCTTTCGTTTTTTTTCCTCCTGTACCACCTACCTGTTGATAACTCTATAATGTATTTTGATCGTTTTATAGTAGTTTTCATTGCTAGAAAATTAAAGTTGGCAAAAGGATTTTTTAAACTTTCAAAAATTCATAAAAGTTGACCTTTTTTGGTCATTTTCATGGAATTTTTATTGAAAAGCCAAAAATTTTCGAAAAATAAACTTTTTAGATCTGGAAACGACGTAGAATTCTACAAAAATGGTTATATTTCGTTGTGGGTCCGTAGGGAATTACTGGGAAAAATTTTGTCGCCCCCCAATAATAGTCAAGAACCTTTTTTTTTGTAAGAATCAAAAACATTTGCCTACCTGAAAACGCTTTTCTGTGGGCTCGTTTTCGCCCTCTTCTGCTAGCAATGAAGAATTTCCAGTGTCTGCATAAACCAGCCCAATTATTGCCAAGCCGAGCAAAAACCGCAACATAGTCGCCGCTAAAAATATCCACAAATCGGTAAAGACACCACGGGAATGTAAGGGATCAAATTAGACGCGACTGAACTGAACGGAATGTATCTCTCTATCTATTCTCGTTGCCTTTCCCTTCCCCAAAACAGTTCCATCCGGATCCGCTGACGTTTATCGACCAATTAGGTGTCGGGGGGAGGGGAGGGACAGGAATCTCAAAGTGTGCGAAAAGGCGACAGTGATATCAACATCACAAAAGAGCTATTCCAAATGTTTGAAAAATGCGCTTTCCGCTAAGTATTCCGCCCTCGAAATCGAATTTTGCATAATCGCTGAAAGGACGCGCCGCGCTTTGTGCCATATGACTTTCGCAGCCCTCTTTTTGCCGATTTACAACCGACACCGCTACCTGAAAATGGCCGGTGAAACCGGGTAATCTGTCGAAATGGCTTTGTGCATGGCTTGTTTGGAACGCGAATTCGGAAACAATTTATGTGGAAAGGGGGGTTAGGCCGAGATGAAGCTGGAAGATGGTGTAGATCAGTGGTTCTGAAAAGTGGTTCTTTAACATTATCTTTTTCCTAGGGATCCAATTTTTCCTAACATAAATAGCGGCACTGTTTTTAAACTGTGTCTATTATTCCTAAACGTAAAAATGTTACAAATCTTTATTAAAAATATAAAAAAATATCGATGACCGTTTCTGGACCAAAATTTCGACTTTTTAACACTTTTTTAAAAGTTTTTAGATAGTTTTTCAGGTTTAAATATAGTTATTTTACTAAAAACACTTATTATTAAGTTACTAGGCATTGCCAGACTCATGCAAAAAATTGCGCGCCCCCCTCCCGATAAAGCGAAAGAACCTTGAAAATTATTTCGACTATGTCGACCAGGCCAACCTTTTTCTGTTTCAAAGAAGGCTGCTTAGCAGGCGGTCCGACGTTGTCCATTTCTTTGCCGCTGTGTTCGTCCGGTGTTTTGATGACGCGCTTGTTCAGCGGGTAAAACAGATTCCACCACTTCTTTTTGACCGGCTTCGGCAGCCCTTCGGTCGGGTAAAAAAGTTCTAAAATGCATGACATATGTTCAATTTTTTGATGCTTTTATGGGCCCACCTCCCGTACAGGACAGCACGATCAACAGCACGACGCTCATCAACACGACGAAGAAGAAGGAGCCCAGCACGACGAATTCCTAAAGAAAGAGGTCGACGACCCATTGTTTCTGATAGTTTTTGCCCACTCGCTTGGCGTCGGGCTGGATCCCAGCAAAGAAAAACCGCGTTGGTTCGCCGAGCTTCACCACGGCGTCAAATAGGCTGTAGACGGCCGCCTGGGTGTAGGGCCCAATCGAATCGGTCAGCCAGCGTCGAACCTGGAAAAAAACTTCGTCTTTGTGGAAGTCGGCGAATAACAAGATTTTTGACGCTTAGACAACATTGGAATACAAATGACGGATTGGGTATCCATGGACTACCGTAATGCAGCACCACTGACGTTTCTCTATTTTATTTCTCCGGAATCTTGCAAAAAAAAACAAAACAAAAAACCTCAAATCTCCAGACTCAACTTTGCTTGAATTTTTACAATTCTCTTATTGGCCGTTTCTTCCATATCTTTCCTGTAACTTGCCTCGTTTTCCATCGCTGCTCGCAGCCAATGGTTGCTTTTCTTTTTTTCCGGCACATCCTATGCAGTTGTCCTATTCTAACTTTTTTTAAATGAATTTTGCTGATTCAACACCTCTTTTAGAGCAGCTCTAACATGGGGGACGCGAAGCCGCCGAGACTAATGTCTCTTGCTAATGGCTCTGGTTCGTTTATTTCCGGACGGTCTCTAGAAATCATGGTTTTAGTTAACAACTCAAAGCCAACGCACCCACGTATGCCGAGATACCATGCGCCCGGAAACGTGCTTAATGTAATCGTTTGCTTTCCGACCACTTAACCGTGTTTTAGAACAACTACTTCATTAGTCGCTCGGGGACCAGGGCCTACTCATCCGGATCGTTCGCCTCGAATTCGAACAGCAGTGTCGACATGGTTGGAAGTTTTCCAGTAAATCTTATCTTTTTTTATAGGGCTACGGCAATGGATATATGTACAACTACGCCCCGCAGCTAACGCTCGACGGAGAAGCCGAGCTCGAGCAATGCCTCCGCGATGGCAAGGTCGAGATGGCCGCCAAAAAGAAGGAATGGTACCCGTAAGCTTTTCTTAGTTAGCGTTGATCTCACTTCAGTTTGATGACCGATTTGCTTCCGACGAGTCCGCTTTGGAAACATTACATCTACGCGGTGCTGATGCGCGAGCCCGGATCTTTCCAGGTAACCTTTCCTTTAGCTATCAATATGTTTTTAGCGTCTCGCTGCACACGTCTTCGGCAATTTCTTCGCCCAGACTCTGGTGAAGCACGCGACCGCTCCGGTGCATCAGCAATGGATCATGACATCGCTGTTTGAAAACCTTGATGATCTCTGCTTCAACCGATATGCTTGCCGCGTGGTTCAACAGATTTTCGATGTAAAAGTTCTTGGCTGACATCGCACATTTTATTTTCAGCATTTTCCGCCGGACACCAAGGCGGTTCTCTTCAACACTATTCTGCAACGGGAAGATGTTCTACGGATGACAAATGACGGAAACGCCAACCACGTTATCCAGAAGATGATCGAGGATTTGCCCATTGCTTACTGGCGGAACCTTCTCGACATCTATCTTGCTGGAGAAGGCACCTTCTTCAATATCATCGAAGACAAGTTTGGATGCAGGATCATGCAGCTTGCCGTCGATCATTTGGCCATTGCATACGAAGACAAGAAGAGCCACTTGGTTGGTTTCAATCTTCTTCTTTCATACCTTTCTTACAGGAAGCCAAGGCTTGCCTGGAGCCTTTTATGGCTCTTATGATCGACAACTGCGAGCGCCTTTCGAGCCATGAGTACGCCAACTATGTCGTCCAACAAGTCATCAAGTGCATCTCTGGTTATCGCTCTGAATTGATCAGGACCTGCCTGCTGTATGTTTTTCTGCGCGTGGTCGACCCATTCTTTAGGCGTAACCTGCTGTCGCTCTCCCAAGAAAAGTATGCTTCGCACGTTGTCGAATGCGCTCTGAAATGCGGAGATGCCCAAGACGTCTACCTGATGCTGGAGGAATTGTTTGACGGCTACATGCCGGAGCCGAAGACTGGCCGAAATTGCATTGATGTCCTGCTCTACCACCAGTATGGCAACTACGTCGTCCAGCATATGCTCAGCGCTTGCTATGAGAATGCCAAGTTGTGAGTTTTATTATTTTCGAATGCTGTGTCCCTTTTTGTGTCTTATCACTTCATCATCAATTTATTATTTTACAGGCCCGAGTTCGCCATTTACCGCAGCCGTCTGCTCGAATGGGGCGATCGTCTAAAGGCCTTGATCGACACGAACTCCTCCTACTTGTCGCGCTACAGCTCGGGCAAGAAGATGCTGCATTCGCTTGATCACCTGCTCAAATAGCCAACGCACACGAATTCGCGCATCGATATTGTATTTGAATCCCGTGTAGCCTGTCCCCCCTCACCTTTGGTCCCACGCAGCGTGTAGAATTTTCGGCTATAACACTGCTACCTCACCACCAATTTTGTTTTGCCACTGGAACTGTGACTGCTTCTGGTATGCCAGCCCATCAGCCCCAATGTGTTTGTTTTATCCCGTCCCCCATAGCCCCTTTATCCCCTGGATCCCCGTGGCATAATTCTCCATCGCTGGAGCCAACAATCTGCATTCAGTTTCGAGGGGAAAGCTGCAAGCATCGCGGTACCCGCTATATTAATATCGGGTCTAGCTTCTTCACTGTGAACACTTATGCTAAGGCCTCCGCCCGGACATTACCCGTGTTTCGATAATTGCATGCTTGACACCCCGACTCGTAGATCGTCTTTCACCAAGCCCACCATGTATCTTTTCTATTTTTTTTGCTGTTGTTTGCAAATTTAAATTTTTCGTATATAAAAGTTCCATTCTGCCGATTCTTATAATGAGCCTCTTCCTTGCGCCCGACTCCGAAAGTCCGCGGACTTTTCGGGCGGCGTCCCGACACATCTAACTGGATTTGGATATCCGGATTTGCGTATAGACGTGGCTGGGCGGAAGTAGGGCTATCTGCCTACAGCCTTCGGTATAAAAACACGTAGTCGAGTAGCGTGCTTGTTTTTACTCGTCCCCCCGTCCGTACTCGTCAGTCCACGCTCGCTCATCATGGAGGTGGGCAGGGAGAAGGCACCGACATACTTGCTGTTTATAGCGGCCCCGTGGCGAACTCGCAATGCCTCCGCCTGCGATCATCCCAGCGCCGCGTCGAAGGCGGTCTGGGCAGGCCAACGTCCCAGCAAATCCTGGAATGCCACAGGTAGCAGAAAAGCGACGGACGCCGGTTCTATTGCAATGTATAGGCGCTGCGCCCGCCGAATCTGAACGCCGGTGCCCCTCGTTTCGTCCCGCTGCAGCAACAGCAGCAGCAGCCTCGCCTGCAGCGCCCTGGCGCCCTGCATCCCCGGTAGACTCCGACAGTGGGGTTCCAATCTGTTGCAGTCGACGTGCCCGCCCTCGAGCGAACACCCCGAATGAAGAGCCGTCCGAAGAAAGCACAAAAGCCTTCATGCTTTCGATGCTCCGTAGGGGTTAAACGCTCAGTGATGAAGAGTCATGTATTTTCAGAGGAGCAGCGCGCCCGTGCAGCCTGTATTAACCCGGACGGACAGCTGAGAAAGAGGAAGCCGATCAGCGTCTTCAACCTCGATGTAGGGGGGCTAGGTGATGCGAGAAAATTAAGTCTATTTAGACGGACTACTCGAACACGTTGGCCTCGGTGCGTCATCGTGAAGAATTGGAACTGCTCGACAGGGTGGCGGCCTGGCAGCATGGCGTGTGTTTCATCGTTTCTTTTTGTTTGTTTAGTCCATTTTTAGCGATTCGGTAGTAACCACCTAGGTGCTGAAAATTCACAAAACTAAGATACCTATGCACCTTTCTTGCTTTCGTATTCGCAAAGGGTTTCTCTTTTAGGACGGTCAGCTTCAGGACGCCATGCGCCGTCATATCATTCGCTGCTCGACGGAATGGCTGGAGCGGGTCGAGCACGAGCAGGCTCAGGTGAGCATCATCCACTTTGAGCCTAAACCTCCATTTAGCTGGCCCTAGTCCGTCAGAAAATGGAGACCCGTCGCATGCTTCTCATCAACGACCACAACGCCTTGACCAAGATTGACGTCCTGATAAGGTAAGAAAAAGCGATTGAATGACAATGAAATCCCATTTCAGGACTACTTCGATGGCCTGCGGCTAGCTGACCACCACCACCCCAACCCCGTGCAGTCAAAATTAACGAATTTCTACACCATCGCAATAAAAGCATTTATAACGTTTGTGAAACCGTCGATGACACACAAATGAAACTCGGGGAGCAACAACGAGGAACAAAGAAAAACGGGACGAAATCGCTAAAGCTACAAACAACACCTTATCTACGCTACGAAAAAATGAACTAGAATTTTGGGGAGGCGATAAACTAACGGTAATAACAAGTGGAAACGAGATTCCCTTGAGGCGGGGCCTAGGATTTGGCTGCTTTTTGTTCGACGTCCTTACCACCATCAGCCTGGGAGGAATCTGAAAATGATTCGTTCGCCAAGCACTAAAATTCTCGCCTCCGCCATGTTTAACCAAACATCGACTGTTTCAGTTTGGAGAAAAATCCACCTTCAGTCTTGGCGTCTTCCGGTTGCACAGGCTTGCCGGTCTCGGTTTCTTTGGCTTCGGAAGGGCCTGGAAATTATATTTTTGCTTTTTACTTCATGCTTTGAATCCATTATTCCTACTTTATATAAAAAAAGTTTGTGTGTGTGTGTGTGTGTGTGTGTGTGCGCGCGCGCCACTTTGCATCGACTTCCGCCGCATCGTATTCCAGTCATATCTCAAGAAGGGTAGAAATCTAAGGGTTGTATGATACGTCATTAGGTGCGTAATGGTCTTGAGATGACTGCACACATATGCTATCTTTTAAAATGACCCATTTTCGATACTAAATTGAAGTTTTTGTGAAACCTTCTTGGTTGGGAACCGGAAGTAAGGAGTCGGCTATATAAAGGGGCAGAAGAAGTTTTTTTTTCATTTTTTGTCATCTGTCATTATGCAAAGCGAAGAATAACACAAGGGCCAGACCTGGCCAGGGTTAAAAATCGCGAAGCGGCTTTTCAACCCTGGTTAGAATTAATTAGCCTAGAAAAATCCTTACCTTTTGTGGTTTCCGCGCTCGCTTTTGGCGTCTCAGACGGCTTCTCAGCTTTGGCAGAAACGGGCTCTTGTTGTTTCTCAATTTTCTTCGGAGGCTAAACAACGTTTTTGACCTCGATCAATGTTATTACCTCCTCAAATAAATTAACAGTGCCGGCTTGTAGTGTCTCGGTCTTGGCAAAAGTTGTGATGATTTTCTTCTGCTCTTTGCTCGGGAACCTATAAGCCGAAAGAAATTAGCTTTTCTAAGCAAAGCTCACTTTGGCACAGCAATCTTGATGTTGATGTACTGATCGCCGTAGCCGTGCTGGTTCAGCCGTTTGATGCCTTTACCCGTACGCCTGAAATTGACATTGCTGGAAAATCAGAAATGACAAACATCATTTTGGTGTGCGAGTTGGTGCCAGCCGGAATCTTGATGTAGCCATCTTCATAGACTCCCGGCACCTTCACCGTGCCACCGAGCACCGCCTGTCCAATTGAGATCTCGACGTCGCAGTGTACGTCGTTGCGGTCACGCCGGAACACGGATGACGGCGCCACCGACATGTACAAAATGACGGTCTCCTAAAACGAGAGGAGCTTTGAGCTTTTGAACGCTAAAAATACCTGCCCGACCGACAACTGCATCCGTTCTTTGTCGTTGACACCCGGCGGGATCTTGACGTCGACCTGAAGCGGATAAATTGAGACCGGAAAACTCCATTACCTTTCGCTGTTGGACGGTCTTCCCTTTGCCCGTACATTCCGTGCACGGGTTCTTATTGTAGCTGCCCGAGCCTTGGCATCTGAAAATACAATAAATAAAAACTACAAAAGTGTAAAATAGCTTCAAATACGAAGTTTACTTACCTGGTACAAGATTGCTGGAAATAAAAGCCGCCAGCGATGCGCTGCGAGACCATCCCAGTCCCGTTGCAATAAGGACAAGAGACCTAATACCAAATAATGCTGAAAGTTCGAAATTTACCTTCTTATAACCGGGTTGGACCTGTGTGCCCTGGCAAGTACCGCAATTCTCCACGACGTTCATGTCAAAAGAGCGAGTAGTGCCGCGAACGGCATCTTCGAACGATAGACGCACCTAAAAAGAAATCATTCCTGAAAGACGCCAAACAAACCTCCACTTCCTGAGCAGGCGCGTAGCCAAAGGACGAATCGGCATAACTGTCCCAGTTGATGCCACCCTGAAAATAATTTCATTTTGTGCAGAAAGAGAAGTAAAACCCACCGATCCAAAGCCAAAAGTTTGCCGGAAGAATTCTTCTGTCGATTTGCCACCAAAATTGAAGCCCCCTAAATACCAGTAAAGGTCACATAATGTTTGTTACCATGACCAGCACCACCGCCGCGTCCCATATTGTTTCGCTGCCTCTGCTGGCCATCGGCAGTCCCGTAGGTATCGTATTCTTTTCGTTTACCCTCATCAGAGAGCACCTAAAACTAACTTTAAGCTTCCACGATTTTTGGCAACGAAACGCATCAACAGCATGAAAAATAAAAATATCAACAATACATCTTTAAAGGTACCTCATATGCTTCTGAAACCTCCTGGAAACGCTCCTGAGCCTCCTTCGTCTTATTCACGTCAGGATGGTACTTTTTAGCCATCTAAATTGAATTCTAAAGTGATGTAACCATATCATACCTGGAAGTACGCCTTTTTGATGTCCTTCGCTGACGACTCTTTGCTGATCCCTAGCAACTTGTAATAGTCCTTGGAGGCCAGCGTAGGACCTGTGGTATAAAGCGGTCGTCTTTGGCGGCCTGAAAAAATAATGATTATTGTCAGAAATGTGTTCCAACCTCGCTGATAGCTGGGATTTTGCAGCACCAAAGCAGGCGTGAAGGTGACACTTGCCGAGGCCATCGCACAGGCCTAAATTCGGCCATCTACCAGGAATATAAACCTTACCTGGGCGTAGGACGACGGGGCCCGTAGTAGGAGACCACGCGAAACGCCGCCAAGCATCGCGCTACTGGAAATGGTTTGGTAGAACAAAATAAAAGAATTCTTTTCTAGAAATCACAAAGGGCAATTGCGAGCGAAAAATAAAACTAACTAAAAATTATACGATGACGTAACCGGTTAGGCTGGCGAGTATCGCCTTTACAGGGTGTCCCAAAAAAAAAGTGCCCAAGTTTGTCCCCAATTAACTCGAGAAGGAAAGATATTTCACCGTGCGTTACCATGCCAGAATGCTTAAATATGTCAGGAATAGGGAAATAACTCAACTTGATTTTTTCGATTTTTGGCGACGTACCCATACAAATGACACCCGAAAACTGTGCGTTCCGGCAAAACTTCGTTTGCATTTTTTTGGATTGCTGGTGGTCGAACACTTCCAATTTTTACAGTGTAGGTACCTCAGGATCGCCCCGACGCACATCCGGAATTTTAGAATTTTTGAAGGTCAGGTTGGCAAGTTATAGCGTGCTCAAATTTAATATGGAGAAATTTCGTAAATTTCGAATATTACAAAAAACCTATGGTAGAAACCTCAACATAAGCTGTTTTAGCATGTCTATAGGCTCGATACAATCCCACAAAAATATCAAAAAAAATTTTCAGAACCGCGGATTTTTGAGTTTTTCGATGACCCCCTGGTCATGGATTCTTTCGAGGTCACGAAACTGAACTTTGGAAAAATATTTCTAAAATTGCAAATAGAATTTCGGTGTTTGCTTTGCTTCGCTGTGTAGGACTGGGGTCCATCTATCATGAAAACAATTTCTGGCTACCGTACCCCTTTGGAAGGTTGCCTTTTAGCGCTTCGAAAACGGTTGGTTCGTGCTATTTCGCAGACCTTCGTGCCAGTCTATAAAATTCATTTGCGCGGCTAGAATTATTGTCATATTTTTATTTAATACTACTTAATGGGCGCCTTCTAAGATTATATTTACAAATTTATTGGGCCATCCAATCCCTCAAAAGAAATTCAGGAAGAGCCCAAATATACCCGAATTCGAGGCTATGTAAAAAAATTCTCGAGGCTTTAGTAGCCCCGATTTTCTGGCATAGAGCAAGCTTGGGTAATCAACTAGAACCCATGCAAATACAAAACCTTTTCATGGCGAACGAATTTAGATGAGCGCCCCAAAGTCGACTTTTCAAAAACGTTATTTTCGGGTTTTAAATCAAAACGAACCATTAACTTCAGTCAGATCGTTCCAGAATTTTGCTCTGATGCACAGTTCAATACGTGCTTTAATTGTATCCACCAAACCCCGGTGCCTTTTTCATTTTCAAAAAATTCGATTTTCGAGCCAGGGCGTCGGGTCCAAAATCGGGGCACGAGGGGGGTTTTCCTCTTTCCCTTATAACTTTGTCATTTGCCACCGGAATCAAGTAATTTTTTGCCTGCGTTTTTATAATTACTCAGAGAACATTCTAGAATAGAAAAATCGGCATTTTATGGCATTTTGTCTTGGCATGCTAAAACGCGCTCCAGGCGGGTTACTGTAGAAAACAGAAAATCGCCGTTTTCTCGTTCTTTTCACCATAGAAACGTTTCGATCTTTCAGGAAAACAAATAATAGTAGTTTTCGGACCGATTCATTAAAATATTTAGAAATTGCCGTGGCTAAATTAAAAAATCGGCTTTTTGTATATTTTTCGAAAGTGTGTGGCTAGAACTTTGCTATATTTTGCCCATGGCTGCCCCTTACCATTGTTTACCGATGGTAAAATTTTGAGCGAAATCGCAGCTTACAGTAAAAAGAAAAACGCGAAAAACAAAAGCTACAGTATCCCTCTGGGGCACGTTTTAGCAAGCAATATTAAAATACCATAGAATCAGGTAAAATTTGGTGTTGTGCTAAAGATTATCATTCGGAGACACCATCTGCAAAAGCTCAGCCATGGGCAGCGTATTTGAAGCGAGTTGCCAATTAAAAATGTAGAAAGATACAAAACAGTGAAATTTGTTTTGCTTGTAAAAAAAGAACTGGAGCTTCAAAAATTCTAATATTTGGCCATTAGCTTTCTACAAATGCCAACGATGTTTGGACCAAAAATCAGAATTTTCCCACCACCCGTTCAAGAACGCACAATTTTCGGTCGTAACCAGCGTCAATAGTACGGTTGCGTACTCAAAAATCGAAAAAATCAAGTTGAGTTATTTCCCTATTCCTGACATATTTAAGCATTCTGGCATGGTAACGCACGGTGAAATATCTTTCCTTCTCGAGTTAATTGGGGACAAAACTTGGGCACTTTTTTTTGGGACACCCTGTAGTACGGCCTCGTAAAAATCGTCCGTCCAAAAATAAAAAATTTTGGAAAAATTTAGCCAAAACGAACTTCAGCAAAATTTTCTAAATAGCTTTTTGAATTTTAGCTACAGTTTTGGATAATTTCAACCCTGCAAAACACAGGGGGGAGAAAGAACGGGGGAAAAGCCAGATACCAGACACAATTCGGGACCTGAACCGAGCAGAGAGCGTATAACATATGATCACGCGTTTGCCATACGTTGTTTTTTGTCAACAAAACAACTGCCGTAAAGACTAAATTATTTCATTTTCACTGTTATAATGGCCGTTAATACTTGTCAAACCGTGAGATTCAGATGCGATGACCCTATCCGGCGCTCGGCTCCTTGAATCGGCCTTCATCGGGCCCGACGTGCTCAAGCAGCTGTATAAATTCTTTGCGGATGACCTAGCGCTAGGTGGGAAATGAGGCGCTTATTACTAGACCATTTTTTAGGTTCGTCTGCAAGGTGGGAAGCGCGGAGCAGGTCTCGATCAAGCGGTGGCAGCACGCCCGACGATGAATCAGGCCCAGACCCGGAGAAAAAGTTGGGTGTCGAAGACTGGAAGCTGTTCGATACTCAGGTTCGAACTCATTTATTACCCTTAGAATTCAATTTTTAGCCGGTTGACCCACTGGAAGACGAGCCGAAGGATTGGCGGACGATGGTTTGTTGTCAACACTAGATTTTAGCAATTCATTTTATTTAGGTGGACCTACAAGGCTACTCCAACCTCGAATTCCTGCTTGCCGTCCATCGTCATCGATTCGCGCTGTTAGAACGCAATCAGGACACCGGGCTCTACCATATTTCCCTCACCTGTACTCCGGAATTTTTGGATGAAGAGGTGGGCGTCATCTAATAAAAATAATATATTTTTAGGCCGAAATTACGTGTGCCATCGCTTTTGGATTAGGGACGAATCGAAAGACGGAACGATTGGACTGTATTTGTATCGCCGTCGGGTCAACCAAGGGCCAAGTGGGCTTCTTTCTCACTTTTAGCAACTTGTTTTTTAGGTAGCTTTCTACACGGAGAAGGGAGCGCTATTATTCGTGGAGCGATTCGCGTCGACGGCCATTTTGGACGTGTCTTTTGAGCAATTTACGGTAAGCATTAAAATCATACTTCTAGCAGTTTTTTCAGGATGAGCAACAAGTGGCCGTATCGACGGAGTACGAGATTTTCTCGATTCAGCCCTTTGCCCTTCTATCTACTTTGGCAAGAGCTAAATCTCAGGTTTCTGAAGTTTTTAGGAGGAGCAACGACGCTGTTTTTTAGATTGCCAAGGGCGAAAATACGTGGGCAGAACTATCATCGACTCTGGAGCTAGATGTAAGCTAATTGCTATAAATCTGTAAATCCATGTTCTTCTAGGTGGAAAGGATCGAACCGGAAGGCGGCGGGCCGTTTGGCTCTGTGATCATTACGGGGACACAGAAACAAATGGCTTTCGACAGATACGTGACTGCAGCGTGTCATGGATATGATGTCAGTAATTTTGGCTTCATCTTTTTCACCCCTTTTTCAGAGGCAAAGTCATCGCCCCAAGCTCCCGAACTATTCGACGTTCTTTGTGACGCGCCCCGACAAACATTTGGGCGATTTTATCTGGCATGAGCAAGGAGCTCGCGGCAATTTGATCACGGCCGCTGTATCAGAGGTCGCCAGCAAAGTATGGTCAACTCGTTTTAGAATTATTTCCATTTTCAGATGATCCCGCATTTCGGGATACGAAAATTCTTTGGCTGGAATACGGACGAATCGAAGAAGACATGGGCCTCAGGGAGACCAAAAATGTTGGTTTCGGAGCTGCCTGTCAAAAATTTTGTATTTTCCAGAACTGCCTATGCACGAGGTGTGCTCGGTGAGGCCAGGGTCGCCGAATGGCTCGTTCGGGCTCCTGATGCTCCACTCCTAGCCGTCGTCGACAATCATGCTAGGATTCTGCTAATAGATGTCCGTTTGAAGTCTCTTAATATTCATCTATCTTTTTTTAGTATAAACAACGCCAAGTTTTGCGGATATGGAAAGGATACCGAGATGCCCGATGCTTATTCGTCACGGCGAAGGAAGAAAACAGATCGGCGCTTTTCCTCGTCATACATGCTCCAAGAAGGGATTTGCTAGAGATTTGGAGCCCAGCTGTAACTATTAACGACATCTACCGGAAATTGTATCTTTTCCTAGGGCTTTCGCGTATCTGCCCGTCACGTCCCGAGCGGCTCGATTCTTTTGGACGGAGGTGGAGACATGGTGTTGGGCAGTGGCAGCACCGATCTCTCCGCATCGGCATTCCTTTCACTTCCGGACGGCCGTTTCCTCGTTGTTGATGTGCCTTTTATAAGCGCATTTGTGAAGACGGCGTCGCAAGAGGACCATGATAACCTGTATCTCTCAAAGGTAGATTTTCGTCGGATGGTTTTTACTTTTGGATTCTAGCTGTCCACTGATGCTTACAATGACGGTACGAGATGCGCGAGGACTTTTTCCGAGTTGCGCACGACGAAGGGGCGTCATGAGCTGCTGATGTCGATGATTATGGCAGCTACTTCGGCTGAAGGATTGGCTAATGCTTGCAGATTAATCTCTGAGGTATTGAATTGTAAGACTAGCGAATTATCTTGCGTCTAGGATGAGGCAGCAGCGTCGGTTCAAGAACTACTCGACACGATCAGCACTCTAGCGAAGTGTTATCAAGATCTCGCCGTACCGCCCAGCCCCGTCCCCAGCATTTCCAAGGAAAAATTCAAAAAGCGGCTCCAAATCACGGAAGAGACCTTCCAGTTCCTGGCTCATCTCCTTGATTTTCAGGGGTTGGTTTCGAATTTTGAGCATCAAGGTCGAGCTTTAGATCAGCGAATTACGATGAATATTTGGGATTTGATGACTTTATCGCGATGATCGACTTCAAGTCTAAATCTACTGCTCTGCGCGACAAGTATTTAAGTTTGTAAGATGGAAAAATTCTTTTAGGAAACTGCCGGATAAGGATGCAGTAAGATTATCCCGGCTTCTCTTCCGAGCATTTATTCATGGCAGTCGTGGTTTTGCAGAGCAGTTGGAAATCTTGAAGAAGCTGCCCTTTGAAGAGGTTTTCCTTTTCAGGTTTTTGAAACTCCATTTTAGGAAGATTATTTGTGGTTGCTGCTCCTCCATTGGGTCTATGCGACAAAACCACCGACGGCCAGGGAAACGCTATGTTTTCTCATTATGGTAACGCCTTTTTAAAGCAGACAAATTTCCTTTAGATTGAGCATTTTTCAAAAGGGAGCAACGAAATGCTGGAGAAGCGGTTGGCTGAATGGTTTGGCAGATCTTTTTAGGAAAATTCTAATTAAATTTAGCGAAAATATGGATCGCGCCATGCCGCTGTATCTGATCTTCAACCTGGTCCGGATCCGAAAAGATGGCGAGGCCCCCGAAACGGACATTTCTTGCTTTGAAGAAAGTGATGACAATGGGAAAGCGAGCCCAGTGAATGAGATCAATCTTCATCACGGAGAAGCCGACGCGGAGGTGAGGAAGAATTTTGGGGTTGTTAAATCGAAATTCTGGTAGCTTTATAACGACACCGATGCCGAGCCACCGATTGAGCTGGAATTGGACGAGCTCGACATCACTGCTGGGTCTTCGGATTGGGAAGCTATGCATCTTCACATGGAGATGGTAAACTTTCTGTAGAATTTTGTAAGTTATGGTACCGTTTTAGTTGGACTGTTGGCTCAGAATTGGTCACGTGATGGAGTTGCTGCGGAGAATCGGGCTCGAGAAGCAGTCGTTCGGCCGGCTGCTGACAAATGGCATAGGCTATATCTCGGAGGAGGTATACATCGGATTAATATTAATAAGGCCGTTTAGATCTCACGCTATGTCATTACCAACAAGGTCGAAGCGGCTGCATTGCCTGATCTTTTAGCCGGACGATCTGGGGAACACGCCAAGGATTTTGCCGAGTTGGCCGTGAACGTGCCGGAGTCGCTGGGCGAAGACCGAATCCGCTGCGAAGCCGCCTGGGAGTCGGTCTCAATTTGGGCAAGGCGGAAAGAAGACGTGAATTATTTGAAGGTACTTTTTTCTCGACATCTTTATTTTTGTATTTAGATGTTTACCGACTACCTTTCTGCCATTACGAATGAGCGACTCCGTCACGGCATCTGCAGACTCGCCTGGGACACTCATCTCGGCCTCATCTTCAGAGAGTTGGCGCAGCTCGTTGATAAGGTTCGATGAAATCCTCCTGGCTAACCTTGTTTTTCAGACTGGCCGCGCTCCGAAGGATCGTGAAGCGAGGAAAAACCTCGGGCTGCCGGATGTTTATGTGGTAGCACTTTTTGTGTTTCGTTGAAAAATGGGTTTAGAAACAATTCATCGAGGCGTGTATCGTCTGCTTGCGTGAAATGCTATCATCTGTACGCGACGAGCCCCCGGTGTGTGCCATCGAGCATGAGGATTGGCTAAAGGTAGAAATTGCTGCCCGGAATATTTAAGCCAATATGATTTTAGGCGGCCTTTACCAGCAGTCCCTTCAAATACTTCCAATTCACGAAACGTTCCTCGTTAGCGGACGCGGCGGCAAAGCAGTCGCTGGTCAACTACCACCTCGTTCTGCATCATCTTCATCTGGCGATGGCCCTGACGCTTCAGGCAAAATTCGATGCTTCTTTACGTAATCTACAAGCTTTAGGTAGAAGTGACCACTGAACGTTGTCATCTCATCCGCCATTTGTTCTGTAACATTGGCCAGCGCGCTTTCTTCTTACCACTCACCTCTCATCCCCTAATCCCCCTAGCGGATGTGGATGATGTGATCGCCGAGCGAAGATGTCTTTGGATTGAAAAGGTATGGTTGTTTTATTTTTCGTTTTATCCATTCCGCAGGCCAGCGAGGAATTCGACCTCGACCACATCAAAGTGGCCCGAGAATTGTGCGCCGAATGGAACCTCGGGCCTGACGACGCGATTGTCGGGCTGGTGACGCGGTTGCTGCGAAACGGGGAGGATGAAGAGGCGAGCAAGAAAATCACCTCACTTGTGCACACGGAGAGGATATCGGAAAAGGTGTTGATCTAACTAAATTTTTAAACGGCCTTTAGGTAACACATCTACTCGCTGCACGTGTCATGAAATTCACGGATGCCTTGGAAAAGACATTGAACTTGTCGACGGAAAAGTAGGTTTTAGACTTTTCTCCGGAAATGATTTTTTAGTCGCCTCAGAACCCTGGCCGGCGAGGAACGCGATCGAGTACAGTGGCAAAGCGAAGATGCGGACGGCTGGCAACAATCTATCGTCTCACTCGGCCGCATCGCCGCCGCCATTCGCCTGAACGAGACGGCCGACCGGCAGTTGCGCGACATCAGCTCGGTGTGCCTCAACCACTTTGGGATCCGATTCTGGTAGCTGTATTTACTGTACAAATTATTCGTTTGTGATTGTCTTGAGATTCCTGGTGACGTTTTTTATGTTGATTTTGTGTCGGTGCTAAATTGCTGTGCCTGGCATTGACTGTGATATTTTTTGGACATTGAATTTATTGGAATTACACCTAGGGGCCCCTTTCCCCGTTTCCTTCTTCTATCCTACTATATATAAAAAAATAGTGTCTGTGTGTGTGCCACTTTCCATGCAACTTCCGTCAGCGTGTTCCAGTCGTATCTCAAGAGGGGAAGGGATAAAGGGGGCGTATGATACGTCATTAGACGCGTAATGGCCTGTAGATGACTGCACGCATATCAGATTTTACAAAATCGATTGTTTTCCACATTAAAATTAAGGTTTGCCTTAAAATCGGACACCCTCTTTGTTAGGAAAAAATTAGCATAGGCCGGAAGTGGGAGTAGCCTATATAATCGGGGAGAGGATGCGATTTTTCTTTTTTGACATAACAGTGCGGGAGGATTATGCAAAGCGAGGGATATCATAGGGTTCGACGGGGCCAGGGTTGAAAAGTCGCGAAGCGGCTTTTCAACCCTGGTCAATCTTTAAAATCGAAAATTCCAACGCGAATAAAGTTCATATATCAATAAATTGCTAAAGTGTAATTTTAACACGTTGGAAATAGTAAGGCGCTGGATACGACAGCTTGCGCGACATCACTCTAGCGAATCCTTGAACGCCGAGTGGGCGGGTTGACCATGCGCCCCGGCACATCTGGTTGCTTTTCTGTTTACCGAGCCAATCGAAGGTGCAGACAGTACTTTCTTGGCGGCCCGGTGGATTTCTAGCTTGCTCGTAGGTAATGTCGCTTTACTCGAGGTATCGCCACACTTCGGTGCACGAACAGGTTGGCGACATTGAATTGAAAACCAGATCGAAGCTGGTTTCAAGCTGGCCCGGTTTTGGGTCGGTAACAGGGGGGGGGGGGGTACTTTTTACAAAGCGTTCTCTAGCGAAAACTAAGCTATTTTTTTAGGGGTTTACGCATCTTATATATAAAAACTACACAGCAAACGAGGGCAATTTGTTTATCTTTTTATTTCAAAATTTGCGAAAAGGGTCGAATTTTTGACGTTTTGAAAGAGGCTTTGAGCACTTTTATTAATCGGAACCTCCTACAAAACAATAAATCATGTTCGATACAGGAAGTCAGCCCACCCCCACCCCCCTCCGATAACGAACCAGAACCATGTTATAGGTACGCACCCCAATCCCCTACTGCTATTTGATCGTCGGCGTGCTCTTCATTGGTGGAATTATCATATTCATCGTACCCCTCCTATTCGTCGCGCTAGCCTGCGCCTCAACGATTGATTATATAGGGGATTTTGTGAAGAGGTGAGACCAACGAAGTTGCAGAAAACATCGACCTTCCCGCGTGACTGCGCTGATTCAGACATGCCTCCGGAGTCATGTTCGTCCCCAAGCAACAATTGATCAGCGATAAATATGAAACATGCGTCAGCGAGCAACCGCTTAGATGGTTGGCCCTGGGAAGCTACTATGTCCTGGTAGGCTGGAGGTGTAAAACGCCTTCACTCTACCCTCATCCAATCAATACAATATTCAGGTATTGCTTGCCTTCTGCATAGCCGTCGCAATAAACAGCTTCCACCTGGCGACGAATCGAGGCTTGACAAGTACGGGCGCAAAATTTGGCCGATTATGTCTTGTAATTTTGCTAAGCCTCGCCTTTGTTGTGTATCTTTTGATTGCGCTGGAATTTGCAAGGAACCAATTTGTATTCTAAATTGAAAACTCGAACAGCCCCTGATAAAGGTGTTCAAAAACGACCAAAGATGAAAAGACACAAAACTAAAAAGAAATCGTTGACGATGAAAACACTGACGAAGTTTGTAATATGGTGTCCTTCGTATTCACCGATAGGAGTATTGCGGAATGCTCCACATTACGGATATCGTCTAGTGTACTGGTGTGGCATGATGACTGGAAATCTTTCTCATTTAGTTTTGGTCGTTGCACTTTCTCCGTGCATTTCCTTGTTCTTCTTTTGCTCTGTCTACCGGCTGGCCCTGGTGTAATATGGTGAATCTATCGATCCCTTTCATGCTAGGCGTTTCGAGCCTTTGAGTTTTGTTGTCGACCGGGCCCTCTGTCCTGACCGGGCCTGCCTGCCTCCCAAATTTCCTCCATCCATCGCTCCTCACTCTTTACTCTAGCGCCCTACCCCCTCCATTTTATCTTCGACCCTTGCCGTTCGCCCTCCCTATCCCATCCCCAAAAAAACGGCGCTCCTCCTTACATCCTCTATCCGTCTCCATCACTTTTCGAATTTTTTTGTTACTCGGTTAGTAAAGCGCCCGCGGGCGCGCCCGAAATTGCGCCCGCGGGCGCGCTCACGGGCGCGCCCTCGGGCGCAATGGCCAAAAGCGCCCGCGAGCGCGCCCGAAACTCGAAAGCGCCCGCGGGCGCGCCCCAATCGCGTCGCAACGGCGTAGGACGGGTTCTTTTAATGCTTTTATTATTTAAAAAAGAGCACTACATCGCTTTTGGCGATGCTGTACCCTATACTTAATGTAGATCTTCACGTTCCCTGAGAAAATGGTCGTACTGCGCACCTGAAATATGTTTTTTTTGCTTTTTTTTGGCTTTAGCTTCGTTTAGAACTTACCGATACGTTCGAATGCGCGATAGATGGCCGCTAAAAGTATAGCTAATTACATAATTTCCTTTATAAACTTCGTAATTAGCACTTACTTTGTTCCCGCTTCCTGAAAACTTGCTTTGACTTGCTTCTTGCCGACTTACTTTGCACCTCCGCCCAAAGATACCGGAAACGTCGCGCTTCGCATTTGCAATGATGACCATGATCGTCTGAAAGGTCGGCTCATATAAATCGAGAATCTATAAACCTGAATTTAAAGTATTTTTAAAGTTTTTTGAAGGGACTGGTTCCGTAGCAAAACTTTACCTTCGTTACCAGCGCCATGGCGCTTCAAAGTATTGTATTCTACATTCGACGACGACAACCAAGCAAATCTAGTAACGTTTGTGCTAATTTATATATATTTTGAACAAAAATAAGTGCATAAGCCAGGAACTTAGCCGTTTTTTCGCAGAATTGAAAGGTGTTCACCATTCAAATGCGCCCGCGAGCGCGCCCCTAGTTGCGCCCATGGGCGCTTTTTGCGCCCCGAGCGGTTTTGCGCCCTTTTGCAAAAATTGCGCCCGGGGCGCAAAAGGGTCCAGTTCGGGCGCTTTGCTAACCGAGTACTAGGCTTCGGCAACACATAATCCAATTAGGGTTTAATCCGAGTCGCATGATCTTGTCTACAACATTCCATAGGCGGTTATGGGGGATATAAACTAAATTTCATGACTCTGTGCCTATTTATGCTGAGTAAGCCGTTGCTGTCGGTCCCCTAATCTCGAACGCCCTTATCGATTGCACGCTGTTGCCGAGCGCCAGTTCATTTACACACAGGGCCCTTCTTGTGTTTCACCCGGCAATTATATCCACGATGTCCATTCTAATTCGTGTTCTCGATCGAAACTCTACGAATTAAACTTTAAGGTCTTCTTAGAGGTGAAGATGCCGCTCCCTGCGCAAGCCGAAAAGTTTCTGTCCGATGTTGATAAGCACCTGCACCAGGTAAATTTTATTTTTCTATGAAAATTGACTTTCCTTTTCCAGCCGGGCCCGGTCACCAACCTGCTAGCAAAGGCTGAGGAGAAGACTGGACTACGCCGCTTACATATCGTGCTCGGCCTCCTTGGCCTACAGGCCCTCTACCTGGTCTTCGGCCATTTCGCTGCTCTCCTCTGCAACTTCATGGGCTTCATCTACCCCGCCTACATGTCGATTCGGGCCATCGAATCGCAGTCGAAGGAGGATGACACGCAATGGCTAACCTATTGGGTGGTCTTTGCCATCTTCACGGTGAGTGCAGCTCTATTGGCCTTTTCAATGTCTTCTTTTTAGGTCGCCGAATTCTTTTCGCACCAGATCCTGGCTGTCTTCCCGATCTACTGGCTGTTCAAGAGCTGCTTCCTTCTCTACCTCTACCTGCCCGAGACTCTCGGAGCCAAGAAGCTCTACCACAGGTTCATCAAGCCGCTGGTCTACAAGCACGTCCCTTCCATCGACGCTCGCGCCCAGGAGTTTGCCGGAAAGGCCAAGGAGCTTGGACGTGATGGTCGGTTTTTTGCCATTTATCAATTAAAATTTATGCTGAGTGGTGTGTTGCTGCTCGATTTTACCTTCGCATTTCAGTTCTCGACAGTGCCCGTGAGCACCTTCACTAAACTCTACCGTCGTGCTCTGTGAATTACAGCGATGATGGCTGCTACTTTTCTATATTTTGTAACAGTAAATCCCCACCTCCCTTCCCCTTTGCCTCAGTGTCCATTCAGACGTGTTTCCCATCACAGTCATTGCTAAACAGCCTCAATACCTCGGACTCGACGTTGCTAAACAGTGTTTAGTAATGCGGTACTATCAACCTCACGCCCAGGCCTCTGACCTCTCTAGTTATATTCCAATTGAGCTTCTATTTATTCGTCTTCAATGCTTGTGATTCTGATCCGCGTTTCTGTTTGGACAATAGGGCATACCTCATTTTCTCCCGGCACTCTTCATATGTTGTAGGTCCCCTCTCGCATCCCATGGCTATATTGAACGGGGATCAGCCTCATCTTTGCCTATCATGCTGGTTGCTAAAGCCTGTTCCTCTACTTTGGTTTCTTCAACGTCTACTTCAACCACAACGCATATTTCAACCTTGGTAGTCGTCCGGTATAGTGGCCATAATGATCTTTTTACAACACTAAGTAGGTGGTAATAAATTTTTTTATTCTTACCGTTCGAGTTTGTACACACAGGTTGTAAACCAACAGCTTTAATTAGGAGTTTAGTGCGAATAATGCATGTGGGGTCGAATCAACCGGGCTTATGTCGTGATTCAGATGCTTTCGCGAGTGGCACAAACACTACAGGCAGCGAATGTAATCCGCGTTTGTTCTTATCGGAATAAGGTAATCAACATTATTCGCTCACTTACTCCCTTCCTAGGCATCTTTTAACTGGGAGGACGCTTTTGACCTACGAAGTCAATTAACCGATGAAGAACGCACGCTGATGGACACTTCACGCGAGTATGCTACAGCAAAGTTGCTTCCTAGAGTAACGGAGGTGAGCACCGCTGTCCTGCTTTTATCATGATTAGGCCTATCGTCACGAAAAGTTCGACAAGTCTCTGATCCCGGAGATGGGCAAGATGGGCCTTCTTGGCGCTCCATACGAAGGATATGGCTGTGCGGGCACTTCAACGGTCGGTTACGGACTCATTGCGAGGTGAGAAGAGCTATTTTTAGCTTATTTTTGCTTTAGAGAAGTGGAAAGGGTGGACTCTGGCTACAGATCAACGATGAGCGTCCAAACTTCCCTGGTAATCGGGCCGATTTACAATTACGGATCTGAAGAGCAACGCAAGAAGCGAGTTATTTATGCTATGATCAACTTTGCTCTTTTAGATACATTCCCGGCCTTGCAGCGGGAGAGCAGATTGGTTGCTTCGGATTGACTGAACCGAACCATGGCTCAAACCCGAATGGCATGGAGACTCGTGCGAAATGGGACGAAAAGACCAAGACCTACAAGCTGAGCGGAACGAAAACCTGGATCTCAAACAGTCCGGTTGCTGATATCGCCGTTGTCTGGGCGAGGAGTGACAGGTTTGTTTCAATCGTCCCATTGAGCCTTGTATAGGCATGACAACAAGATCAAAGGGTTTATCCTGGAGCGCGGGATGGACGGCTTTACCACCCCGAAAATTGAAGGAAAGCTTTCGTTGCGGGCGTCGATCACCGGACAAATTGCCATGGACGAGGTGGGCGTTGTTTCTTTTGTTCCCAATAGCCTGGTTTAGGTGCCTGTGCCCGAAGCCAACTTATTGCCGAACACCGAAGGGCTCGCTGGTCCGTTTGGATGCTTGAACAATGCTCGATTAGGAATCGCGTTTGGTAAGGGCTTTTCCTTTAGGTATATCTATCAGGTTGGAAAGAAAGTAATGGCACAAAATCTTTAAACCGCTGTAAAACCCGCAGGAACGTCCGATTTGAAAGTTTGATATATGGTTTGGTAGATCTTGGGATGCTCTATCACGAGACGACCCTCAAAACACCCAAAAACTAATGTACGCGAAAATACAGGCCTCAGAAGTTTCACGGAAAATTGGGTGAAAGCTTCTAAGCGAGATATCTCTGCATACAGGCATTTGCATACAACACCTTTAACACCAATCGATAGCCCTCGAGGAGTAGATATCGATAGATGTTGAGATCATCAAAAATCGGACACTGGATGGCCGAGATATGTGCCTTCCAAAATCAATGCATTTTCTGGATTTTGGTTCGGGAGCTGAAGCAAACGCAGCAGTTTTTGGCTCGCGCAGGCCAAAATGTATGGGATTTCGAGAAAAGTTGTAAGAAGTGGACCAAATTTCTAGGGCCTGGTTCTCGGCCATCCAGTATCCGATTTTGATGATCTCAACATCTATGGATATCTACTCCTCGAGGGCTATCGATTGGTGTTAAAGGTGTTGTATGCAAATGCCTGTATGCAGAGATATCTCGCTTAGAAGCTTTCACCCAATTTTCCGTGAAACTTCTGAGGCCTGTATTTTCGCGTACATTAGTTTTTGGGTGTTTTGAGGGTCGTCTCGTGATAGTGCATCCCAAGATCTACCAAACCATATATCAAACTTTCAAATCGGACGTTCCTGTGGGTTTTTACAGCGGTTTAAAGATTTTGTGCCATTACTTTCTTTCCAACCTGATACATCCTTCTTAGGTGCACTGGGCGCCGCGGAAGATTGTCTGACTCGTGCCCGAGAATACACATTGGAACGCCATCAATTCGGCCGGTATGCCGTTTCCAAAAACTTATTACAGCTAATTTGAGGCCACTAGCGGCCAACCAATTGATGCAGCTGCGTTTTGCCGACATGCTGACTGAAATCACGCTGGGCTTGCAGGTGATATTAAAATTGGAGGAGACGTTCATTTTAGGCGTGCCTCCGTGTGGGACGTCTGAAGGACGAGGGACGCGTGCACCCGGATATGATCTCTTTGATTAAGCGCAACTCTTGTGGAAAGGCTTTAGATATCGCTCGCAGGGTTGGTTGAATTGTTAGAAGGAAATGCCGTTTTCCAGGCTCGCGACATGCTTGGCGGTAACGGCATCGTGGACGAATACCACATCATGCGCCACCTGTGCAATTTGGAAACCGTAATTTTTACCAGTCGCTCGTTTTACTTTTGTTTAGGTCAACACATATGAAGGAACTCACGACATCCATGCGCTGATCCTCGGCCGTGCCATCACCGGACTGCAAGCGTTCAAATAACTTTGCATCATAATGTTTTTCGGTTGTGATTACCTTTGCTTATCCTGGATTTTCCGAAAAGCCATTCTATGGACAATTACTACTCTTCCGGTGCCTTTCGTTAGACGTTTGACTAGATGTTCTTCGTAGATAAACATTTTTGTGAACGTCAATTGTCAAGACTGGGTCAGTTTGTTCAGTTCGTATTGGTTGACAGAGAAGGGGTGAAATACGGTTTGCCAGATGCCGCCCTCGGACGACATCTTGGAGGATTTGCTGTTCGGTGTAAAACAGGAGAAGCCGAAGCGCGGCACTGCCCCGAAGCCTAAAAGTGGTAAGGCTCCTGAGGAGCCTGTCAAAACGGAAGGGCCTGGTCCTATTCGGGTAAGTTCTTGGACTATTAGAATTACTGGCCCATAGTTGCTGCCAGCATCGCTTCAGATGGATTTCACCATTGAGGAGCAGTCCAGTGATGATGAAACTCAAGGTTTGGAGTATTAAAACGCGTGGTTTATTTTTTTGTAGATGTCGAAATACTATCGGGCCATCGTGCAAAAGCCAAAACCTTAAAAGTCGCGAAGAAGCTGGTGAATCGGGAAAGAGTTCGGGCCGACCAGGTAATCTAGCCTTTTTTCTCGACCTGCTTGCAGATCGTTGAGGTGAAACGTCTGAATGGCATCTTCACATACGGCGAGTCAATCCCGGACCCTCTAATTAATTGGAACACCCCGCCATTCCCTGCCAAACTGATAGAAAATCTGAAGGTTGATTGAAAAATCGGTTCTATATTTCTTTTAGGAATTTCGAATCACGGAGCCGTCCCCAATTCAAATGCAATCGATACCAATAATGCTTGAGAAGCGCGATTTGTTAGCCTCGGCGCCGACTGGTCTGTGATGATGCAAGCTTGAATAGATGTTTTGCAGGTTCGGGAAAGACGCTGGCTTTTGCGGCTCCTGTTATCACCGAAATCGTAAGGTTGAAAAAGCTGGAGAAATATGCGGCTGGTGGGAAGCAGCTTGCGATCGTGCTGGAGCCAACGCGAGAGCTAGCGGTTCAAGTATGTATTTTCTTGTCGAATAAATTTAATTATTTTAGACCTATCGACAGTTCATCAAATTTTCACAAGGTCTTCCACTAACGACTGCGCTTCTAGACGATATTGAGGAGCTGAAAAAAGGTTGAGTTATTGATTGGACTCGAGCAAAATCTTTTAACTGTATTCATAATTTACGAAAACTTCCATTTCAGCCGACGTCATCGTTGGAACCCCTAAGCGTCTTCTGGAGGTGATTCCGGAAATCAGCCTGAAGTGGCTGCGATGGTAAGCTAGTTATTCCATGCTCAAGCTTTACATTTTCAGGCTTATTGTCGATGAGAGCGATCGCTTGTTCGACAATGTGGCCACGAAACGGAATGGCGCCAAAGATACTTTCAGAGCACAGGTCAGGGAAATGTTTCTGTAAAAAATAGCGTATTTCAGCTTTCGGCCATTTACGCCGCATGCAACGGCAAATGGATCAAACGCGCGTTCTTCTCTGCCACGTACAACCAAGAGGTAACAAATCGATTTTTGCCGCTAACAAACTCTTAGGTGGAAAAATGGTGCAAAGAGCAAATCCCGGATTTGGCTATGGTGTGCATCGGTGAAAGGTGACTGCGTTTTATTCTCCATCAAAATTTTTTTAGAAACGTTGCCAACTCGAATGTGGTTCAGGAGTTGATATTCACTGGAGATGAGCAGGGCAAGGTAAATTTTCGTTTACTCCTTGAACCGTTTTTAGCTTTTTGCGCTGCGCAATCTGCTGGTGCAAGCGTACGAGCCGCCCGTCATGTTATTCGTTCAAGTAAGCTGATATTTTTCGATTTATCGAGTCGCATCTGCAGAGCAAGGAGCGTGTCCGGCAACTGGAAACCTGGTTTTCAAATCTATCGTTCACAGTGGCGTACGCCGTGTTGTCGAGTGATTGCTCGCAGGCGGAGGTTCGTCTACTTTTCTTCATTTGCTTGCTTTCGGTGACTCGAATAAAACAATACCAATTTTAGCGTGACGCTGCGCTGATGGGCGTTCGAACTAGAAAAACCTGGGTATTAGTGTGTACGGAGTTGGCCGGGCGCGGACTTGATCTGCCTACCGTCAACCTAGTGATAAATTTCGATCTGCCGACTACCGTTGTCTCGTACATCCATAGAATCGGTAGCTATTTTTTCCGCATATCCCACTTTTTAGGCCGGACTGGTCGAGCCGGGCGGAAGGGACGCGCAATTACGTATTTCACTCGTAATGACTTTAAGGTAAGCTGGAGCTAGCAGATTGGCTTTTTCAAAACTCGTCGATACCCTGGCCTTGCTAATTTTAAATTTTAGTACCTGCGCCCGATCGCTACTGTCATCCACCAATCGGGCTTCGAAGTCCCAGAATACACTTTGAAGCTGAAGCCCATCGCCAGGTTATCCACCCGCGATTTCATAGATTTTTTTGTTTAGAAAAGAGAAGAAGCAAATCTACCGCCATGCCATCAAACGGAAAAGTGTTGCCAAGCCGAAAGTAAATCATTTTATAAATACACAAAATCTGAGATTTCAGCGGAAACGCACACACGGAAAAGGCGACAAGGGTACGCCAGCAAAGAAGGCAAGAAAAGAATAGAGAGATTTCGATTGGTTTGGGATATTGTTGAGTTTGTTTTGTTACATTGTTATCGCGCCTTGTTGACGATATGGAATGCATAAATTGGACCCTGATAATCTTGTTAGCTCTAAAGTCTGACTGGGAATGAGGTGGGGGTGAGAATCGACGGGCGAAGCATGGTGTGTTGATACAGGCAAAAATTAGTCATTGGTGAAGAACCAATCTGGGGGTTCAACAAAGAAGACGCCTCCATCGGTGGCACAGTATGTTGGGCACACCTAAAAATAGTGTACGTTCCGCACCTGATTACGCTAAATTTTATCTTTTTTTATAATATAAAGCGCAAATATTTATAAGAAACATGGAACCCCGCCCTCTCCCCGATAATAAGAATCAAAAGCTTATATAAGAAAATACCAAACACGACAGCCATTTACCCACTCACCCCTTTCTCGCCTTCAGGGCCATCTTCTCCGATAGGTCCTCCTAATCCCGGCTCTCCCATTGCGCCCGGCAAACCATTCTGGCCCTTAGGGCCCCGAGGACCCGCTGGCCCTCTAGGACCATCGATACCCGGCATCCCGACCGGACCTAAGCAAAGGCTTATTTTTTAAAAACAAAAAATAATTACCGATTGGGCCCTTCGGTCCGGCATCTCCGGTTTCTCCAGGTGGCCCTGGGATAAATGGCGAGGGCATGGCGTCTTCTCCTGGATCTCCGACGATGCCGTCAAGTCCGGGGATACCTCTGAAAAGTGCATGTTTTTTGGATGTGAATAAATTGTTTGGCAGAATAACTGGTCCAAACGTTGCTTTTTCCCTGGCCGTCCGCCAACGGATACTGTATTTGTTGTCGTTGTGGAAGTTCTTTCCTTATTTAGTCTCTTTTTGTAAGACATTACTGCGTTTTCTTTTTTCTTTGCCGCTATCACGATTTTCTTAAATTAATTTCTAGCAATCCCACCGTTGTCCTTGATCGCCAAGCCTTCCCTTCTTGCCATCCAATCCGGCCTTTCCGGCTTTACCAACCGTTCCGATTTCTCCCTTGTCGCCGGGGAAACCCTAATCAATTTTTATAGCTAGGCTCTACTCTCACCATAGGTCCTGTTTTTCCTTGAACACCGGCGGGGCACGGATCAGGACAATGCTTGGCGTAGTCGATCGGTGGGTCACATGGTAGCCGCGCGGGCATCCCGGGGGCGCCTAGCTATTAGCATGCTGACAGTGCTTTTGGAGTCCGGTTCGTCAATTTTATAGGTTTTTTTTGAAAACTTTGAAATTCACTATGTTGGGATCCGTTATGGCGAAATTTCATAACGACAATTTTCCGCAATGTTGAAATTAACAAAACCAGAAAAAAATAACTTCCCTCCCTGAAGCCCCATCCCTTCCCTACCTGGCGTTCCAGGCTGTCCCATCAGACCGGCCCTTCCGGGCAACCCTGGCGGTCCACGAGGGAATTCACAGCTAGAAAGAGGCTTGATCAGTAAAGCCAGCAGAACTTACGGGCAATCAGTCTCTGATACATGGCGGCCGATTCGAGAAGAATTTGCCGTTGAGGCGGAAAGGAAAAATTGCTCGGCTTCACGGATTAACGCCTACAAAATGTAAACGAGCTACAGAGACAGGAAGGCCGCACCTCACAAGCATTGCTCTCCTTGACGATGTGTGCATCCAACGACCCGGCAAAGGCTTTCAGAAGCGGGTAAGCTGTTAGGGCGGAGGAGATGGCGATCAACGAGATAACCAAGGAGACCCAGATGGCCACCTCGTAAGCGCGCTCTCGATACACTCCGCTAGTCATTCAGCGCAAGGCTTAAAAAGTAGAATGGTGGCACAGCTTGAACATTGCAAAAAGATAATGATTTCTGGGGCTCGGCACGATGATTTTCGAACGACGAAAACGCGGGAATTCTGATCGAAAAAAACGCTAAAATTAAAGGCGATAGCCGAGTTTACGGGTGAACAAATGCGACAAATCAGCGGGTTGATCGGTTTGCAGAAGGTGAAAAGTGGGCCAGAAGCCGACCGGTGATGGGCTCGCGCTGATCGAGCGAGTGCGGGGCAGTGCGTTGGTCCAGCGAATTGGGTCAACTCGAAAGGAAACGCCCCAATCAACCCAGCACAATCACTTTCGCCCCGCTCCGGCTGGACCGGTATGCGAAAAAGGCTGTTGCATTCCCTGGTCCGGGCGGGTGACGATTTGTGGAGATGATGGGGGGGGGGGGGAGGAAGGGCGGGAAGTACGGAAGTACGGAAAAGGAGGTTTCAAAAATAGAAATGAAAAGTGTCGATTGGTAAAACATAATTTTTTAACGTGTTATGCTTATTCGTCCCTCTCTCTCTCTCTCTCTCTCTCTCTCTCTCTCTCTGTCTCTCTCTCGCTTCATCTCTCCTAATTGTAAGAAAAAGCCCCCAATTTCAGGTAAGTACATGCATGCAGGCCTCGTCATACCGTGTCGGCTTGCGTTGCCATCCACTTCATTTTGCCACGGGGTCACTATCTTCTAGCTATTTCTTTCTATATGCCAGATTTAGTATGCGTTTTCCCGCCGCCTTGCCGTCGCCGCCATGTCCTCATCTATCACAATTGGCCGGCCTGAGGTTTCCACACCAGGTGCCTTTTCCATATTACAAAACAACGTTGTCAGATGGCTTAGCGGAAATCGAGCCGCTAACAGCACCTAATATGGCTGGACCCCTGAAATATACAAAAGTCCGGAAATTCAACAAGAACTGGCAAGGGTTTGTTTATGCAATTTTCGAATGATCGGCTCCTTTAGGTACCAATTGTCCACGATGAACACGATCAATCGACGGAACGAGAAAATGCGCCAGCACGAAGCTGCCGAACGACGAACGAATTTCTTGTTAAAATAGTAGGCGAATTTGCGGGTAGTCTACGAACTAATTCTTCAGTGCTGCCTCCCAAAACGACGGCGCAAAAATTGTACAACTTTTACTGACGGGATTGCAAAAACGGGAGTGGGACGAGAAATTGGTGGGTTTAGTTTAATGCATATATTTTACCGATGTATAATTTCAGGTTATCACCGATGGTTATTTGAGGCTGGGAAACATGTTCGAGGCAAATTTAGCGACACCAAGTGGCTGAACGCTTTTACAAAACACCATTTCTTAGATCCTCCCGATCTGACGCAACTATACGTTTCAACCCTAAACCTACTTAACTATCCCAGTGCCATTGATGGGCATAATCTAGCGGCGGGGATGCTGTTTTTATGGATGAAGGTTTTTCACTCATGTTTTCACTACTTTTTTTATCCTAGGTCGAAAAATGGGTGGAGCAGAATCCCAGCAGAACACCCGAGATGCAAGCCGACATGCAGGCATTGGCGAAAAAGTTCTCACGAAAGGTAAAAATAAAACACAGATAAAGAACTTATATTCTAGTAAAAGCATACACTTCTAAATTGTTTTTAGTTGGGATTTCTGCGATTGTCGAAAGTTAATGCGCCTTTCTCCCTGACCCAGCGGGCTGCCATGAGAAAGCGAATACAACAACTAACGGGCCAAAGTGATGAGCCGAAGATTATGTTGCCACAAAACGACTACGATCTGGTATTTAATTTCTAGAAATCGGGTTACTCTCTAGAGTCTGAGCCTAGTCGACACGTTGCGCGAGCCGGTTAGGGCAGTCGAATATTCTGGGAACCCATTCAAGGCGCGTGGCTTCAACGAGGTGACTTTCTCCTCCACCTCCTATTTCCCGAAACTTTAGAAAAATCACAAGCGCTTATTTCGGAAGCAATTGAGCGCTGTGAAAGAGACATGGACAGATATGCCTAATCCTTGCTATGAGCCAGGTATAAACGGTTCTTTTGTAGGTTAAATCCGTTCCAGATTGCTCTTCTTTAAGCGCTGAAAAATACCTGGAAGCACTGGGGTGGCAAGGCCAGCTGGCAGAGGCCCTGGCAAATTACATGAATACTAAAGGACGCAATCGCTTTTGTAATATTTTATTATTTTTGCCACAAAACGTATTTGTTTAGTGGCCTCACTTGTACATGTCATCGGCGCGGAAAATATGGCTGCCATGATCCACAAATCCATTTCTTGCATTCTAGCGCAGGGAAGCGCTGTTGTTATGCGGCATTCTTTTCAGGTAACTGCCTTAACTTCGGATTCATATTTTTTTAGCGAACAATTATCGAACCACTCGTGATGAAATTCCAAAGAATGTGTCTAGAATCGGTTTCCCCTGAAGACGATGAGGTTGTCTAGCTTCCGAAGAAAGTATTTTTTTTATATTTAGGTTTTTGCCAAACTCTTTGCTGATTATTCACGTTACTTCTTCGAAAAATCGGTGAGCCGTCAGCACACCCATCGAAGCTGGTGGAAACATGTCTGCGAAGCTAACGGCGTCTCTGACCGAATACAGGCGAGAATCTCTTTAGGCAACCACTCTAATTTTTAGCTCCCCTACACATGGTTCTCGATGGACGTCTATCAGGAGATTTCCATTCAGCTGGAGACGCTCATTTTCAAGATATTTTCATTCACCGAACCTGCGAAGACTCAAAATCGATATCCTGGTATAGGTTATTAGTGCTGAATGTATGATTTTAGTTGAGAAGCCCGTTTTCTCGATCAAGAACATTTCTCAGGAGACGGAGGCAGCAAAAGAGGGCTATGTGAATGCTGCTGTGATCGTACCGGCGGTAAGCATTGCATCTAAAATCGGACAGCAGTGTTGAGCTTGTGCTTGGAGAAAAACACAATTTATAGCCTAGCACCAGTTTTCTCTTTTTTTTGTTAATTATTGTCCCGTGTAATTACACATACTGATGGAATAAACCATTCAAATTAAAATAATTGAATGGAGGTCGAATAATGATGTTTAGATCAAGATCGCGCCCGAATTTATGGAGACGCTGATGACGCACCGATTCGAGCGGTTATCCTTTCCCAGCACTGAGCTGCCAATGGTGGTAATATAACGTTGTTAAAAAAATATTCTATTCCTTCCCCTAGGTCCCGCCACGCCCGTGGAACGACTATGGGATCGGGGGCCCGCAATACCAGTCCTCTTCACGTGTCATCCGCAACGCCAGCGAGTTTCCCGATTTCAAGTCGAACCAGGAGTGCCGACAACGACTGACACAACGGTATCAAAACGCAAATTTTTCTATGTATTAGTTTTTAGACAACAAGCACGCCCCGTCTGGGATGCGCTCAATTTTCTCGGCTCTACACCGTGGAAGATCAACGTGCCGCTCCTTGATCTACTTTTGAAGGTATAAGTTTTAAAACTACTTTTTTGCCGTATACGAAGTTAAATCTCCTATTTATAAATCTAATCTAAATAGGTCTCTAAAATGGGAGAACGTGCCGAACACCGGGCACTAATGAAACAACTAAACATTCCCATGTGCCCAATGACGATTGAAAGGAATCAAGTGACGATAAAAGCGGTACGATGTCTTCACTTTTTCTTATTTTTTCAGCTTTTCGGTGATTACCCTGGCTATGTAGACATGACCAAAGAAAACTGGACAGAGTTTCGCCGTCAGAAATACTTGCTGTTCAAGGAGAGGTCAGTTTTTCGGTTCATTTTCAATAGAAAATCTGTTTAGAAATGAGGCACATAGTCTGCGATCGTATCTCCTCTATCGACTCGCTCAGGCCAACTATTTCCGCATGGACACGCTCTACTTCCCGCATAATATGGTTTGAGTGGCGATATTACACATATTTTTTAAGGATTTTCGTGGGCGCGTTTATCCGATCTCTCCTCACCTCTCCCATATGGGCGATGACGTCAACAGATCTCTTTTAATATTTGCTAGAGGTTTTTGAAACCTCATTGTTAGCTTTTATTTTTAGGCAGACCCCTCGGAACAAACGGGTTGCATTGGCTGAAACGGCACGTCATCAATTTGACCGGCCTCTACAAGAAGAAGAGTGTCGAGGAGCGGGATAGGTGAATTCAATTCATTTAGCACGAACCAGGGTTGAAAAACCGCTTCGCGGCTTTTCAACCCTGGCCCCGTCCAGGACCTGCGAAAGTCCTCAATTTGCAGGCTTCTCCCTAAATTCTAGCAAGAAAAGTGAAAAACAGCTCCTCTGTCCCTTTATATAGGCCCTCCCTACTTTCGGCGCATGCAAATTGTCTCCTAACAAAGAGGTTTTTGGAAATCTTTACAAAAACTTATTCTTAATAGCGAAAACAGCCGACTTTCCTAAATCTTATATGTGTGCACTCATCTCGGGATCCTTACGCACCTAATGACGTATCATACGTACCTTAAAAACCTTACCTTGAGGCTGTAGCTGCGGCACATACTTACGGAAGTTACATGCAAATAAACACACACACACACAGACACTATTTTTTTATATATAGTAGGATAGAATTTCGGGTTTAGAATTGCGGACGAGCTACTCCCCAAAATCTTGGCATCGGCTGAGAACCCCCTCGACTGCGAAGGACAGTGGTGGAAGGAGTCGGAAGCACCCTTCCAAACCCTGGCTGCCTGTATCGAGATCAAAAAGGCGATCGACTCGGGGAATCCGGAGAAATTTATTAGGTACCAGTTTTTCTGATTTTCATACACATGGTACTGGACTGCTAGCAGGGGGGCAGTAAGGTTGGTTTTCCGTCTGTAACTACCTGTTGTAATCCCAAACTTTGAAGCTTTTTTTGCCATTTTTATATTTTACCAAATTTAAAAATTTGCGAAAATTTTAGAGGTTTTTTAGGAACGTTCTTATCTATCTAACACTGCGTGAAATGACATAAAAATGGTTGAAATTTTCTTATAGGACCGTACAGGATCACTGTGAAAAACTAGTTTTTCCCCTGCTAACCCCCCCCCCGCTAACAGTGCAGTACCATACACTAGTAATTTATATATTTTTACTTTCACCTAAATATAGCCATCTTCCCATCCACCAGGACGGCAGCTGTAATGGGCTGCAGCACTACGCAGCACTTGGCCGCGACAAAGAGGGCGCTGCTGAAGTGAATCTGCTGCCAGCCGACATCCCCGGTGATGTATATTCCTCGGTGGCGAAGCGGTTTGCCCGATTTTTCTTCCAAAGTTAAATTAATTTAGGGTAGAACTCCGGCGACTGCACGACGAGAACGAGGTGTCGCCGTCCGCACATAAAGTGGCGCGTGAGCTACGAGAAGCCATGCCCCAGGAGGTGCCCAGGAAGGTCATCAAGCAGACGGTGATGACTACGGTGAGTTGGGAACCGAAATTTTTTATGAAAGTCTAGGAATGTCTTTAAGCTAAATAGGAATTGTTCTAATAGTGTTTCTAATAAAATAACACTTATTTACCTAAATCATCGAAATTTTGCACAAAAAACGGCCTTTTTAAGTCGAAAGTCGATATTTTGATTTTTAGCAAAAATTTGTAAAGTTTTGACGTTTAAGAATAGTAAAAAGCTGTTCAAAAACAATTCCACTGTTTAAATTGGAAAATTGGTCACCGTACTTTTATCCTAATTAACTCGATTTAGGTCTACGGCGTGACGATGCGAGGAGCCGAAATGCAAATTCTCAAGCAGCTGAAAGCCTTGGAACTCCCCGGAGACGTGAGTATTCCTCATCGTAATTCTATGGTATTATTTTTCTTTTCAAGCTTAAAGCGTTCGCGAGATACTTGGCCGATTTGACGTTCAAGTCCTTAAACGACGCATTCAAAAATTCCATGTAAGCGATGATCTTGTTCTCGATCCTCCTCATTTAGGGAATTGAAGGAGTGGTTCCGACAATGTGCAAAGGGCATCGCTCAACTGCACCGCACCGTCGAGTGGGTCACACCACTTGGGCTGCCTGTCGCCCAGCCCTACGTGAAGATGGAGACGCACCGGGGAATCCGCTTTCCGCGGCCTATCGCCACCAAGCAGATGTCGGCCTTTCCCCCGAATTACGTCCACTCGATTGACTCGACGCATATGATGCTCACCGCGCTGGAATGTGCAAGAAGGCCAGTCGAGATTTGCACAATATTGCTAATTTTTGGGTCGCCGTTTTTCCTACGTGGATATGTATAGTAACACATTGTTTAGTAAAATTTAGTTATATTTAAACTCTAAAAACGTAAAGATGTTAAACTAGGCCGGAAAACTTTTTTCAAGCTTTGACGCTTGGGCATGGTAAAAAACTGTGAAACTGTTTAGAACACTTTAAAACTAAAATCTTTCCATATTTGTAACGTTTAAAGTCCCTGGAGTCCCTGGAGTATTAAAAAGCTGTCTAGAAACTTTTCATCTATTTATCTGAGAAAAATTGGATTGGAAAATTGCTAATGATCCTGACGAAAAAAATTCTATTTTACTCCCGAAAAAACCCATACTATTTTTAGAGGACTGACATTTGCCGCTGTGCACGATTGTTACTGGACCCATGCTTCAAGCGTCGAAGAGATGAACCATTTATGTCGCGAAACCTTCATCAGGCTGCACTCTGAACCGCTCGTCGAACAGTAAAATTCTTACCCCAGCCAAACACGCCCTTTCAGGCTTAGCGAGCAGTTCAAGAAAAACTACCTACCAGAAGATCTGCAAGATCGTATGGATGACTTGGAACGAGAATATTACGAGGGGCTGCTAACGCCTCGCGTCCCGCCGGGCACCCTCGATCTTTCAGAGGTTCAAATCTTTCCAGTCGCCACAAAAATTTTTTTTCTAGGTGCGCAACTCGGTCTACTTCTTCAGTTAGCGCCTCTTCTAACTTTTATTGCAACCCGTTTACTTATTTCATATACCCTGATGCTCAGAACTATTACGGTCTCATTCATTTGTTCCCCCCAATCTGGTCACTATTTCTTGTTTGAAGCACGTTGTTGAAAGTTGTTGTTTTCGCTTGTTCTCGAATTAATGAACGTATCGGAATAAACCTTTGTCCGGCGGTTTGGCCCGCCATCGCGGGCTTGGCAATGCGGATGACTATGTTTGTACCCCAAAATACCAATTTTACGTCTAAAGTATTTGCTGACATCTTCGACTGGCATTAGTCAGCTTACTAATATACAGGGTGTCCCAAAAAAAAGTGGCCAAGTTTGTCCCCAATTATCTCGAGAAGGAAAGATATTTCACCGTGCGTTACCATGCCAGAATGCTTAAATATGTCAGGAATAGGGAAATAACTCAACTTGATTTTTTCGATTTTTGAGTACGCAACTGTACTATTGACGCTGGTTACGACCGAAAATTGTGCGTTCTTGAACGGGTGGTGGGAAAATTCTGATTTTTGGCCCAAAAATCGTTGGCATTTGTAGAAAGCTAATGGCCAAATATTAGAATTTTTGAAGCGCCAGTTCTTTTTTTACAAGCAAAACAAATTTCACTGTTTTGTATCTTTTTACATTTTAATTCGCAACTCGCTTCAAATACGCTGCCCATGACTGACCTTTTGCAGATGGTTTCTCCAAATGATAATCTTTAGCACAACACCAAATTTTACCGGATTCTATGGTATTTTAATATTGCTTGCTAAAACGTGCCCCAGAGGGATATTCTCTTTTTCATCTATTTATCTGAGAAAAATTGATTGGAAAATTGCTAATGATCCTGATGAAAAAATTCTATTTTACTCCCGAAAAAACCCATAGTTTATTTTTAGAGGATTGACATTTGCCGCTGTACACGATTGTTACTGGACCCATGCTTCAAGCGTCGAAGAGATGAACCATTTATGTCGCGAAACCTTCATCAGGCTGCACTCTGAACCGCTCGTGGAGCAGTTTTAAAATTCTTACCCCAGCCAAACACGCCCTTTCAGGCTTAGCGAGCAGTTCAAGAAAAACTACCTACCAGAAGATCTGCAAGATCGTATGGATGACTTAGGAACGAGAATATTAAACCGAGGGGCTGCTAACGCCTCGCGTCCCGCCGGGCACCCTCGATCTTTCAGAGGTTCAAATCTTTCCAGTCGCCACAAAAATTTTTTTCTAGGTGCGCAACTCGGTCTACTTCTTCAGTTAGCGCCTCTTCTAACTTTTATTGCAACCCGTTTACTTATTTCATATACCCTGATGCTCAGAACTATTACGGTCTCATTCATTTGTTCCCCCCAATCTGGTCACTATTTCTTGTTTGAAGCACGTTGTTGAAAGTTGTTGTTTTCGCTTGTTCTCGAATTAATGAACGTATCGGAATAAACCTTTGTCCGGCGGTTTGGCCCGCCATCGCGGGCTTGGTAATGCGGATGACTATGTTTGTACCCCAAAATACCAATTTTGCGTCTAAAGTATTTGCTGACATCTTCGACTGGCATTAGTCAGCTTACTAATATACAATATCTAACCAGGATTTAACCAACCTTTTATAGATCACCCCTGGCCTTTGGCGGGGAGCCTTAAAAGCTGCACACTTTGTATAGTTTCAAGCGAAAGCATTAGCGCAAGACTTCCGAACCTTAATGATAGCAAAAGCGACCGGGTGCAAGCGCGACAAAATCCAAAATGAGCCTTCTCTCGAAAACCCCGCCCCGGGACACACTTACGTCAGAGGGCCAAAAAGCCTCCCCTTCCTGCCGACGATCGGTCATCACCCGAATGAACATCAGACTGGCCAAAAACGGGGGTAAAAATTCACAAAAACCAACCGGAAACGCACAGGGATAAAAAGTTTATTCAGGCAATATATAAATGGGCAGACAGTTTCCGACGCGATTTCAGTTGGCGATAGTTGGGTGCTAAGTACAGTACAAGCTAATAATAGAGACTAAAAGTTACAGAGTCTTTTTTCCGAATACTTTGATCGAGTAGAGGCATGTGTAGGCTTGTCCGTGGTTTCCATTGACCCGCACCGAAATGGCCTCGACGGCGCCAATGCTCTAAAGTAGATTAAGTGTCAAGCGAGGGCGGAAACGAACCGATGAGTTGTCAATGAGGCAAGTTTCTTTTGATAGCCCGTGAGATCCATAGGCGCAGCTGCCCAAGATGGTTCCAGATGCATCGTCCGCATATGTGTAGCCCTGAAAGGTTAGACTGAGCTAGAACTAGAAAGAATTCGCGAGTCGAAAATTTTTGAAGCCAAAAACTGAGCTATCTCCCTGGAATAAAACCATACTTCGAATTCCAAATCTCGTGGCGCGCTCAGTGGAGGTACTTCCGCGCCGTCCCAACCGACATGCTGGTACTCGATGCGGTCTAAAGTGCAAAATATCCCGAAGAGACAAAGCGTACCAACGACGGCCGGCCTGGCCAGGGTAAAGTGATAGACGCCCTTGCTACCCTCGAAGCACCAGCAGTCGCCCGATTGCAGCAGTGGCCTTTCCTAGCAAAAAGTAATAATAAAAAGAATATGTAGCTCACCGTCAATGGAAAAGTGTCCGTTTGCAATGCAACAAAGTAGTTGACGAGCCAATGGCCGAGCCGTGGAGCAAAGGTTGAGCTTGACCGCGCAGGATTGAACTTGGCACCTGAGAATTGAGAGTTACAAAACAAGAGTGAGTAATACCGTATTGCGCGCTGGCATAATTGAACTCGCGCGGGCCTTGGGCTTGTTGTTGAGAAGAGGTAGCTTGCTGGTATTTCTGAAACAAGATATCCAAGTCTTTCGCTAAAAATGTTTTACCGTGACAAGATCATCTAGCTGGCGCAGCAAAGACTTTTCGCTCTCATTGGTCTTCGTCAGCAAGTGCTGCATATTTCGCTCCGTTTGATAGCAAGCTTGCTGGCTCTAAAAAAATTCTAGCAAAGAAACCGAAAACCTACATCACGGTTGTCTTTGCGGATTCCATTCATCTCTTTGAAAAGGTCGATCCGCAGCTCATCCATTGACTTCCGAAACTGTTGCAGGTCGCCGTCAAGTCTATCAAGGCGTAGCTTCAGCGCATCCTAAATCAAAATTACGAAGACAGGCAATAAGCAAACCTCCAGGTTCGTAAATCGACCGCTCAACAGACCGTGGTCAGAGGGAATCAAATGTCTACTATCCGGGACATCTCGCCAGCGCATCACCATAATTCCAAGTATTACCGCAACGGGTACGATCACGAAGGGAAGAATTTTGTGCATCTAAAACGAGAGTCGCCAGAGCGAAAAACCGGCAAACCTCATTTCGAAAAACCGCCTTCATCCAATGGTAAATGAAGAAGCGACGAGAGCCCTCCGGGTTTCGATAGCGAGGATTGGTTCGCGTCTTCAAAAAATATAATACTGGACGGATAGCCATACCCGTGGTGGACTCTTCTCAAAAGACGTGCCGTGCCACACACACTCGAGTTGACGTGACGATGCCGAAGTGTGATGGAGGGAAGAGCGCGGCGATGTTGATCTGCGGGTGAAGCTCAACGGTTCGTCATGTAAGGACATTGCCTGAAAGTGCGCGGAATAATTCGGGACTAACGCGCCAGAAAAGCTATCGAACAGTGTTGCAAGAGGATAATAAGCAAAACCAGATCACGACCGCCAAGATATTCAAACAGCTTCTGAAGATTTCAAACTTGCAACTAATAAAACCAACAAAAATAAAAACTGTTTTTACAAATTTTATTCACGAAAATAATTTTTTACGAAAAGCTGTAGCCGATAGTCGCGTCCGTAGCAACACCAATTACGGGATTTCTTGCCAGAACCAGGTACCGTAACCGCCCGGTCGAACTGCGGGAAAATCAAATGCTTTTCCTCACTTTCTGCAACAGGTTCAACCACCCTTTAACGGTGATCAACGACAACGCAAGATGGCCGCAACGAAGACCGACGAAATCGCCGACCTGAGCGATAAGCTGAAGAAGACTGAGCTGAAGGACAACGGCGAGCGTCGCCGCCGCCAACAGCGCCAAATGATGACCGAAGAGGAGCTGCAGGCGTTCCTGGCCGACAAGGATAAGAAGATTGTCAAGCGCAACGTGAAGGGTACCGTCAAGTGGTACTCCGTCCTGGGCCACTATGGTTTCATCGGCACCGAGACCGAGGAAGACGTCTTTGTGCACCAAGTGAGTTTGTTTCTGCTTTTCGTTCAGTGGCTTGTACCGATTCCCGATCACCTGATCGAAAATAACTCAATAGGTCATAGGTCATTTCAATCGACCTTTTGCACCTTTAATTTGGCGCGCATCTTTTATTTTTTTCAGACGTCTATCGCCAAATCGAAGACTGAAAAGTACTACCTGCGCACCCTTGGCAACGGTGAATCGGTCAAGTTCGACATTGCTGAGAGCGACAAAGGACTGGAGGCGGTGAACGTCACCGGACCGGACGGCGGTGAAGTGGTCGGCTCGCGCTACCACCTTCTTCAGCTGCCCTGGTTCCGTCAAGGTATATTTTTTTGGTAGCGCTTTACCCATGCTCTTTTAGCTTTCTTCGAGCGCAAGAGGAACGTCATCAACCGCAAGGCTGGTGACGACGAACAGAATCCGCGCCGACGCAACGTCAAGTCACAAAACGACCGTGACGACAAGGTCGAGCAGAAGCCGACGCGCACCCGCAAACCTCGCCGGAACTCCAACAAGCAAGAAAAGGCTGAGGTTCGTTTTTTACGATCTTTCTTATCTTTCTGATCTGTGTGACCTTACATTGCTGATTTAGAAGGCCGGTGAGCGTCGCCGCGGCCGCACCGTCTCGAAGACTGGAAGCGAGGCGAGCAACAAGGACACCACGGCGGACCCTGCTGCCGGCGACACGAAGCGAAAGGAAACCAACTAACCATTTATTAACATTGTTGTTAATTTGCTTTCAATTTGTTCTGTAAATAAATTTCAATCGCATCTGTTTTGCTGGAGACGCTGACCAAGCGTAATTTCCGGATAGATTCTTACAGACTTGGAGTGCCGACGTAGCGTGCCGATTCATTGTATGTTTGTATATTGAGTATTGAAGGTTCGAAAACGCGGAGACTAATGCGCCTGGGTTGTCGGAAACTCTCTTTCATTGCCTAAGAAAATTTCCGCCGCTCAAATGTGGGGTTTAGAATCAATGGCTGGGAGATGCGACTGCCCATTCGATTCTGACTTTGTGCGAGCGATCTTCAAAGGCAACCACACATTATTCATTGGCGATTCTAGTGAGTTTCATTTTCATGGTCGAGACTTGCGTTTAGTAATGCGCGGAGTCTACAAAGATTTTGTTTGCATGATCGAAAATCGCGACGAGCGCTTGCTGACCGAGACACAGTCGAAGGCATTGCAAGAGCCATCATTCTACGATGATCGACAGGTGCCGAAACTTGCTTTTGCTGAATGAGCTCATTCAGATTGACATCGAGAAGTTTCAAAAGGATCGTGTCTTCGTGCAAGCCCGAGAATACCACAAACCAAATTTCCTGCTACAGTTCCATTTTACGACCAGGTATATCCGGGTAATTTACAATTTTATCGTTCAGAATCTTTAAACACGACCTTGAAGCGGCGATCGCACAGATGGAGCGTGATCATCGGTTTCCGAGGATGGTTTTCGTGAATAGTTGTTTATGGGATATTTCTCGGTTTGTTCCTTTGGTACTTCAAATTGTTCTTTAGCTACGAGGGGATCGCCACGCGCCTCAATGAAAATGCGGTCGATAGGGGTTGGAACACATCGATGTCACATATTATGCATTTTTAGATGGCGTTCGGACTCAACGGAAGGTCCTTGAAGAATACGAAACGCGGTAATGCTGATACGCTAAGCCAAATCTTATTTTAGGGCTGGCTTACTCTTCCAGCGCCTGAAGCTCGTCCTTCCGGCTAGTTCCGCGGTCTTTGTCGTACTAGTGCCACACTGTGTGCCCACGAACGATCGGTATTTTTTGTTCTGAGAATGTGAATCTGGTCTCGAGATGGTTCTCGCGTCGTGACGGGGACACCCGCAACAACAAAGATGTATTGAGGTACTGAAAATTTTGGGGCGGCCAAATATAGTTTTCCCTTAGGGTCCTCTTCACCAAGGCGCAGTCGCAGTTGGCGCAGTTAGCTAGGTTACATGGATTTTCGGTGATCGATCTCGACTTTCAAATGAGGTCTCCACATCTAGAAGCCCTACGTGTCAGGTGCGTTTTCGGGTGTTCGGTTTTTGGTTTTCGGTCAGGTGCGTTTGATTTGGCTTTTCAGCGATGGCATTCATTGGCAGCCGGAAGGGCAACGTTTGATGACCCAACTGATCGTGGCCCACCTTGCCCGCGACTTTGGCCTCAAAATACCGCCCGCGACGGCCAGACGATGTGATCGCATGTAACTACTTAAGATTGTCCCTATCGATTTTTTAGGTTCAAAGATTGCTTTGACGACCCGGATCTGCAGTGTGGGCAGTTTTTCGATACAATGCTCGATACATTGAACAAGGTGCCGAACCACGTGCACAGTAAGTTGTGGATTGGACGCACATGTGTTTTTTAGGGGACCATCTGGCGAAAGAGGAGCTCGCGGATGTCAAGGAGATCAACGACAACAATATATGTTGTGTAGACAGCTACAAGCCTTACTACGTGAAGGAGCAGGCCGTCTTTCAGAAGTTGACCCTAAAGCAAATGGAAGCAGCGAAGTAAGATAATTTTTCGCTGTTTTGCGCTAGCAACCTTTGATCACCCACCTTTTACATTTTCTTTCAGACGCGAGGCCATTCGTGAAGACATCCAGACGATGCGCATGGGGTTGCTCATACAGAAGAATGTTCGACTGGATGAGCGGGATCTTGCTGCATTTGAGAGCATGGTACTTTGAATATTTTCGAGCGTTTCTAACCGTTGTTTTGCAGTTGTCAAAGGGGCAACAGGCTGCTTTGAAGCCGTGCCGACGTGCATTCCCCGGAGCGGTTCGTTTTTCACAAGGAATTGCTGTTGTTTGTGACCAAACAATTGGGCGTTTTCTAGCGGTCCTTCTTGAGCTTCAAGGTGGATTACAAGCATTTGGAGTGGGAAGACGGTGAGCCAGCGCCCGATGATCCTGCTCGACCAAGTGCTTTAACGGCTTCCAAGGTCGCGCCGCAATCGTCAAAGTGTGGCGATGGACAATCGTGGTTCCCTGGTGAGGTTTTTGTAAATTATGAGGTGGACCCGGGCTTTCCGATTTTCTCAATGCGTTTGGTCTGGCTACACGCTGAGCGGTGAAAATACAGTTTAGCATTAAAGGGATGCCGACGGCATAGTCAATCGATTACGCGCGGAAAAAAATGTCTCTGCGCCTCTCCCTGGGCGCGCTTGCCCTGTTGGCTCTGCCAATTTGTTGATGAGGGGGGATCGACACATGCCGTCGGCAGCCCTTTAATTCGAGTCCCTCGACACTTGGTGATCGTACTTTCCCCGCTAATACCGAATTTTAGCGGCCGTGCTGTCCTCTTCATCAACATCTCACGCGAGCACACTGTCTGCCGACCTGCGTAGCGATCGGGAGATCGAACTTCTCGCTAATGCAGCTCGAGACCGCGACGTACGTGGAAAACACTCGAGGAAAAGAGGCGCTTCCCCAATTCCCGGCCAGCCTAGAAACAAGGTAATTTTGTTTGTAATCTGGGTTTTTGTTCGCTGACTGTACGACAGCGGTTCGAGAGCGAGTGTGATGACATTGCTTTTAGGAGCGCCCTTGTTCGGACCGCAAGCTGGCTGCGGCTTCTCCGAAGACCGTGAAGTCACCAAAAAGGCCAGTTTCCCCTCAAGGGTCCGCGGACCTTGACTGCACGGTTTCCGAAATCCCGCTACCATCTGCGGGACTACGGACGGAGCAGCGGAAAGAAGACCCCGGAGATGTCGTTCTTCAAATAGCTCAGCAGCACAGAGAAGCATCGCTACCGAAAGCAATCGAGCCTTTCAACTTGCCTACGGCGCCGCCGAGTCCCCGGAAGCCTGCGATGACCCAGATGTCTTCAGTTCCATCGGATCCGGAATCACCAACGCCAATCACGATCACGCTTTCGTCGTCTTCGGAAGAGTCCGTCAACTCGTCGATGGTGGCGCTCCCCAGATTGCAATTTTTCGGGAAATCTGGTAAGCTTTTGAGAGATTCTATATCCGCCGTTCTATTCTTGCTTCATTTTTTCTTTCAGCTGAGCGGCTTTCGCGGACTGGCGATGATGTCAATGAGGCAAACGGCCAGATACAGCCCCCGGGCACCGTTGCATCAGCATTGACCTTCAAGACCACTGGCGGAACATCGTCTCCAAAAATTGAAGGTATCTTGCTTGTGCCTTTTCCCGGCCCCTAATAGTTTCTTTTTGAGAAGTTGACGTCGCCGAGGAGCTGCCTTCTCTGGCCGCTCTGAGCCTCTCCAAACAACCAGATGTCCTTCAAAGATCCACGGGCAAACCAACTGAATCTCAAGACTGATCGTTTGTTTTTGCATTTTTGTTTTTCGTTATTTCACATTGCTCGTTGTTGTCCGCATTGTTATTTAATTGTTGTTTTTCGATAAATGGTTTTTTTTTGCTAAATCGAGATTGCTCCCAAAATCGGTTGAAGGCTATTTTTGCAATAACGAAAAAAACACACGCACCAGAGCGGCGCTAAAATAGTAAGGGAGTGAATAGAACTATTGCCATTTCCATTTGTACATCGCGTCAAGTCGGAACAAAACAGCAAACAAGGCCGTGTGGGATGGGGACCCTTCCACGCCGATAAATACCACCCAAGACAAGTCGAATCCAGTGACGGGAAGACGCGGAATGACGGCACTGGGTTGGGGCGTTCGTAATTTTCGCGAATTTCGCAGTTGATGTACACTTTAGTTTGAGCGGCGCACAGTCGATAGTCGCCGGGTCAGGCTTGGCAATGCGTTCGGTATGTGACGTACGAGGGATGACCGCAGTTCACCGAATCCTGAAATCAGGTAGGACGGCAGAATTGGTAATGCTTGTCGAAAAGCATGGTAACCAGCCTCTAATTTTGGTTTTTTTTCGCCGACGCCTGCTTGTTCATAATAAATAATGTCTTTCTACAATTTTTTTCCTTTTAAATTTATTTTATTTTTTATTTTTTTTGGGGTTTCTTTTAGTAGGATTCGATTCGCTGAAAGTTTAATCAAAAAGAAATCCTTTTTTTTTTCCCCTTCCCCCCCCAAAACAAAAAACCCATTTCCTTTTTTTAAATCCTCTTCTTTTTCCCCCTTCCTTTTCCCCCCAAAAACAACCCCCCCATCTTTAAAAACCCAAAAAACCCCCCCCCCAAAATTATTTTTTTTTTTTTTTTTTTTTATAATCCCCCCCCCCCCCCCCCCAAAACCTTTTTTTTTTTTCCCCCCATATTTTTTTACAACAAATAAAATTATCCCCCCCCCCCAAAACCAAACCCCCCCCCACCCCCACATACCAAAAAAAAATTATAAATTTTTTTTTTTATTTAAAAAACCCACCAAAAAAAAAAAAACAAAAAAAAAAAAAAACACCCCCCCCCACACCAAAAAAAAAAAAAAAAAAAAACCCCCCAAAACCATTTTTCTTTTTTTTTTTTTTTTTTTTCCCCCCCAAAAAAAAAAAAAAAAATTAATAAAAACAATTCCCAAAAACTTTAAACATTCCCCAAAGAAAAACCATGTAAACATTCCTTCAAAAATTATTCAAAAATTTGACCTTTTTGCTTATTTTTATACATACATTTCTGACCAAAAAAAACCAAATCTTTGTGGTCATGAGCTTATCCGGAGGCGATCCTGTTATTAAATGTTATCTTGCAGATGTCGCCCCAAATGCTCCGAAACCTTCGAAAAGTTTATTTTTGCAATAGCGCGCAAATAACGATAAGAAGCAAGGAGAGCGGGGCCGAAATAGAAAGTGAGTACGAGCCAAGTTCCACAATCAGACACGCCAACATATAATAGACAAAAAGAGCGCAAGATCTTTTCGGGATGTACATTTCATTGCGGCTGGAAAATCGGAGGGTATACAACTTGGCTGTGTACGCCGATCAGCTGGGCGCCCACTCATACAAATAGATCATGCAAAGAAATTTTAGGGGGCGAGAAACTCAAATATTATTTTGCTACAAACGATTTTCAAATCTAGAACCGGGTAGGAGACGGTTTAACTGGGTTTACGGGGGCTCATCTTCGCGTCAGGCGTTGCTTCCGAGCGAGTTGGAGCGCTGGACGAGACAGGCCTTCTCGTGTTCAATCTGAAATCGGAAATAAAAATCACTAACGGGAGAGTAGTTACCTTCTGCCGCACTTCCATCAGCACCTCGAAGTCGGCAGTGTTGCGCGCAAAAACGTTGACGTAGAGTTGCTAAAAACACCTAATTGGTGTGCAATCGGTATGGTACCTGGAGCTCATTGGAGTTTATTTCGAAGAAAACCGTGCGCAAGAAGGCCTCCGCGAGATCCCGCTCCAGCCCATCACTTTGCGAGAAGCACGCGCCCATCATCTAAGACCAAATTTGCCAATAACTTGTTATTCATTTACCAATTCATTCAGCCCAAGCTGGATCCCACGTGTGATCGTGGCGCTGTAGCCGGAACGTGCAAGCACCACGCTGTTCCGCTGTGTCAAATCCCAAGGCTCACGCACGAGAGCCGCGATGAAATCTGCAAAATGCGGATATAAAGGAAGAAAAGAAAACTTACAAATGCCACTTTCCTGTAGGTTCATCTCGGCGACCTTGGCGAACGGATTGAGACGAGCTTCGGCGACGGCCTTCTCGAGCAACGCCTCAATGCAAAAGTACTTGGTGACGGCGCGCGAGAACTTGGAATCTAAGGCGAAAAAATAGCAAAAAAGCTAAAAAAATACAAGGCTTCCCGTCCATCGTGGCGTCAATGATGATCGCATACAACCCGTCGCTGTTGTCCACCACCATGGCAGTCAGCCCCTCGTAGACCTTGCAACGAGCTTGGAAACGAGCGAGCTTCTCTGAAAAACGGGAATTTGAGAACAAAAAAGAGAGGAATGATAAAGAAGATAATTGCTACGACTAATCGTTACCTCGCTCAACGGCCTCGGAGTGGGCGCCAGATGCCGTGGCCTGTTGCCCATTCTTGTACGAACTGGCGTTGCTGAATCGACGGCGCTTCTGTGTTGGGGCTTTGGTCTGCGAGTCCATGGTATCGCGACGGGACAGCATGCTTGCGTTGTTCGAGCCGGGTGCCGTGAACGAACCTTGACGACTGGTCGTCGCTAAAAAAATAGACATAACCCATAATGGTAAGGGCCAAGTGCACTTCTCCGTCCACAGTTATATTACAGGACAGAGATTCGCCTCCGGATTTCCAACTTGAGCTAGAAGGTTGTAAAATTTACGAAAATGTTCGGCCTGTGCCGTAGGCTAGGACTGCATCCCAGTTTGGCCGAAAAAAGCCCCGGCAATTGAGGCGGAGATTTTGGTGGGGCCTAGACCAGATTTTAACCCTCAAAAATTACCATAAATGCTGGTCGGCGTGTTCGTGGTGGCGTTGTGCCCGCTGCGCGGCCTTAGTCTTCCGGATATCTTCCCGAGCATCGACCCCGTTGATGTATTCCGTTGGAGAACGGTGTTCGGCACTGAAGGCCCATCGCTCGGGGTTGAGCTCGTCACTAAATCGAGAATTCTACGCCCAGACGATGCCTTACTGTTATCGGCAGCATGCGGGGTGATTGATGTGCTGAAAAGGTCATCAGTGCTCCCGACGCCATCATACGGCAGCTGCTCCACGGCGGGGCTTTCGACCGGCAACTCGTAGTTCTCGAATGCGCCGTTCTGAAAAGGCACATTTAATAGGGTTGAGAAACAGGCACACCTCGGCGACCTCCGGAATCATCGGCTCGGTGCGTGCGGACAAATGGCGAATCCGGGCGACGGGCGTGTTCTGCGTGTTCATGCTAAACAGAAAAAAGAAAGATCACACCAGCACGCGAATTTATACCTATTGGCTCGGCGCACGAAGAGATCGCGCAGCTTTTGCCCTTCGCCGCCCCCGATATTTAGAGCCGACATCGAACGCGACAGTCCCTCCGTCAGCGGCGAGCTCCCGTAATCCGACATCAGGCTGCTCGGCTCCTTGCTCAGCGAGTCGCGTGATTCGTTGAACTCCGAGTTGGTATACTAGGGAAAAAAATATGGAAAATCTACCATACACTAACGGATGTCTGAGCGATAGGTGTCGCCGTCGAGCCATGCAGTAGTCGCCGAAGGTTCTCGTTGTTCTTTATGGCCGTCGGGATACTCTTGTTGGAGCTGACACTCTGAAATGAAACATAGCAAGCATGGACCAAATTGATTACCGAATTGGCGGCGCTCCGGTCGACGCTTTTATCCACCCCCTTGTCCGGTGAGGGCAGGACGGCGGCAACGGGTTGGCAATCGTATCGCTTACTAAAAAAATTGGGTAGGCAAAAAAATCGCGCTTCAACCTGTTGGAGGGCACGCGCAGGATGCCGCGGAAGAGCGCTTTCAGTCGGGATTTCTTCGGAACGGCATGCAGCTCGGGAGACGACTAAAAAACCGAACAAATAAGTTGACGGCTGAAAATGGTACCTTGCTTGTAATCGAGTCCCGTGCCTTGCGTCTCTTCTCCAGCATCGGCTCTGCTTTTTGGAGCCTAGAAAGGGACATTTCAGAAAGCATAAAGAAAACCCGCAAAAAAACGCCGCCGCACACCCTCTCAAGGCGTTTTAAGTAATATACAGCATCATTTTGAGATGTTACATAGCTATTTCAACAGAACTTAAAATTCTGAACCAGTGCCATCTTTCAAAAAATTGCTGAACGACTAGTCCTGAAGGAAATTCGCTCCGAAAGGCCTACCATTTGTGACTTAGAGAAACTCTTTAACATTTCCTCGAAAACCGTTATCGCTCAGCAACTTTGGAAAGCTGCGCTTTGTTCAGAATGTCGAGCTCTATCAAACGAGCTATGTCGCACCGCAAAACTTTAAAAACCACGCCTTGAAAGAGGGCGTGCTGGTTTTCTATTGCCGATTGCCAATCAAGAGAATAGAAAAAAAAAGATAATAGGCAAAATCAACTACCCTAAAACCAGGTATATAGTTCCCCCGAGACCATGACATTTCCGCCAATTTAGGTCGAAAACGCACAAAACCTACAAAACCAAGTTTTTTTTTTTTTTGCCTTTTTTAATTAAATTTTAACTTTATCCCCTTCATTGGGGAGGAGGTTTCGGCGGGGGGGGTTTTTTTCCGCCCCCCCCGGTCTCTTCTCCCCCCCCCCCCCCCAAAAAATATTTTATAAAAAAAAAAACAATTCTTTTTTTTTTCCCCTCCTTTATTATAAAAACCCAAACCAAAAATATTTTTTTTATTACAACCAAAAAAAAAACACCTTTTAAAAGGGCCGGCCGCGGGGGGGGTTAAACGGCCCCTCCCCCCCCCCTTGTTTATAGGGGCGGGGAAAATTTTCATGTGTACGGAGCGTCCGTAATTCCGCATGATCGTCAATAGGTGTGTTCCGGTTTTTCGGTTTCTTGCAAATAACTCCGTTCATGAATGGTATTTTTGCAATTGATATAAAAAAAAAAAAATTTTTTTTTCCCTTTAAAAAAAATAAAAAAAAAAAAAAAAAAAAAAAATTTATTTTTTAAAAAAAAAAAAATTTTTTTTTTTTATAAAAATTTTTTTTTTTTAAAATTTTAAAAAATTTATTTTTTTTTTTTTATTTTTTTTTTTTTTTTTTTTTTTTTTTTTTATTTTTAAAAAATTTTTTTTTTTTTTTTTTTTTTTTAAATTTCTAATGTCCGTACGGTACCACGACATTTGCGGCCGCGACACTTACGGCCCGACACTTGCGGCCCGTCACTTGCGCCCGACAGTTGCCGTAGTTAATTACCCAAAACTGAAGCTTTTAACCGCCGGAAGGCTAGTTTTTTGAACGGGGTTTGAGCGCTTGTCTCCTGGTCTTGACCTAAAAATAAGGCTTCGTGCCACCCGGGGCCTAGTCGCTTCGGATGGGTGCGAGCTCGTACAGGGTTTCAAATCGGGGCACCCGAGGTGCGCGTAGCGGCCAGGCGCCCCGATTTCGAAAGAGTGGAGCGGCCGCCCATCCGAAGCGACGGCCCGCCTTGCCTGACAATGCTTTAGACTCTTACTAACCTTCTTTTTAATTTTATATTGGGGAAAAACGAGCTTAATAGGACGGGCCGCAAATGGTCGGGGAGCCGTCCGCAAGCTGTCCCTCCGGCCGCAAATGTCGGGCCGCAATTTTCACCGGAGCTCAAAGCGTTTCGTCTTTTCCCTTTTCCCCCCGGGAGGGCCAGCTCTGACCCCCGCTCCGCGGGGGGTTCAGCGCTGGTTTTTGCAATTGAATTCCCGGTCGGTCTGACGGCAGGCCTGGCAATTTTTAGGGCCTGGCCGAGATTTTGGAGATTTTCGAAGGGCGGGCCGGCCCGACATAACTGACCGTGTTAAAAATCTGTTTAAATACAGTTAATTAATGAAATCTATTATTGTTTTTTGCTAGCATATGGCTTATATAACCTCCCTACGCCGTTCCAGCAGAAAAATTAAACTTTTGAGTGAAGTCGTCCTACCAGGAAAATGACCCGGGTTCGATCCCAGCCGAGGCCAACTTTTCGCTTTTTGTGGTCAGAAAGTAGGGCCGGGCCGAGAATTTTGGCGGTAGGGCCGGGACGAGATTTTTGACCTTAGGGCCGGCCCGTTGACAGGCCTGTCGGGCGGACAGACGGACCGTAGAAATTTATATATAGTAGATACTAGATAGTAGATTTGTTCGCATTTCGACTATTTCCAACATTTTGAGTGGTTTAATGAAAGAAATTTCTGCATGAGGTTTAGATATCTCCGGATTTTCTATACGTTATTTTTTAGGTTAGCTTGATGTTGCACGATATGGAAGTGGTAGGCTCGGAGCGAGCCCGAGAGGACCACGATCCTGATCCAGTCAACGAGGTTTTGGAGAGTCTGCTTGCAAAGGTCGAGATTGAAGCGGTTGGTATTTGCCCTGTAAAGTCTCATTGAAAGTGCATCTAGTTCTATGAGCGGTTTCTGGTTTTATCGGGGAAATTCTAGGCGTGTCCTTTTGTGGCGCAAATTCTCGCTTGTATTCATTCTCTTATCTGACTTTAACTTTTTCAGGAAACATCTGGCGAGACAAGCAACGAGCTGACTATCTCTATGGTAGCCATTGATGAAAAGATGGCTGTGGAGGCGAAGGCTCTGGATACAAGTGCTTCCGACGTGCCGAAAGCGGACCGTGACATGAGCGACGCGAATTCGACTCCGCAGGGCTCAAACACTTCCCTTTTTCAAAATCTGGACACGGACACAAGCGGTATCATCAAGCATGCGTTGGCCGGTGGAGAAGCGGTTCTGGAAGACCCAATCTCGTGCGATTTACAAAATCTTGCTACCAACACGACCGTCGTTGTTGACCAAGCTGTAGCAGACGTGGAAGGCTCGGACTCTGACGATCCGGAGAGCGCGAGCGCCGACTTCAACTCCGTTCCGAAGCAGCCGGTGGGCGACGTGGAAGCGCCGATTGAAAACAAGGTCACTCTCAAGTTGCAAAATCGGCACCGGGATACGGATGGCCCCATCAACCAACCAGGGCCTAATGTGAAAGCGCCTTCGGAGGCCCCATACATTTCGGAGTCGCTGAACAAAAAGCAAGGAGCCGCGCACCATCACTGATCGTCCAGTGACCGACGGGAGTCCGATCTTGAAGAAAGGCGGGGTTGCCGATCTGCACAACGTGGGACTGGTTGGCAAGCCAGTAGCCGCTGTCCAGGGATCAGATTCTAAGAAAGGTACTTATCCCAGCTTGCCATATACGAAAATTTAGGTCTCCAACAAGCTATCCTGGACCGTATTTCGTCCATCGAAGCAGGTTATCTGATTTTTTGATTATTATTTTTTTCTTAGAAACCCTTTGCTTTGTCTGCCGCCAACCGTCGAACGATGGAAATCAACTTCAGCGCTGCCAGCCTCCTCAAGGATCTTGTTCGACTCGCTTCCATCACGTAACCGTTAACAAACAAGTTATTACGTGATTTAGGATTGCTTGAAAGAATACAACGGTGGCAACTACGAATCCAATTTCCTCTGGCACATGGTATGGTCCGTTGGACACTTATATACATCACCATAGAATCGTGGTCTGCCTTGTTGCCCGCTGCATCATTGCCATGCATGTTTCTTGGAGCGCAAGAAGACCTCGGCGATCACTCTTCAAGGTGAATCGTTGGTCTTTTATTTATTGTATGCTCTTTCCAGGCGAGCGCATTATCGAGTGTGCAAAGTGCTATCTCGCCTTCCACGACTGTTGCCGCCCGGCCGGTCAGCGCATCAATGAAGAAGAAATTGCAAAGCAGTCCGCGAATAAGCCGTACTGGAAGCTACGCAATCATGTCAAACTATATGGATTGGACATCCCGAAAGAGAAACTCGCGGATTACTGTCTTTGCCAACGCCATGTATTACCTTCAGCTCAGTATGCTTTGGTCTTCTTGCAAAACTCTTTCCTAGAAAAATTATCCAGAAGCCGAATTGGACCAACACGTACCCAAGCTGCTCCGAATGCCATGGTATTGTTTTGTAAGAGTGCCTTATCGATCCGGGTTTAGAAAACCCTTGTCCGCCGATGCACGATTGCGCTACTTGTCTGGCGAAGTACCACGATAGCTGCCATGACTCTAACAACAGAGGGCCTGGTAAGCTTTTTTTGGCCTTTTGACTTATTTTTAGCCGGCAAATTCATCTGCGACACTTGCACATTTGCCGAGCCCTTCCGAATCGGTGACTACGTCATGGCATATTTCCAAGGGTTGGTGTTGTGTAAAAACGCTATATATTGAATTTAGAGAAAAGGAGAAGTGGTGGCACGCGCAAGTGATCGACCCGGATTCAATGCCCAACATCCGTGCGAAATTCTCCGATTGGAAGGGGCATCCAGGGTACCTCGCGGTCCGTTGGTGCTTCTTTCCAAACCTGATGTCGGTCGTCCCGGTGGCATACTGCTTCAAGTATAACGGACAGCGGCTCATGCGTGTCTTTGACAAAGGTATATAATTTAGTTTGGTTGTAAAATCGTTATAGACACTCGCGATGAGCGTGTCCAAACTGAAAAGCGTGAGATCCCTCACTACAGAAAGACGTTAAATGCGCTGCTTCATCGAAAACCAACGCACAAGAGGATAGACGTAAGATGATTGGTCTATTTTTGAAACAGCTCATTTAGGCCTCTATTTACCACTCGGCCGATGCTAGGCGCGCCGAACCCATCGATGAGGTGTCCGAGCACTTTTACGATAATACGTTTTTTGTAGTGGCGATGCGGTTGTGAAAAGGATGCTGACGGCACAAGGTGCGGCCCGAATTCTCTCTGCAAAAATCGAGTCGTTGACCAGGAATGTGGACAGGTATTTTTGGGGGAACTGAGCCAGATACAGTTTTTAGGACTGCGACTCCTGCCTGAATCGAGAGCTGGCCCAGAAGTACTTCTGTCCAGATATAGAGGTTCGCCACACCGAAGAGAAAGGAATGGGCCTTTTCGCTACTGCACAGCTGCCGCCAGTATGACGTTTTCCTTGCTATCTTTATTCCTTTTCCAGGGTATTTTAATCGGCGAGTATGCGGGCGAGATCATCGGCGACCGCGAAGAGATCACCCGCAGGGTTTGCAGTCCGTACACTATTTTTTTGAAGTCTGTGTTTTAGCAACAGGAGGCGACGCGCTTCGGCAACGACGAAGAGACCCACTATATGATGCACATTGACAAAGTGAGAATCGTCGACGCCTGCTTCAAGTCAAACGATGCCCGGTATAAATTTCTGGATTTAGAATGTACACGTTCGGTCACGTGCTGCGTGGTCGCCGATTTAAGCAAACATATTTAAATATCTGCCCGCGGAGCACGTTCCTGAACGTGTGCTTTAAATTATTTAAACTTTGTCTAAGCATCATTCGTGTTCGAAATTTAGCGGATTTAAGAAAAGCTGCTTTTGCAGAAATTTGCAAATACATTGCTATTGCAAAGATTTTCTGATTTTCTGATTTTAGCTTCATCAACCACTCCTGTGATCCAAACTGCGAGGTTTCCCTGAAGCAGGTCCAAGTCTCTAAAACCGGCGATCACGTTCCTTTGGTATCCGTTTCCTTTCTCCAGCTCCAGCGAACCTATTATTTAAAGTTTGACGTCCGCCCGTTCGTCAGAACTATCAAGCCGATCGCCGTTGGCGAGGAGCTGACGTTCTCTTACGACATGACACCATATGAAGGCGGTGGCAATTTGCCTGAATGCTTCTGTCGCGTCGCTCACTGTTCTGGTTGGGACATTCCGATTTTTTTTTTGAAGGCACCATTTTAGGCCGGATGGGCGGCAAAAGGAAGGAGCCAAAGAAGGTGTCGGTAAGGATGGTGTGCGACTCCTCTTCCCCCGAGAGAGTGCGGAAGCGCCCGCGCACTTCTTCCCAAGACCTGTTCAGCGATGACGTTGCCAAGGAAAATGTTCGTTTCTAAAAAATAGAGGCAACGATTTTTCGGTGTAGATATTAAGTTTTACGAAGGTTTTTAGACAGTTGTGCCGCTTAAACTAGAGTTAACTTAGTTTCTGACCTTTATTTATCGGTTTGACGACAAAAAAACCAGCTTTTTGTAACATAAAGTAGAATCACCCGGAGTAGTCAATGAATTTGTTATTACGCAGTTCTGGGCTTATAGGAAGTTGGATAGTAGGGAATCCCCTAGTCGACGAATCGAAAAATAATTTATTTGGCGAAAAAAGGGAAGGGAAAAATTCGGATAACCCCGTTGAATTCGCTGTAATAAATCCAAATTTAGATGAAGCCATCCACGAGCAAGAAGAGGGGAAGGCCACCCGGCACCTCTGCTAAGGTACAAGCTTGTGCCCCCTTAGAACCCATTCTTTTTAGAAGCAGAAGCGCAGCACCAACGACATCTGAGTAGTGCATCTACGTCCGGTTCTACAGATTTATGCATTCCCCTCCCACCCCCCTCACAGTTCCTATTCCCCCATATTTCCGACCACCACTTTGTTATTGTTGTTTTGACGTTTATAAAAATTTCTCATTCGGTCGCTTTGGCGTCTCCATGGCTACTTCTTCCCCCGTTGTTATATTCGTTATCATCTACCCCCCCCCCGTTACCTTTGTTATATATTATTTTGCAATAAAAATTAAAAAAACAGCGGGCGCCTAGAGGCCCGGGGTAAAGGACAAAACAGTCAGATTTCGCAAAACTGAAAAACTCGACGATCGATTATAGCCACAGGACACGATGGCGGGGGAGTGAGCTTCATTAATTCAGGACAGACGAGCGGCCGGGCAGGGTGATTGTACAATTGCTTGTAAACACATCGGCTGAGTGGCGCCATTTGATCCTTTCAACATCGCCACTCCTCGAAAATAATGTGCTGTAAAATTGTATTGATTTTTATGTATGTAGGCGTTATGACTATTTTCTTGATTTTCGCTTAAAAGTACAGATTGAAAGCGAGTTTAGAACCTTTAAATGCCCATCATCAGCAAGTGGAAGTGCCCGCTTTGCGCGAAGAAGGGCTACCTTCCTGACTTCTACCTGAACGTTGAGCAAATTGATATCGACCGCGATGCATCCTTTTTGGAGTGCCTTGACCAGGTTTGTTGTTTTGTCAATTCAAATGTAGTAACTTTTATTTGTCTGCAGGCTGCGCTAATGGCTCGCTGCGACGGGTGTGCGATGAAGCACTGGGAAGGCTGCGAATTGCAGCGTCTCGACGCATTTCTGGTACATTTTAAAAAATCGGTGATATTGACGAAATTATATTATCAGAGATTTAAAAATATGGCTTCTTATCTAATTATGCCCAGGACGAATGGGCGCGACGCAAGAATCCGCGGAACGACCCGGTGCCCGAAAAGAGGACTGGCCAGCTCGAGGTGGAGATGTCCAGGAAGAAGCCGAGCAAGGCGATGATGAGAAACATTTCGAGGCAGCGTCGCATCGAGCGAATCCGTGCCGAGCAGGTCAATAGAGATTTGGTGAATTTCACGCGTTATGAGTTACACTTTTATCCAAGTCAAGGCGCGCGATGAGGTTGCAGAGAGGAATCATCCGCTTCCGCTGGTGACGCTGACTCCTGATGAGCAACAGCTCGATGGTGACGACTCGGATGAGGTAAAATATAAAAGCAAAAGAACAGAAAGCTGTAGAAAACGGTCCGCCGCGCCCCGCCGAAGCCCAAGCGTGCCATTGCCGGGCTGGAGGACGCGATGCCGTTCGTAGATGACCATGTGAGATCGATTGATGTGGCTGAGGTGGGATTTGAGTTTTTATATATTTTTAGTTAAAAAATGTTAGCTAAAAAGCCGATTCTTTGCCGAGCCGGCCTCTGTGGACATGGCCGCCGCACCGGCGCTGATCATTACCGGCCCGGATGGGATCGCTGTTGAGGATGCAACCGTAACTACAAATCCTGTAGAAGAACAGGAAGAGGTAGATACCGATATGCTATCACTGTTAATCCATTTAGTATATATTTTCGAGCTCTATCGAGGTTCTGCCGGCGCCATTGGACGAGCAGCAGCCGGAAAAGCCAGTGAAAGACGAGGGGAAGGCCTCAAGAAAGAAGGTGCGTTTACGCAAGCATTAATGGCATGCATCTTACAAAGAGTCTACCTATTTTCATTGATTCAAGTTATTAAAGTAAACCCCTTGGTATGATTAAAAATTAAGTCTTAATTCTATTAAAAAACCATCTAGTCGACGCGGATCCCCGTTTGGATGGGCGGGGTGAAGACGGTCGCCATGGCACCCCTGCTCTCCGCCAATACGCCTTTTAAGGCGACACAATTTATTCAGGCGCACAGCAACAATGATACGGCCTAAAAAAGGAACATGCATAAAAGCAATTAAACGAATAAATATGTACCGTGGGTGGACTCGTAACTGTTTCGGGGTACTGTAGTTTGTTACCGTACCCCTACTATAAAGGCACACAATAGAGAGGTGGTACAATAAAAGGGATCGTCAAGGCAGCTTCGGGAAAGATTTTGAGTCGTTTTTCGAGCTAAAAATTGCGTAATAGAAGCGTGTATATATAAATCATACTTTGGGGTTACTAAGTAGCGAGATCTTGCCATTCATGTAAGTGAATATAAATGAGAAACCTAATATAAAGCTCATGGCCGCTGGGCGAGTTGTAGTTTGTAGACGAAGAAGTAGTATGCGTACATCTGGTCCGGGGTCACGTAGTGGGTCGAGATCAACGTCGGCGAGCAGCACGTGGGGCCCTGAAGTTGTTGTTCGTAGTTAAAAACTACAGGCTATTCTAGACGTCCGCAATGGTCTCTGCTAGCTTGTTTTTATAATTCTTCTCTTTTTCTGAATTTTTAGGTTATTTTCAGATTTAAATTTCGTAAAAGATCCCTGCTAGCTTGCTCTGCTTCTTAGAATTTTTCTAGGTGTTACCTACCTTATCCAGGGGTAATATTGACGTCTCCTGGGCCCAGGCGACCCCATGCCCGTCGAGCGGCGAGAGTAGATGCCCAAAATTGATGGGCAGCATGCTAAAATTAGAAAATTAGACATTTTAACTTTTCCAGGCCTAATTTAATTTAATTTTTCTAGATCCAATTTACGACTTAAAAGCTGAAAACTAAAAGACCCTTTATACCGCTACGAAACGCACCTATGCCTGCCAGACGGGTCGGCCGCGTCGATAAAGGTGACGTTGGCATTCCGGAGGCACTCGCCGATCTAAAAAAACATCTGCTTATTACACAGGGTGTCCCAAAAAGACCCCCAAATTTGAGCCAGAGAGCACCTACGGGCTGGAAATTGCAGAGGTAGGACCAATTTCTTGAACAGGAAAGTTTCAGCGATCGGCCAGGGTTTTAAAGTTATAGCGAAAATACTTTTCATTTTTAATTTAATATGGGGATCTTCGAAATTTGCTCAAAGATATGCGTTATTCTTGTATTTACGAGCCGATTTTGCATAAATTTCGCCGAAAAGTGCCATTTTCTTGATGGAGCTTTTGGAAAACGTTGTGTATGCAGATAAAAGAGTGTTAAAACAACTCTTTTATCGATCCATCAAGTGTTATTGTACATTTTGGCAATTTGAGCTTCGTCGGCCCGAAAACAGAGTTCGACGAGCTCGAAAACGTGTTGGTTTAGATTTGGGCTTATGTTGGCGCGTACGCTGGCAGCCGTCAGCGTCCAACGTAGCTTCCGCCACGAGGTCTGGTATTCATCGTTCTTGCTGATCATTTCTCGCTATGAGCAATCGTTTTCCAAAGCTCCATCAAGAAATGGCACTTTTCGGCGAATTTATGTAAAATCGGCTCGTAAATGCAAGAATAACACATATCTTTGATGCAAATTTCGGTCCCCATATTAATTAAAAATGAAGTATTTTCGCTATAACTTTACGCGTGGCCGATCGGGTGAAACTTTCTTGTCATGAAATTGGCTTCGCTACCTCTGTGCAATTTTCAGCGCAGTGGTGCCCTCTGGCTCAAATTTTTGGGGCTTTTTTGGGCGTATATTTAATTATCGAATTTTAGTAGAGTATGAATTTCGAATATTTTTTATTTTAACGTTTATCATATTATATTTTGGTTTAACCTCCGTATCCTCGTGCTTGTAGCTGCCCTGACGACATTCAGATGCTTTTGGCATGATTTCGATGAACTTCTTCACGGCGGCTCTCGACAGAATATAGCCAGCCCCACCGCTTCCGTAGATCTAAAATTCAAAAATATTCAAAATTTCTATCATTTTCATAGATTTTTTATAAGATCAAACATTTTTCTCCATTTTTACAATTTTTAGACGCTTTCTACCGAAAAACGGCATGAAAAGCCACATAAATGGCGTGTATTTCCTTATTCGCACCCCACGGACGGCAGGGGAAAAGCCCCCCCCCCACCAGCTAAGAGTCTAGTACCGCGAAAATCCACAACCCTTCCTACTTACTTGATTCGGGTCCCGCCCATCCTCCAGCAACCAATGCCGCTGTAGTACAAAATACGGAATATCCGGGTCCAGCCGCGTCAAAAACTCCTTGAGATTCTCGACGATGACAAATGTGTCGTCATCGGCCTTCAGGAACCAGTCGAAATCGTTCTGAAAATTTTTAAAGTTTTTTTCTTGAAGCCTGGACCTACCAATTTCTCTTGATGTACCCGTTTGAAGGCAGCTCGCATCCGGTCCCACAGCCATTCCTTACTGTCGTGAGGTTTCGTTCGATTGCCCAGATGGCTAAAATTCGTTTTAAAGGAGAGGACAAATAGATTGAAAAGGCACAATCCAGAAAAAATATGAAGATTTTTACGGAGTTTTTAGATTTTAACATTTATTGGTGCTGTTGCATTATCGGGGGGTGGGAACGTTTCGCATTTTTCTAATAGATAATAGGGATAAATATAAATAACTGACGGTCTCTAAACTTTACAAATTTCATATAGAAAGAAACAACGTAAAAACTTTACAATCTTTTATAAAAAAACCCAAAAAATAAAGATTTTTCGACTTTCTCTTTATTTTTTATTTTTCCACTTGAAATATAGTCTGATTAACTAAAAACGCTATTAAAATATTTAGGATCAAGCCATTAAACGTTTCTAGACTTATAGGCAAAAAGTTTGCAGATAGCTTTTCCCTGGCAATCTCGTGTAATCGAAATTGGCAACTAGACTAGAATGAAACCCACCTAAAATCGTAGACCCAAAACGTCGGCTTCTTCACGCGCTTCTGGCCCCTCTTGGCAGCCGTCGCCTTCTTCTCCAACACGCGCGCCGTGGTCATGAAGATGTGCTCGTCGCAGTGCGGGGCCCACGTTTCCTAAATACTTTCTACAAACGATCTTCTACACTTACAAAAACGGCCGTCACGCGCGTCGCATGATTTTTGGGGATGGTGTTGATCATGCAGAATAGTTTCGGCCAGCTCTTCCCATCGCCGTAGCCGTCGGGCGGTTTTTGCTGCCCTAAACTTGAAATTTATTTGATTTTTGGGGAGATTTTAACAAAAATAATACCACAAAAAAAAAATCAGGTGGTAGTGCTTAATTGCGCTGTGCAAAACCCTACCCTTATCGGCGGAAATCCTGCGTGCGATCGCCGGATTTTTGCTGGGCGGCGGTGCGGGGGGTGCGGGTTGGCGTTGTGCTGGAGGCAGTTGTTGTGCACTGCTCAATTTACCCCGAAATGGGCTGAAGACGCACAGCACCACCAAGCAGCACAGCCCCACCAGCAAGTAGCGTCTAGAACGTTTCAATACTTCTAGAAATCTTATAAGCAAATTTCTATGTTCTTTTCAGCTATTCATAGGCGTAAAAAACCCGACAAACTTTTATAAAAAGTTCAAAGTTTTCAATTTTAAAATAGTTTTTCACAGAAAATTTAGCTAAATTTTAGTACTAATTTAAAGGTGAACTTAATTTTAGTACCCCCCCCCGATAATGCCAAAGCCCCAAAAAAACCTTATGCCGGTGAACCATCCCATCGCGCTGCTCGCATTTGTGCCCGACACTTCAAGGGCTAACAGGACAGCGGTTTGCTGAAAAAATGTAGAAATATTATGCAAATGAGAGAAAAAGCAGAAGTAGAGAACACGCAATTCTACAAATCGATACAAGGGCTCGAAGCCTTATGCAAACAATGCCGAAGCGGATGGAAGGGCGCTAGTATGCCCCTGCCGCGTTTGATAAGGTGGTTTCAGGGGGTTGCCATATTTTCGCAAGGCGAGGGCGTGAATTACTGTCTTTTCTCGCAATGCTGGGAGACTAACCTTTTAGAATTTTTGCGGGCCGAAAGATGACTGTTGTTTGGTGCGACATTTGCGACAAGAAATGGTCATACTGGACTCTTAGCAGGGGCGGTTTCAATTAAAACTCAGAAAAACTAGAAAAATGTAAAAATTTAATTTTACGGATAGTAAAAATCACAAACTTCTAGCTTTTCGGCACTGGACTGTTAGCGGTGAGGGATTTTACCAGGGGGAAATGAATTCTTATCCTGCCGCTAATTGATAATACATAATGTATTTTATAGTTTGTTTAGTCGTTTTTGAACGCGATAAGTGAGAAAACAACATAAAAAATTGATGATGCTGACATTTTTTATATATTTTTGTATCTGAAAAGCGTAAAATGCATCAAAATGGTTTATTGTTCGTCATAGGGCCGTACAGGATCATTTCGAAAAATTACCCTTCCCCCCGCGAACAGTTCAGTAAATTAAGTAAGTAAAAAATAAAAGGAAAAGAGAGATTAATCAATCCAAACTGCTAAATTACAACTTATTGACAAAAAATTAAAATTTGAAGTTTAAACGCTTAAAGCTAAAACTTTAAACGTCAATATCTGAACAGGAAAACGGAGAAAAGGGCTAGAAAACAGCAGACTAAAAATTCCTGAAAAAAACGTGCTCGGGAAATATTAAGCAGCAAAGATCAGCAACGCGAGGAGGCAAAAGGAGGACCCAAAATACACGGCGGCATAATAATAGGCAGGTGAGGGCTGGGGAGAAGCAGTGGCGGGAGAAGGAAAAGCTACCCTCAAGCCCCCACGCAATTACCTGGACATTTACAGGGTGGGCAAAAAGCCCACAGTTTGGGTCGAAATAACTCCGAACGGTAGAGAATCGAAGGTACGTTACCATCCAGAATGCTTAAATATCTGGGTATGAAGATTTAACACAACTTGATTTTTTCGATTTTGGCGATGTATCAATACAAATGACACCCGAAAACTGTGCTTCGGGGAAACTTCATTCTTTTTCTCAGTTTCCTGTAGTGGCGTCTAATTTTTATTATGTAAGTTAATATAACAGCAGATATGTACCTACAAAATTTAAGAATTTTGAGGGTCTGGTTGAAAAGTTCGAGAGGAATGAAATTTTGTATGGAGAATTTCGTAAATTTTTAATATTAAAAACCTATGGCGAAAACCTCAAAATCAGTTGTTGTGGAATATCTATGAGCCCGTTACAATCGCATAAAAATCTTAAAAATTTTTTGAGATCGATAACTGAGTTTTCAACGACCCCTGGTCATGATTTTCGAGGTCTCGAACCCAACTTTGGAAAAATATTTCTAAATTTCCAAAGGGCACTCATTATTTTCTTGGCTTACTATTAGTACTGGGCTTATCTATTATTTACAAAATTTCGATCTAACGTACCTCTTTTGAAGGGCGTCTTTTGCTTCCAAAACGGTTGGTTTGCTTTTTCCGAATCTTGTCCCATTTTTAAAATTTAGTCGCGCTGTGAAAATTCTCGTTTTTTTTATCGATCCCAGTTGAATAGCGCATCCTAAAGCCTTATTCATGAATTTTTTTAACCAGCCCTTAGCGCCAGGAAAATTCATCAAAAAACCGAAATAAACCGAATTGGAGGTTGCGTCAAAAATTTTGGAAGGTGGAGTCGTGGGATATTTTGAGCAATAAGTCTGTGCCATCAGTTGAATAAAACTATGCAAGACTAATACAATTTTCCGTCGAAAATTTTTAAAAGAATTTTAAACTTCGATTTTGGAATGGGTGATCTTCGATTTTGAGCTGAAAGTCACCATGATCATGAATCAGATTGCCCCCAAATTTGACGAGCGTAGATAATAACATCAAAACTATAATCGTATCCATAAGACCCAGCTGGATTTTTTATTTTTAAAAATTCGAAAAATGACCCCGGCTACTCGGATCAAAAATCGGCTCTCTGGCCTTGTTTTGCAGTTGGCCTCGTAACTTTGTTATTTACCACCCAAAATCAGTAATTTTTAACAGGCTGTCTTACAATCACCTCTAGAAGGCCCTCGAATTGAAAAATCGTCAGTTTATGGAATTTTGTGATGGCATGCTAAAACGCGCTCCACGTGGGTTACTGTAGAAACCGAAATTTGCGATTTTCGTGGTGTTTTTGCCATGGAATCGCTTCGTTTTTCGGAAAACCAATAGTAATTTTTAGGACCAATTGACCAAAAAATTTACAAAATTCTGCCCAGAATTAAAAATCAGATTTTAGCCTTTTTCATGAAAGTTTGTGGATAGTACGCTCTCGTATTTGGCAGCAAGGTGCCACAACCGATTGCCTAACCACCCTAAAAATTTCAGTCGGATCGAAGCTAGGGGCCCCGAGAAAAGCGGGGAAAAGAAACCTACAGTACCCCGCTGGGGCACGTTTTAGCAAGCAATACAAAAATACCATAGATTGTGGAGGAATCTGGTGTGGAATCCGAGATTAATATTTGGATAGGTCATGGACAAAATATCAGCCATGAGTAGTCTGTTAGAAGCAAGTTATGACCCAAAGAACAAAAAATAACGCAATATCCGAAAATTGTTTTGCTTTCAAAAATGAAATTGACCTCGATAAATTCTAAGATTTTGCCATTAAATTTCTACAAATTTATACTATTTTTAGGCCAAAAATCAGAATTTTCCCACCACCCGTTCCAGAACGCACAATTTTCGGTCGTAACCAGCGTCAATAGTACAGTTTCGTACTCAAAAATCGAAAAATCAAGTTGTGTTAAATCTTCATACCCAGCATATTTACATTCTGGCATGGTAACACCCTTCGATTCTCTACCGATCGTGAGATATTTCACACAAACTGTGGGCTTTTTTTCCCCCCTGTATGCACAAATGCCACACAAAAACTGGAGTGAAGAAAATGGGGAGAGGCCCCGGGAAAATGCGATTTTCAGCCGGCGCCCCAGCGCCTTTGATTTAATCCAGAGGGGCCACCGGATGTACTAGCCGAGAGTTCGGCATCAAGTCATTTGCGCGCTCGGAGTACAACGAAACTAATGGGTTTTTGGGTACGGTACCGGATACTAGGGGAGTTTCTTCGGGGAAAAGGCTAATTACAAAATTCAAGGTACAAAAGTGCAAATAGGGCGTAGATTGAGGCGAGGCGCCGCTAAAAAAAACAGGCTACGCATTGCGCCATTGACCGTTGGCTAGACTCCTTTTTTGAGTGTCAACCCTCCCTAAAACGTTCATCTAAAAAAACTTTGGACAATTACGTAAAACTGGAGAGCAAATTCCCAAAAAATCTACGCTAGATTTCCCTATAACGGCTCTGTTATTGGTTATGATTCCCAGTCTGGACTTCAAATGCCAATCGCCCCCAGTTTTGAATTTCGGTAAAAGTCCGGCTTCTCGTTCCCCCGATCCGAAAATTTGTTTTGTTGATCCGCCAGCGCAACCGGCGGAAGCCACACACGCCGCGTCTGACCAAAAAACATCCAAATGTCAGGGTGGCTTTGCAAAAAGTTTTTCGGCGTTGAAAACATCGTTTTAATCCCTTAGACGGGTTCAAAGTTGTAAATATAGCCCGCGATTCGATTTGAGCTAGAAAATCAAAATATATTTCAAAGCAACGAACGTGAAAATGGCAATTACGGTGTTAAAAAACGAATTCATCGATTTTCAGCGGAAAATGAGACATCCAGTCAAAACGGGCGTCAGGCAGGCCGGCATGATGTATGCCGTGTTTTTTCGAAAAGTCTGCAGTCATGCGGCAATTCTCGGGAAATCCTTTTAAATCCACAAAAAGGGAGTAGGGGAGGGGACCCTAATCCGGCTCTACCCGATCGGGGGTGGCAAGCCGCCCATTTCGTACAACTCGAAACAATAAATAGAAAATATATGGGGATCGTTGCAGGGTAATGCGGCGGACTGGGAGATATGGGAGAGATGTTTGGCGCTGGGCAAAGATTGCTTTTTGGAGGGCGAAAACCCCGTAAATTTCGGGGCCCCAATTTGGGTAATGGATGGGGGAAAGTGGGGGGATTTTTTGAGTGGTTTACGAGGAGTTGTGAGGAGATTGGTACCAAATATCAGCGTGTCTGAGGTACTGGACGGTTACCGGGGGCTGACCCAGCAAATTCTATGCTGTTTATCATTTTCGTCGTTTTCACTTAAAAACTCATAAAAACATCCATCAAACTTAAAGTTTATTTTTGACAAGTTTCGTAGATCGTTTAACGAAGAAAAAAAATCAAAAAAATTTTTTATTTTTATGGGCTTTTCGTGAGCAGAAAAAACCGCGTAAAATACCAGCTAACATGCCAACACCCTTTTTGCACTAAAGAACTTAAAGTTAGGGTTCTTAATTCCTAACAAATCGCTGTAAGATTTCCTAGATTTTGGTACAACGGCTTCAGAAGCTAAGTCATCAAAGATCAACTAAAAAGAAGAAAAGCACAAAAATTAGGTATAGGTTGGTACAGGGCTCCGAATTTTCCTCCAGAAAAGATTTTGGGTTTTGGTCGCTTCTGGCCGGGGCCTCTCACTCTCTCTCTCTCTCTCTGTCTCGCTCGCTCTGTCTCTCCCGCCCCCGCGGTGTGAAATGCCCCTCATTTCCTTTGAGTTCTCCCCCTCCTCGTCCCTATTGGTGTTTGTTTTGTTGAGTAGCCTTTTTTGCTTTTTCTTTTCCTCCACTCGCTGCACAGCCCCGGACGGCCGTGCTTCCAAATTCCGGACCGAAATGACACCGGCTCTCGCAAGACCATGGTTACGGGCCCGGGGTTTTTTCCTGGAATTTCAACAATCTGTCGTTGGAAAAATCGGGCAGCATTGGAGAATGGCGGGCACATTTTAGCTCAAAACAATCACAAGGAAAAGAGAAGCTCTCCTAGGAGAACAAACCAGAAGCTGGGTTTCTTTTTGGTAATCGGAAATACGCCCGAAACTTTTCAGGAAAGTTTCTTTTAAAGTTTCCTTTGGAAAACACCGACGATATTTTAGGTTTACGCGAGGCCGGAAATAAATTTTAGCTCTGCAGACCGGAAGTTAGCAAATTTAGCTCAAGAAATATGAGTAGAATTAATCGTAGGGGCGAAAATAGGAAGATAAGAATCCGATAGAGTAGCTCGCATCGGTACGCTCGTAAGAAAAATTTGGTTCTACCCACTGGTGATGTCACTCACAACTCCTCTGGCTCGCTGACGCCCCTTTGGACTCGCCGACGACATGCACTGACTCCGACCAGTTTTGGCACAATTTGCATAAGGTTTTTGCATAAATATTTGCGTCCGTACTTCTTGGCTGTAATTGTTTTGTTTTGTTTTTGTTTTTGTTGACGGGCACTTCCCCACCGAAGACGTGTTGGCTGGCCCTCTTTTCCGGCAAAAGGTAATGGTTGATTGGCCATTATTAAACCACCACCAGGGTTGAAAAGCCGCCTCTTTTCAACCCTGGCCCCCTAGCCCATAATATGCCTCATTTTCATAATTCTCGGAATTCCGTTGACAAAAACCAAACCTTCCTCCGCCCATTATATAGGCTCGCACCATTTCCGGCATATCAATTGATTCCTAACAAAGTGGGTGCCCATTCTAACAAAACTTAATTTTAACGTTGGAAATAACATAATTTGCAAAATCTTTTGTGTGTGCAGTCATCTCAGCGCCATTACGCACCTAATGACGTATCATACGTTGTTTAAAACCCTTTCCCTCGAGATATCCTCCGGACACCCTGACGGAAGTTGCTGTGGCACACACACACACACCCCTATTTTTTTATATATAGTAGGATTAGTTATGAATCCCAGATGACGTAACAGCAGCTCGGTTTGTTGCTGATCCGGGAGGCACAGCTTGCCCGCGCCCGGCTCGGCGACATATGTTTTTCCTGTGAAGAACGCCTCACGAAAGCTTTGAAGCTCGGCTCGGTGTACTATTGCAAGCGTTGCTACCAAGATATCAAGTAGGTGATAGACTGATTTCCTTATCTACTGGTTGCTTTAGCCGTTGGACGGGCTCCCACGGTGGCTGCGGTGATGCCCGGGCTGACCACCTCAATGGCCGTGTCGACTATAGAGGTTATTTTTACTCTCATGATATCGATTACGGTTTATAGTCCGATAACGTCCTGCTGTTTATAGGTGTACGTGATTGCCGGCAATGTATGGTTGAGATGGCGATCGTCCACGGCTGGATCCCGGTAGAGTCTGGAGCGGAGACAGTTATCAATAAATTTAGAACACGCAACAAATTGGGCTCTTCCGTGCAGCCGGCGTCTCCAATGGCCTGCTCGCTCAAGTCGAGGGGACCGTCGACAGAATGGGAATGGATGTAAGCGTAATTATGTGTTCAAAAGAACGAGGACGCGGCTGTAAAGCATCCAACCCTTTCATTTCAGTTTATGTTGACGGACAAAAACAAGCTGCAGTGGGAGAAGGGCAACCGCGGCTCCCAGACGCTCGAAGTGACGAACAATTGCGCGACCCAGCAGGACCTCAAGGTACTGAAAATTTTAGCACTTGAAAAATTACCTTGTGCATGGCTCGGCCGGCCTTCCCTTACCCGGTCTCTCGCGCCCCCCGTGGAAGTGGGGCCTATCATATTTTCTAAATGATTATAATAAACTAGTAAATAAGGAGATAAAACTGAATTGCTCGGCGTACCTTCCATATTTGGATCTTTTTCCAGGTGAACATCCAGATCGATGCCCGCGCAAAGACCACAACGACGGCCAGCATGCGAATTTTCTACCAATCGAACCAGGGCAACGACGACGGGCTCAAGATTTTCGCGGAGAAAGCTAAAAGGTCCGAGAGGATCCTCCTCGAGATCATCGTCTAGAATTATCCGGCTCTTTTTTGGTTATTTTTTGTGACAATAAAGCAATTTATCTTTTCTTCCATCTTACTGCATTTACGAATTTTGGGGGAATTTGGCCACATGAGGCTTTTTCGAGCCCGTTGGAATTTGGAATCACGCGTTGCTGCCCGAAACCCTTGCAAACCCAAGTGCGCTCTCGGCGGAGATTGCACAGTAGTGCTAAACAAAAGCGAACAATTGTTCGCAACTTTTATAGCTGGAACGCTCGAGCAAGCAAACGTCCAATCATATTTATAAAGTTCGAGCGGTTGCAAATTTTCTTTTAACTTTACTTTTAAAAGCCGGGTTTGCGAGTCTAGAAGTATTCTTTGTAGTGAAACGAGCCTGTTTGTGAAAGGGAAAGCGTGCTAAAACTAGAGATAGTTGCCTCCCATCTCATTAGTAATCAGCATTACAAAATTAAGGTTAGTAAAATGGCTAAGATGCCCTGTTCAATTAAACTTGTTTTTCTATCGGATGTTCTAATATATTAAACTACTAGGCAGCCATCTAGAGACGTTAATGTCTAGACATTCTTCACTCCGCTGCTGACTTGTAGATGCTACCGGCTTGCACGGTTCTTTCTTCGCAAAAGCCAAAAAAAACTATAACGGATTTGCGCTCAAATCGATGCCCCCATCGATTTAGTTTTTTGGCTCTACCCTCAATCACGGTCGATAAGACATCGATTTGGCGTTATTTTTCATTTATTATCAAGAAAAATGGCTCGGCTCGGCATCACTTTCTTTTTTCACAGTTTTGCGATCAAAACGGGCCCAAACTTTGGGGAAACGCAAAATATGCCTTTCTGGGCGGTTGGGTCCGAGTTTCGTATCTTGATTCCGGGTACCGAAAAGCCCCAAAAAGCTAATTACCTGGCAAATCGGCCATTGGGGGTCTCCAGATTTTATTTTTACTATTTCCTCTTCAATCTTGTATTTTGTCTTTATTTATTTCTATTTTCAGGAACCCTCCAATGTCCTTTCCGGCCCTCGTCGCTTATGATGGTGAGGAATCAGACCCCGAGATATCGCCCATTTCGGGTTGGTTCTTTTTTATGCCCTATATTTTGATTCAGATATCTCCAAACCTGACGCGCCCACTCATCCGCCATCACCCGTCAAGGTCGCCCAGAAGAAGTCCGATACTTGGGGTGGTAACCTTTTTCGGCAAATTTAGCTCAGTTTCATTTTCAGAAGACGATGACTCGTTCGGGATAAGAACGATCAAAGAAGGAAGTGGTTCCCCGCGTGCTTGTAAGCTTTGTGAGCGTTTAACTAATTTGTTTACAGCTACTTCCTGGAATTTCGACGAAGGGCCGAAAGATTCACCGGCCGCGCAATCACAGCAATCGCTTCCGGCGGTGAATGGCACGGGCGGGATGTCAAAGGTTGGCATCGCAGTTTTCGAAACATATTTTTTAGGTGGCCAGCCTTCTGTCGCTAGCTGATTACCAGGTGGAAGAGGATTCGTTTGCTAAGTATGATAGAGGTATTTCCACGTTTTCTATTGTTTATTTTTTAGAGCACGCCAATGATGACTTTGAAACTTCACCGACGCAAAACTCCAGCGCTTGTAGCGGGAATTCGGAGGGCAGCGATGAGAGGGATGAGCCGCGGCCGCCGGCTAGAGAGGTAAATGAGTTTTCATTTTTCCCTAGTTTTCGAAATAATAATTTTGACGGTGTAAGGAAAAAAAAGCTTTTAGTCTGACGACGATGACATTGAACGCTTGTTGGCAGCCGGGAAAGAAGCTCGGATCACCCCGACAAGTCAGGTATGAAAATGGCCTTTTTGTCAGCCTTTAGTCGTTTTAGTTGGAAGATGGCTCCAGCCCAATGCCGGACGGTGCAGGGGATCAAGCAGCTACTCCGGAAGCCGACAGGGTTAGAACTTGATCCCGATATACTCTCTGTCTCAGGAACCCATTGAAATCCCATCAGACGCTGAAGGTGAACCCGACCCGGAAGTGGCCGTGGGTTTCTAATCGGTGTATTTCTATGTACTTCTTGATTTAGTTGAAATTTCAACGATTGTTCGAGCGCAAGGCCCAGGGATATAACATCAACGATCAACTTCTCAATAGTCGCACCTTCACCAACCCGAGCGGCTACGTCATCATCAAAGAAAAGTAGGATTGATTTTATTCATTCTCATAATGCACCTCTTTTAGGTTCGGCATCAACGAGCTGGGCACCAATTTCCCAAAGCACATCTACGATCCGACCATCTTCCCCGAGGACTGCTTCTACGATAAGCTGAGTGGGTTCAGCTTTTTGAGACCTAAAAACGATACTTCCAGGCGAGGCGCAGAATCGAATGATGACGCAAGAAGTGGCTGGGCCGTCAAGGAGGAAGAAGAAAGAAGAGCAATAAAGTTTTAAGCCTGTTTGATGTTATTGTTAGTGTTTTTTTGGGTTCATATGATGTTTTGCTTCGATAAAACGTTCTAAAAGATATATCCTGCTTTTTAGAAAACGTGAGATGGATTTATGATTGATGCCGATGTTTTCAGTAGTTTTTATCCTTTTTTAGGTTCTCGAGGCGCAAGAAACCTTCCAAGCTGAAATTTTCGGGTTTTTAAAGCCGTTGTGCCCTGTGTAGTTGGCCTAGTCGCCGAAGTTCTACAGTAGGAAGTCGGAAATTGAAGAGTTTCGTCCACTTTTGGCAACTTGGGTAAATACACGCGTGCACAAGACCCCACGTTGGTTGGAACGCGGTTTTCTGTTAAAAACTTAAAAGTAAATAGACCGACACCCCCGCCTAGAGTATGTATTTATTGGGGGTGTCAATCGGGCAAAGGCCATCCCGGGTTCACGATGATGTTGCGGGTCCTACTTGCGTTGGCGTTTGGTAAATTGTTAATACTTTGAAAAATGTTCCTTTTATAGTTGGATTCGCCTCTGCGCAATGCTCCTTTTCCGGAAATGGAATAATGGCCAATTGGACGGTAGGGGAGCGAATTTAATTGATTATTTAAAGCCCATTTCAGGCTTCCAATGGTCAGGTCAATATCAACTTTCAAAACTCGAAAATCGCGAATAACCAGTGGACAGCGATGGCCTTTGGAACGACGATGGTGCGTGGAGCTACCAAATCTTTTATGACAAATTTCAGGACAACCTGGAGATCATCATCTTCAAGGTGCAGAACGGGAAACCGTCAGTGGTCACCGGTGGGTACATCCGATTATTTTTTTGTATTTTTTATCTCAGGTCACACCTCGCAATTTGGGCCCCCTACCACAATCGACAAATCAGCCAACGTCGCGATGTCAAATTTGAGCTACCGTAGGTTTTCCAAATTTTAGTTTTTCCGTCTTAAAGGGGCTAGCAAGTGTGAAAATCTACTCCTTTGATTGACTCGATCTAGACAAGCACGCGACACACATACGGACCTGTAAATTTTATTTTTCTATTTCTTGCGCCTTGGGTTTCCAGGTGAATTTAAGGCGTTTACACGTGAATTTTGGACTTTGGCGCAGCTGTCGACCCTGTCGATGCAAGTGTTGATTCGCTGACTTCCTAACCCCTTTAAAGAGATGATCTCTGCAATTCTGAGCTTTAAGGCAACGGCATGCTCTCCGGCAGCGTGACCCGTCCGGTCACGCTCAACAGCCCGCGGAGTAGCAACCTCAACGGGTGTACCCAGTGGAATGTAAGCGCATTAAGGGCCCCAGCTCGATCCCCCTCTCAACAATTGGCATGCCAACGGGCAGAGAGCGCCCCCGGGGGAGGCGCAGAGACATTTTCTTTCCAGCGCGTAACCGATTGCCTATGCCGTCGGCATCCCTTTAATTTGTTATATACATCCATTTTACATAGTTTGTCGGCTCGTCCGGCATGAATCCTGACGGTAGCGTGCAGAAGCATCAAACCATGCCCTCGCCGGTAAGCTTCTGCATTTATTTTAGAGAGAATTTGTTCAAATTAAATTTTCAAGGCTTAAAAACAAAAATTGGAAATAATTTTTACAATCAAGGAGCCACACGTATTTCTTTTTTGGCTAATAAGCGGCGCGTAAATAAAGTACCTGAGTTTTATACATTACATTCCAGATGAACGTCTGTACGAACCAGTGCCAGAGGCAGGGCTAAAAACGGGATATTTTTAAATATCTACCACCGTATTCCGCAATAAACACGATTACAATATTCGGCACCGCAAATTTCACTTTTCGCATGTGAAAATTGAATAAAACGAATGAGGAAGGCATTTTTTAAAGTTTCCGACTCCGAGCAAGGAAATGGCGTAAAATTGGAACACCGAAAAAGGGTGAGAAAGTGTACCTACAGTGCTACCTGCTACAGTACCTACAAGCCGTTTTAAACGATCTATGGAATCGAGTTTTAAAATTCGTGCTCCTAGCTATCATTCGAAGCTCTGCAGCCCAGCAGAAACCATTCAGGATCCCTGCAAATCCCTGTAAATTAGTTTTTATCTTAAAAAAGCCACACAAATCGCCCACAGCTGACAATCGTCATATTTTTTGGATTCAATTTTTACAAGGGCCTGGGTTGAATCACATTTCGCCCTCACAACACGACAGAGCATTTGATGTGCGATGCTAAAGGGACTAATAAGACTAGTCGGGAGCGCTGCCGCGCGTTTATTGGATTGGCGCGGAGTGGCGGTATTGGTGGGTCGAGTGGCGGCCCCTAAATTCTGCCCATTTCGATAGCGAATCGGGGTGTATTTCCCGGTCCAATTCCCGGAAAAAAGGTATTGAACGACTTCCGCTTTTTCACTTTTTATAGTCCGGGGCTTCTCGAAAAGGTTCAGGAAATGGACTTGAAAATCCCCGGAAAACACATCAATTATTAGTCAGACGTCTCTAATTCTAATTGACAAATCTTTTTAGGAATGGAAAAAATTAGGAAATTCGCCCAGGATGAGTAGGAATTGCATTTTGCTCTTTTCGGCCTTTTGCATTTTTTTCTGCATCCTAATTTTAAACATACAATTTATTTTTAGGCTGGCTCCCTAGAAAAATGGCAATTATGTTTTCAACGAATTGTTTTGTCACCAAGCCACTTTCTAACCACAGAGGCGCATCGCCGATTCATTTTTTTACCTTCTATATCAGGCACAAGTACAATTATAGCAATTGCGTCTGTTAGTCGAGGCGCGTGTCTTCTAATTTGAAACGCTTCTTTGAGTACTGAAAAATTAAGAAAAGATGCGCCAAGATTGAGTAGGAATTTAGGAAAGTCACGTTTTCTAATTGGGCCAAAATAACGGCGAAAATTTGAACCTGGTTCTAGCGGTTGAAACTCAGAGATCATTTAGGAATCCCTAATACCTGTCTTTCTCTTACTTCTAGTGTCTATCCCAATGAAAAGCCCTTGATTTTCAAGGGTCAGCAAGCTCCAGAAAACATAAAAACCAGCAAGCTTACCGTTTTCGTTTTCATTCATGGACACATTTTGGTACATTTTTGCCAAGTCAGAAATCACAGTAAAACGAATAGCTTTCTGTTTTTATCTTTTAAATAACTTTATAAAGCCAACTTCGCCTGGATAGTCTTAATAAGTGCAGCTGTACTGCTCTGCCTGGAATAGTCTATCAGCGTTAAAATTGGGAAAGGCACTCGGATACGGACTTTTCGACGTTCTGCCTTGAATCGGGAATAATTTTTTAGGGCAAAGATGATTCGATTCTCCTGAAAGGGCCGTTAAATCGTATCCGAAAAATAGTATGACTGGCCCTCAAGCCATCAAAATCCCAGAGGTTTTATTTATTAACTTTTTGTGTTTTTTTTTCTAAAACCTATTCTGGACCAGAAAAAGAATATACCTCCTATTTCCCTGCCGCTACCTGTTCTAATATTCATACTCTTATTTGGGGACCTTGCTCGGATTGCCGGCTTCAATTAATTTTCTAAAGAACGGGAAATGCCTGCTTTCTAGCTAGCTTATTTACATCGTCACTATCCTTCTACAAAGCTTAATTATTTTCAAAATTTTACCTAAATTCGTAGATCATAAATGCCCTTTCAGCGAGCTCGAGATGGCACTATTGGCTGATTATGGGGCCACGTTATTTATGGTTATATTTTACATGATATTAGGTGCGTTTAAACTTGACTGTATCTGCCGAGAGCACCACTGCTAACGTGCCTTAGAGACATTTTCAATTTAGGGGTACTTTCGACCATTCTGGGCATTTTGAACATCTACATCTACAGCCGGCGCTCGTTGCGCAATCGATATCTATACCAACTTGCCTACGAGGTCTTCGAGCTGGTCGATAGCATTAGGTAACCGATTTCTGAATAACTAAATTTAATTTGTCCAGTTATATCCTCACTTCGATAGGGCGGGGCAGCGCCTTGTTAGGCGGAACTTTTAAGGACCCGATCACCGTACACGATTGCTTCTTCGCGGTAGGGTATCCAAAATTACCCAAATTCTCATTTTCAGAAGTACTGGGTGCACTCGTTGATTCTCGGCATGGAATGGCCCTGCTACATGGTCATTCTGATGTCGTTGGAGCGAATTTTGGCCTCGGTGCGCCCAGTCATCTACAAGAAGTACTTCTCGGGCCCGTCAAAGCTTTACTTTGTACTCGTTGTTTTTCTTCTTGGATTGGTACGTTAAAACTACACCTCTATTGGATTCCCAAGAAATTTCTGCTAGCTGAACTCCCAGAAAACGTTACTTTTTCAGATATCGTTAGCTATTGGCGGATACTCATCATGGGGCGACATGACACCAAACTTGACCCGCCACTGTGCCATTATTTCTTCGACGAGTATAGGTATGTTGGCGAAATGTCTAGACCTAAGCTACTGCTTATTCGCCAATAACCTATGAACTAAACGCAACTTTACCACCCCTCCAAAACACACCTAATTACAGCCTATTCAACGTTCCACTTCGCGTTCCCAGTAGTCGCCTACGGGGTCTCATTCATCTCCCTGCTCAGCGTGTATGCGGCTTCAAGCGTAGGTTCCCGGGTTCAAGCCTCTAAAACAAACGGCTTCAGCACGTCGAAGGAATCGCTGGCGATCGGCTACAAAAGGTGCGGCTGATGATCTGCATCTGCGGCATTTCGATAGCCCTCGTATCAATGCCGTCGATTGTAATGATCGGCATCAAGTAAGCGTGAAAATTCGTAGATTGCCGAAGAGTTAGCAAAGCTTCGAAGTTTGTTTTCACTCATTTCGTTTTCCAGATGGAACGTCTGGACAGTTAGCGATTTGGTGGTAGCCCTAACCTATGGAATGCCAGGGTAGGAAAGCTACAAAAAAAGCATAGCTCTTTTCTAGTTGTCTCACAATAGCCAATACAGTGATCAACCTGGTCTTCCGCCCAGACTACCGTGACATATTGATCCACAGCTTCTGGTGAGTTTGTGATCCTCAAAAACATGAAATGTCGGTTTTGCCAACCCTACGATATTTTCTAGGTGTTCATCCTGCGGTCAGCGCAAGCCCCGAATAAGCGTCACGCCATACAACTCGCAACATTCCCACTTTCACATCCCTCACACCGTCATGACCACGATGAAGTAAAATGGCCCTATCATTCCTCGCGCATAATTTCCTTTGCTCAAAACGCGGTTTTATGAAACTACGGGTGGCGAATAAATAACTATCGTACTTCCGGCAAAACAAATGTCGTAGCCTGACGGGGTCAGTCTTTCTCATTTCTAAGCGACGCTAACAAAGCGTGTAAGCCTCAGAAATTACCTAATAACTTTGCAACTGTGGGCAACCATGTGCGTGCAATCCCCTGCAAAACGTACTAAAATAGTGAAAGTGTTATTGAGAAGACAACAGATAGCAACAGAACAAGTGAAAGGGTCTGGGCGTGAAGGTGACTATAATATCCCTGTTAACAATGCTTAGACCCGGGTATTTGGCAACAATTATTGTAACTGAATAATAAACTAACTAAGGCTCACAATGTTAGGAGCAGTGCAACAAATAAAAAGCTAATAAAAAATCAAGCAGATTAGGTGCAGGTGGTGAGCGCAGCCCCTAATGTTTGATAGCTTTTCCCGACGAGGTAGAGATCGTGCGTTGGCGCTCCTCGTTGGCGAAGTAGTCACCGCTGCACGACTCCTGCAACAAATAAAATAAATTGTAAAAAAATGGCTCTTACACGTTGGCAACCGTTGCACTTCCAAATGCCGGCTGAGTTCTTCTTGATGGCCTGTTTCTGGCAGAATGGACAAAGCAGCTCTCCCGGCTTCAGCTAAAAAAAACACAGGCAATGTCTAATACTGAAATTCCTCACCTCTGGCTTACGGTCGGGCTTCCGTACGGGTGAAGTTGAGAAGATATCAGGCTTCTTGTTTCGGATGCGCAACTAAAAGGGAGGAATTTCAGGTGTTGTCATAAATCGGTATTACCGAGTTTTTTCTACCAGCCGCCGGCTGTCCCTCTTTGGTGTCGGGGCCATTGACCCCTGGCGGGAGCGGCCAAGCTTCTGGATTCTCGACCGGGCGAACTCGTTCACCAGCATCGTCCACTTCAACCTAAAATATAAAATTAGTTCAAGGCCACGAGGAGCTTTGCAGACCTTGTCACTTTCACGCAGGACACGCACGATGATACGAGGATCCTGCGTCATGTGACGGACACGCGGGAACTGCATGATCATCCCAATTGGCACGTATCCATCAGTATTCATGTGGCGACGAAGCCAGAAGTCCTGTTGCAGGTTATCGTTGGTGAAGTAGTATTCCCTAGAAAGGGTTATTCGTCAAGAAAGACAAAACTACAATTGCTTGCGGAGTGCGCCGACGTCGATAGTTGGCGAAACCATTGGCGAGAACAGCACCGGGGTGTGGACCGGGCTGTACGGCATTTGATTGTAGAAGACTGGAGTTTGCGGCGATGGTACGGGAACTGGAAAGAAAAGCGTAAATTTTAGAAATCCCGGCTCTTCCGCATGCTATACCGCTGTAAAGTAGCCAAAACGTGTGATCGCATTGTGATTCGCAGTGACCTAGTCAAGACAGTCTAGCCAAGGACAAAACACACACAGAGTCGAAAAATCGCTCATTATAATACAAAGACGCGCAAAATAAAACATTGCGAAGAAAAAGTCAGAAGCTTCCCCAAAAAGCTTGTTACTCTAAAAACCGACCCATCGGCGGATACATTGGATATGGCTGCGGGTAGTAAATCGGCTGAGCGACCGGATAGTGCGGAGCCGGCGGGAAAGGCGGACGGCATCCAAAAGTGGCCATGTGTTGCTTGGCATGTCGAATAGCTTCCAGCGCCGGATCGTTCGGATGATGTCCCACGTCGTATGGAGGACCGACAGCCTTCTGGTAGTACTTGTTATATTGAGCGTCCATCATTCCCATGTAGTCAGTGTCGGGCTCGCAGTCCTAAAAATGAGATTAATCAATGCTCCCCACCAATTGAAACTACCTGAATCTCTTCCCAGCCCGGCAGAGGGCCAAGAGCACGACGTTCAGCATCCGACATCTTCTTCGGTACGTAGTTGTTGCGTGGTTGGTAACGGTTATTGTTGTTAGCAACCTGGTAGGCTCCATATCCAGTGCCTTTTCCCTGTGGAGGGGCACGGTAGTTCTAAAAAAAGTAAAAAAAAAAACTGACAATATTTAAACCTGAGGCGTAGCACCGGTGTTGTGCTTTGGGGCCGAACGGTTCGTCTCGGTGGCAGAAGCATTGGTGACCTAAACGACCTATCAATGTTTATTTATGAATATACCGTGGTAGAGTCCTTCTTGCCAGACTCCCCCTCATGCACGTCATTTGTTGACAGCTTCTTCTCAGCTCGAGTATTAAGTGACTAAAAAAAATGAGTAATATGAGTGATAAGTAAACGTACGTGAGTATTACGGCGAGTTTCCGGCTTACGATACTCAACCTCTATTTCAACTTTCTTCCAGTTTCCTTTGCCTGGCTTCTTCGAGCCAGCCTCATCGGGCGACTGGAAAGAGAATTGAAAGATTGAAAAAAAATACCTTCTTCGAGACTCCTTCACTAGAGGGCGATGTTTCAATAGTCGTTTTCTCGTCCGCCAACTCGTCACCGAGCGTAGGCCATTCCGTATTTTCGGGCGCCTTGGGCGGCTCTTCCGTAGTGACCTGAATAAAATATTCACTAGTAAAAATAATACTACCTCTTTCTCTTTAGCATCAGGCAATGGAGTCGCTTCCTTTCCCTCATCAGCAACCACCGTCTCTAAATTACAAAATCAAGGAGAAAATGAGGAACCAACCCGTCTTTTGGGCTTCTTTGAACCACGCGTTGACTGTTGGGAGCGGAGCCGGAAGGAGGACGGGAGAATCGAGGGCCAGATCTTCACTAGCGGCTTCGAGCTGCGAGGCAGAAGACTGCGTCTTCTCCTCCTTTTCCTTCTCGTCGCGCAACTTCTCTCCATCCTGAACAGGGTCCCTCCTCGGCTGAGTCAAGGGCTTCTTTGGCTGGGCCTTCTGTTGTTGGCGCTCCTGCTGCTCCTGCTTCTTTTGTAGGGCCCGTTGGGCGCGACGCTGATGCTTGCTGACGACGAGGACACTATCTGGGAGTAGATCATCCGGCGGAGACGGCTCGGGCTGGGTGACGACGGGCTTTTCGATAGCTTTCTCGAGCGCGGGCGCGATTTTGGTGGAGGCGGGTTGCGGTGGTTCAGCAGCGGCCGCTGCGCCGCCTTTGACCACGTTGGCGAAGGTGGGCATTTAGCTGAAAAAGAGGCTAAGGTAAATGCCGCAAGTCAGGAGGACATAGAAAAAGGAGAAATGTATAGTAATAACTGTTAGTAAAACGTTCTGTTCAACAACGGAGTAGTAAAGAAAGCAAAATGGGCATCTTTTTAGCGAATTCATGCTAGAAAACGAATGGTAGAAAGGTAGAACCGGCAAGGTACGTTTTTAGAACTAGACGCTTTTGCGATCTTTTTGGGGGTGGCAACAAAATAACGGTAAAACAAGCGTTGCAGCTGTGAAAAAACGCATTTGCGATAAAGAAGCAAGTTTTAAAGCAAGAAGGGAGCTAAAAAGAATTCTTTTAAAACAATTTAGGCCGTTGCAAATTTTTTGGAGGCAGCGGGACAAACCGTAATCGCGCGGAAGTGTGGTGTTTTCTAAAAGTTGCCCCTCTTCCCGGCTTTAGTTTTCGCGTTTCATTTTTATTTTCATTTTGTTTACTTATTTTTCTTGTTTTCGTGGTGTTTATTTTTCATTTATTCTTTCTTTGATCACTATCGACTGTTTCAGATGTCTGATACCGAGCGCCCACCGGTACTCGACCAAGACCGCGTTGCCAACGACTTCCTCGCCCTTCTTCGTGGAGACTCCTATCTTTCGTCGGGAATAGCGGCCATTCGAGTCCTCTACGATATACTGAACAACACAGATGGTAAACTAGTCTTATCTGCTCCAAATTAACAACCGTTCAGCCTCGACGACCTTCCAAGTAATTGCTGAACTGGAGTCGGCGACCTCAGCCATGGCCAACGCTGAGCAGGCCAGCCTGTGCGTCTTGACAGCGTGTGAAATTTTTACCAGGTACTTGATTAGATGATTAATAACCGATATTTTTAGATACGTCACGTTGACTCCCAGCGAAATACTCGACAATCGTGACTTCCGGGTTGTGCTCGGATTCTACCGCAATCGAGGTAGCAATTCTAAAGTTTCGAGAATATCCCTTTTAGCGTACCAGTTCCTGCAACGGAGTGCAAATTCGCCGAATTTCATCGCTCGAATAGCATGTGCTTTTATGCCACGCGATGGGGTAGTTTTACCTTTTTTGGCCGATATTTGAATTTAGACGGTGCTCGTGCATTCCTACAGCAAGGTCGTCCTCCGAGTGCTCGCGACGGCCAAGATGAGCAATTCAATCGGCTCGAAGTTCCGCGTGTTCGTCACCGAATCGCGGCCCGACTTTAGCGGACGCCGGATGTACGAAGAACTGGTCCGGCATGGCTTTGACGCGACGCTAATCCTCGATGTATCTGTAGGGTCAGTTTCTCTAACTTGTGTCCCATTTTTTCCTAGATCGCTAATGTCCAGCGTGGACGTCGTCCTGATAGGAGCCGAGGGCGTGCTCGAGACTGGTGGCATTATCAATAAGGTTTGATCGGCAGACTTCTTCAAATTTTCTTAGATGGGCACTCTGAATATCACCGACAGCGCGAAAGTGATGAATAAGCCGGTGTACGTCGTTGCGGAAAGTATCAAGTTCGTCAAGAAGGCCCCGATGAGCAAACGAGAGATCACACATATAGCCTTGGTATCCAGTCCTCAACTTCTCGAATTCTTTTTCAGTATCCACAAAAGCCAATAAATATGTCGCTCAACATCACCGAGGCGCGGGTTGGTTTTGGCCGTACCCGACTTAGAAGTTTCTTTTAGGATGCTAGCGGATTATTCCGTCGGTTTGAGACCGACTACAATAATGACGATAAACAGAATCATTATCAACAGGTTAGCGTTAATTTCTGGCCCTGATGTTTATTTTTCTCCAGGTTGATTATTCTCCGCCCACCAATATAAATCTGATCATCACCGACCTTGGCATCTTTCCGCCCGAAGCTGTTGGCGGGGAGCTCGTAAAACTGTATGCCTAATTCATTTGATTGATTTGAGATTTGGACTGTTTTCTCTGTTTAATAAAGATTTTTATGATCGATTGCTTGACAAGTTGAACTGTGTTTTTGGCAGACATCATACTTACTTAATTTTATGCTTTTCCGCATGATCAAACACTTTTAGGTTTCGGTCTTGGTTACCTACAGGGTAAGAAGGGTGATTCGCGATGTCGTTGCTTCAGAAGATTGCCGACATCGAAAATGAGGTATCTTAATTGTTTTGTGAACGTAACCGCTTCAGATGGCCCGAACCCAAAAGAACAAGGCTACAAACGCGCATCTTGGGATCCTGAAGGCGAAGCTCGCGAAATTACGAAGAGATTTGATTACGCCAAAGGTAGCCACCAGATTTCCGCTTTTCATCCAATTTTAGAGCAGCGGTGGCCCGAAGGAAGAAGGCTTCGACGTGGCAAAGACTGGTGATGCTCGAATCGGTTTTGTAGGTAGGAGAACTCGACTTCGGTGATTGACTGCTTTAGGGTTTCCTTCGGTCGGCAAATCTACGCTGCTGTCGAACCTTGCCGGCGTCTATTCGGAGGTTGCTGCGTACGAATTCACAACGTTGACAACGGTGCCCGGCGTTGTGCGCTATAAGGTTATTGTTTCAGAAATTATCACTTGTACTTCAGGGCGCAAAAATCCAGCTGCTCGACCTTCCGGGGATCATCGAAGGCGCCAAAGACGGCAAGGGACGAGGACGGCAAGTAATTGCAGGTATGAATTGTATCCGCTTGATGAAAATAATTTTAGTTGCGCGTACCTGTTCTCTGATCTTAATCGTGCTCGACGTTTCCAAACCACTTCAACACAAGCGATTGATTGAGTAAGATACCTATTTTGAACACTGAAATGCACAAGCTTAGGTACGAGCTCGAAGGCTTCGGGATTCGGCTCAACAAACAACCCCCGAATCTCTCTTTTAAGAAGAAGGATAAGGGAGGAATCAATTTGACAGCCTTGGTAATTATGCATTATTTGTTCTTCTAACGACCCTTTTCTAGGTACCACAAACCGAGCTGGATTTGGAGACTGTCAAGCAGGTGCTCGCCGAATACAAGATACACAACGCGGATATCACCTTGCGGTACGTGCAAATAACTTTCAAAGCTGGTTTTTTTAGTTATGATGCAGGCGTTGAGGACCTAATTGATGTCGTAGAAGGCAATCGCGTTTATATCCCTTGTCTCTACGTTCTCAACAAAATCGACGCCATTTCGATCGAAGTTTGATTTTTATCCATTCTTTACGTAAACTTTCAAGGAACTAGACGTGATCTACAAAATCCCGCATTGTGTCCCAATATCGGCGCACCACAAATGGAACTTCGACGATTTGTTGAACAAGATTTGGGTATACCTGAATCTCGTCAGGATGTAAGGCCGATTTTTTTAATCATCGAATTTAAATTTAGTTACACAAAGCCAAAAGGTCACTTGCCCGACTACTCGGCTCCGATCGTGCTCAACGCAAATACGAAAACGGTTGATGATTTGTGCATCAAGATCCACAAGTCACTTCAGAAAGATTTCAAATGGTGCTTGTTACGCCAAATTCTTTCATTCCCTAATTTAGCGCTCTTGTCTGGGGCTCATCGGCCAAGCACAACCCGCAAAGAGTTGGAAAAGAGCATGTGCTGGAGGACGAAGACGTCGTACAAGTCATCAAGCGCATTTGAGCGCGCCATTTTAGCATTTACAAGGTTTCCATCTATTTTATTTACATAAGCCCCTTCTTATGTTATCTGTTGACTGTTTTGTAATAAATCTATCATTTCCCGCGATTTATCGACTTGCTTTGGCAGCTCAGCCGGTAAGCTGCCACATATCTATCAGCAATCAATCAACTGTAATAATTTTGCTGTGGTATCTGTCCGTCCGTCTGAAGCCGAATTGCATTCCAAAGGGAAAGGATCCAGGGCTGGTACCAAAACGATAATTTTTGTCTGATGGGTACCCATACAAAATCTATGAGTACCCATACATTTTCTATGAGTACCCATACAAATTCTATAGGTAGCAATAGGGTCCAGGAACAGGGATACTTTGCAGGTGCCAAAATTGGTTCCCGATGCTTAGAACTATCGAAAAGCGTTCGTGAAGCTGGGCAGTCGGACATGCTCTTTCTAATGAAACTGCTTATACAACAATAATAGTGGTCATGGGTGGCCATAGAATTTGTATAGGTACCCGTAGTTTTTGTATGGGTACCCATAATGGGGGCCCATATTTCCGTTTTGGTACCAGCCCAGAGTTTTACTTCAACGGTTCTAGCTGAATTCGACCACGTTGTGTCCAAAATGATCAAATCAAATCTAAAAACATTTTCATATAGTTCCAGTTACAGTTTTTTGCTTATGGCTGTCCTGGGATTGGGACCGGCGCTAGTTTTTCTTCTAGACTCTTTTCCTCGGCGCAATAATGGTTACGAGCCGATATTCGCGGCATGAGCGGTGATACTAGTGACGTTCGCCCGCACCGCCTTTCAAATTGACGCTTCTCACGTTACTGTGAACCAAACAACTCTTTAGAATTTACTGAACCAACGACACACTACTCGATGGGAGTTGAAGACCCCGCTTTTTTGCAGCTACAACACGTGAGACCGCTTTTGCTTCCCTGTGATATGCTAATTTTAGGAAAAGGAACGTCTCGCTCAGCGATGCGCTTTGCTCGAGCAATATTTAGAGGAGAATGAGGGAACGCCGACGCCAGCGAATGACAGCAACGCTTTGGCAGCTCAGATCGCCGAATTACAAAGGGAAAAGGAGATCCTTCTAGTCAATTCGGTACCATTTACGGACTATTCTTATTTTGCTTAGCAAAACGTGTTGTCCGAAATCAACCGAAGGCATGCCGACACGGAGAAGAAGCTCGAAAAACGAATCGCAGTTTTGGAAGAAGAAAACAGGGTTGGCCGTTTTTGCGATAGAAAATTTTGGCTTTAGTATCTAGTCAATATCAAGAATGAGAGTTTTCAAAACGAAACTCGGACGGACCGGGAACAAGAACTGCAAGTTGCATTGGTAGACTTTTACCTATTTTCGGTAGACGTTTTTTAGGATGCACTGAAGGAGCAGAATGAGCAACTGTGCGCAGAACTTGAAAGACTTCGCTCTGAATTAAACGAGAAAATTGACGAGAACAGTTCATTGGTGAAAGACTGCGGCGAATTGCGTGAACAGAAGAAAGAATATCAAGAAAAGCTTGAGGTATTTTCCCGCTATATGGCAACGCTTTTTCTTTAGTTCCAAATGGATTTGAATCGCCAGCTCCAAGAGTCACAGACCGGAGGCCTCGTCTTGGAAGGGGCTGCGCGCGGAAATTCCATGTTCGGCGAGGTAAGGTTGTGGCAGTGGCAGCCTTTTACGCATTTCTAGTTTGTTGACGAGCGCAAAAACTTGGAGAAAGATCTGAAACGTATGCACCACGAGCTGAAATCGCTCCGTATCCAGAATGCTGCACAGGCCGGCGAGGTATCTTTCTAAGAATTTTGGGGCCGTGTTTTTGCCCTATGCCCGTGTTTTCATTGATCGAATTTTATTCACTGGATTTTTCAGCTCGACGAGATGCGCCGGCGAGCCAACCAAAACGTGGGCATCACTTCGGGCCCTGCCAAAGAATGTCGATGCCAAGATGTCGAACAAGAGATCGAGACATTGCGCAACGAAAACTCTTTCTTCGAGCAGACTCTGCTGGCAAAGGTCGAAAATGGACTCGCTTTAACCTCAACGCAAGAAGCTCAGAGATTCAAGTTGGCTTGGTCTGGCAATCGCATCAAGTTCTTTTTAGAGCGGACCTCGAGTTTTTGAAGAGCAATCTCACGCGCATGAGAAACGAACGTGACCAGGCAAAGGATACATGCATCATGTTGGGTTTTAATTGCTTGCAGTTTACTGTTCTTTTCATTTAGCGAGCAGAACCGGTCGCGCAACGCAGAGCGAGAATGCGCCCTGCTGAAGACTCAAAAGGATCGTCTACAGGCTATTGTCGATGATCATCCACATCGGATGGCAACCGTTATTTCTGGTATCGAAATCGGCGACATGGAACTAGTTTTCGCATTTTAGGCGACGATACTGCGACGGAACAACTGCTAGCGCCACAAAAACCTAAGCCATTTACCACACCGATGGCCGACGCCCCCGGAACCTCTCGTCTACCACGACCAGCCGCTGCTTCAACAACCTCGCAGGCAGTATGTAGATGTTGTTTTTCATGTCTTCCGGTTTAGGCGCTGATGGGTATGCTTCAAAGTGAAAAGCGCGCTGGCAAGGTTAAGGCGACTGTGGTTTCCGATGTAAGTCGCATTAATTATTCTTCTTATTTCTCTTTGAGGCCGACATCCTATCCCGTACATTGAAGACAGGCGAGAAAGAGAATCAGGTTTGCCCCGTTTTTCGATGCCCCATACATTCCGCTTTAGCCGCGTATCGGGCCAGCCCAATCAGTGCAGAAGCCGGCGAAGACCATCACGCCGTTCTTTTACTCGACTCCCAAAAAGACTGCATCAAGCTGATTAACGGCGCAATATGTGTTTTTTGCTAATTACTTGATTGAGGAAATCTACCCCTGAACTCGTTTACTTTTAATGACTTGAAACCCCGGACTGTGATCATAATTTCGTCAGATAATCCTCGCAACCACTGAATGGGATAAACTGCTGTACCATTGACATTTATGAGTTTTTATAAACCGGCAATGAAGTGACAACTAGATTGTATGTTCGGTGTATTCACAATGGACGAGCTCGGCGGCGACGGAACCTGGATGGAGGAAAAGAAGGTTTTCGAGCAAGTTCTGACTTACCAATCAGAAGATTGCCCTTGCCGTCGTGTACAGCGGTGGCCGAGCAGCAAAGTTGTCGCCCATCATCGGTGTATGGTTCGGTCACCTGTGATTGCGTGTCTTGCCGATTTTTGGATCCTTACCTCGGCCGTCTTGTAATCGGCAGAGAATTGGATACGCAGCACCTAAAACATTCGATTTCATGACCCGGATTCTAGATTTTTATTGCAGAACAAACCTGCGATGGCGCTCTCTCGATACCAGCTCTGGGCTTCCGGTTGCACGACTCCAGTTCGCTCAGCTTACTCATCACCGGATGGGCGCCCGTCCAAAGATGGCCTGCAATTTAGACACATCCACAAACCATCGATCTCGCACCAGTTTTGTCCATGTAGAGGTTGTCGGGCGAGGTGAGCAGATCGATTTGTGAGATGAAAGAAATCGATTTGAAGTCCTAAAACATAGTTTGAATCGGCGGTCACGTTTTCTAACTTGCCAGTGTATTACCAACCTACCTTTGCCAAGTTGTACACCTTGACGCATTCGCTGTTCGGCGACGCGACGAACAGCACCATTTTCTTCAGGTCCACCCAAAGCCCGTTGGGTGAGCTGTCCCGTTCGAGCAACCAGTGCACGTCCTAGATTTTGTTATAGGTATAATTGAAGCTTTCCGCCAACCTGCCCGTCAAAATAGCCGATGCTGCCCGCTTTCAGTCCAAGCAACATCTCGATCAGGTTCATGCGGGCCGTCTGGAAAAAGAAATCTAATTAATTCTATTTCCCCACCTGCGCCGAGCCATCATTCGTAAATACAAATTTGTCCCTGCCAACCGCGAACACATCGTTTGGCCTAGAAAAAATACAGAAAATCGTATCAAAAACCTGATAAAGTTCTCGTGTTTGAACGTCTTCAGATGCGTGAGGCTGCGGTCGACCTTGTTGAATTCGAAGACCTAAAATTTTTTATGGTTTGAAAAATGCATATATCGGATTTCATTCGAATGATAATAGCACTAACGTACCTCGATAGAATGCGTAAATTCGGGCTGATGATGGTTGACGACGTACAGGAAAACCTTGCCATTCTCCACCCACGACGTGATGCCGTGTGCTTGGAATTTGGCCTACGTTTCGGGAGTTATCAAGTTTCAAAATATTTTTTTACCGGTTTATTCTTGATCTTCAGCTCGGTGGCCTTGTACTTGGTGGCGGGGTCGTTGAAGTCGTAGAGGAATATCTAAAATGTTAAAAAAAGGTATAACCGTTTTTTCTTCATACACACCTGAAAAGTAAAAGAAAGAGCATAGCGTTAAACTACAAGCTACAAACCTTTCCCTCGACGCCCGGCCTGGGCGCCATGTAGAAGATGCCGGAGGTGATGAACGCCAGGCCCTCCGACTCGAGATATTCAATATCTTCGGCTCCATTTACTAAAATTTGAGATTCCTCAAAAAACAAAGAAAGGTTAACCTGGTCCCTCGACGAGCTGACATTTCCCTGGGCGATGGTTGTAGACGCGCTTGTTCAGGTCGAGGAACCACCTGAAAATTAACAATTTTTACAGACAAATTGGATTAAAAAATATAAAAACGGTTCTTTCGCATTATCGGGGGGATATATAATGCAAAAGCACCAAAAAAATAAAAACGTACAAAACTTTTGCGGCGACCGCCAGCAATATGGCCAACAGCACCCAGGTGACAAGTTTGAAGAGCATCCTAAAAAGGTCTTTTTTTAAAGACGGAGAGTAACTTTATACTTTAAATTATTTTAAAAAAAGCGAGAACAAGTTTTATACTTTATCAATATTTCGTAAAGAAGAGAACCCGTTTTATACACTAAGCAAGCACCTCGCCAAAAACTCGGAAGTACCCAGGAAAACACTAAAAATCGTGGCAGTATCGTATGTACTAGAAGATAGTGGGTGACCTCTAAAATGTTACCGCCCCAACTTATCAATCACGCTAAACAGAACGGACGGCCGCCGTTTTTTGCCTCGGTAATTTTGTTAGGCGATCGGATGGGAGGGATGATAACCGATTTTCGGTCGCTGCTTCGCTGCTTTCCAAAAAAATAATAGTAATAATAACTTTTAAATAGGTTTTTCTTGTGTGTAAAAGTATAGGAAAACTTAAATGTAGGCTTATTAGGCTTCTAAATCTGAAAATCACTGTTCATAACTGTTTGTTAGAATTTTTTTAGGTTTAGAACGGCCTGACCACTTCATTTCGGATCTAAAACGCCTTCAAAATCTAATAGAATAGTTTCTAAAGTTTTATTTTCCTAATTTGGCAGAACGAAAAGCTTTTTTTCGATTTTTAAAGTATGCCGTATGCTTAATCTTAATAAAGTACACCAGGGTTGAAAAGCCGCTTCGCGACTTTTCAACCCTGGCCCCGTCAAACCCTCATAATTTCCTTCACTTTGCATACTGGTCTTCGATTCTCCATTTCGATGCGAATAATGAAAAATGTCACTCTCTCGCTCATTATATAGGCGCCCGCGACTTCCGGCCTATGTAAATGGGTTCCTACCAAAGAGGGTTCCCGATTTTACAACAAAAATTAATTTTAATGTCGAAAACTACGAATTTTGTAAAATCTGATATACGTGCATTCATCTCGTGGCCATTACGCACCTAATGACGTATCATCCGTAGGTTCTGTTCTATTTCGCGGGGGGGAAAAAACTGTGCGGGGGAAATTGCTTCGCGGAATTTCACCTTTTCGCTATTTTCTCGGAATTTTTGCAAAGCCATTCGATAGAGCATCAAAATATACTAAGGTTTTTGTTTTGCTAAAATTGTAATATACAAAGTTTTAGCAAAAACAAAAAACTATTGAACTGGTGCCGAATGTTAGTTTTCGGCTTTTCGCCAGTTTTCGATATTTTGAACCCGTCTTCGATAGAGCTCAAAATATACTAGAGTTTTAATTTCATCTTAAAATTTGTTTTATAAAATAGTTATAGCAAAACAAGGTTTATACGGTGTTTCCACATGGGATCGTGGAGTCGAAAGCTAGTTTTCGACATTTTGGATAACTTTCAAAAATTTCTTGAATGCCTTCGATAGAGCGTCAAAAATATACTAGAGTTTTAATTACAACTCAAAATAGCATCATGTAAAGGTTATAACAAACGAAGAAAATTTCCCCCCGCACAGTTTTTTCCCCCCCCGCGAAATAGAACAGAACCCATCCGTAGCCTAATAGCCTTTCCTCCTTGAGATATCCTCCGGACAGACGCGGAGTTGCTGCAAGTGGCACACCACACAGACACTATTTTTTTATTTATAGTAGGATTTCTAAGCCTTAAAAGAGTCAATTAAAATGTAATTTCTGGTTTCTAGACCGAAATATAGCATTTATAAGACCGGGAATACACAAGAATCCAGTTAAGTATCAAAATACTACGGTGCAAGCCTATAAAAATAGCTTAAAATTGTTTTATTTGTTTAGAAATTTTAGTATAATTCAAAACTTTAGGGCAAATACGACGCCAATTCACCCAGAATAAATATTAAGTTCTAAAATACGATTAAACGCGGTAATCCAATACCATATCCGCTCTATTTGCGTGCACTCGTGTGTAGCAAGGGGGGCAAGATAAATAACAATTTTCGTGGGTCTATCCACGGGGTGATGGCCATTTGTAAAGATCAGAGATTGGGTGATGGGTCGTCCCTCGTGCCCTTGGCGTTTTACAACTCAAAGGAGAAAACTAGAGAAAAAACTAGAAAAGGAGCTGAAACTAGGGTTTAGGACCCGAAAAAAAGTTTGTTTTTTAGGTTTCGGTTACGGTACTCCAATTTCAAGGGGGTGAGGAAGCGCTTTTGAAGGCTAGCACCGATTTTTTTTTTTTTTTTTTTTTCCTCAAAATTTTTGATAAAAAAAAAAAACTTTTTTTGGCTTTTTTTGCCCGTTTACGACTTGTATTTGGAGAAAATGCGTTTCACGCGTATCTTGGCTTCTTTCATAGTTGTGTCGATATCTAATGGATGGAAGGAGTCGGTTTTAGAGCTTGTCAGGACCTTTAGAGGCTCATTTCCGTTATATTAGCTTTTAAGGTGCTCATAGCCGAATTCCATTTTTAGGACGCTATTTTCAGTGCGTAAATCGTAAAATAAGCCAGGCCCGAATAGGGCAGGAAATAGCGCTGGAAAAAATAGGACCTTTCTCTCGGCATCCGGGCAAGCAAGCGGTGATCCTTGCGGAAAACTAGCTAAAAACGAGCCATCCGTTTCACAATTTTAACCCCCCAAAAAATTTTAGTTTCCAATTTTCAGACCAGTCAATGCCCTGAAAAACCAATACCATTCATCGGCGGCTGGAGCTTTTGGCTTCAAAGAAGCGGCTTTTACCCGAAATGGTCTTTGTTTGGCAAATCCCTAAAAGTCGCTCCAGGAAGACTTCAAAAAGACCGTATCACCCCCAATTTTCGGGGCGCGGCGTGCAAATTGCCATTGTACCGCGTGTCTCTGGGGTCGAGAGAGAGAGAGAGAGAGAGAGAGAGAGGCCCAGCTGGCCACCACCTCAAAGGGTGCCAGAAAAGAGGGACTCCTAACCCCCGGAAAGTATTGCGTCTTTTCGCGGGTTGAGAACGGCTGGGTCCTTTGATGTTAGGGCCCCGCTGCCGTCAAGAGGAGCATTTGGGAATTGCGGGAATTGGTGCGGGAGGGTTTTGAGGATAGCTAAAATGTGGCTTTGTTTCGTTAACTGGCGGTTTTACGTCCAATAGTTTGGCACAGGCTAGCAAAGATTCTTTGCGGAAATTAGTGCCGTAGTCGGGCCGGCTAGCAGTTTCCTTTGTGGAAATTTCGCTAGCTCGCAGGGATCCTTTATGAAAAGCTATGAAAACAAGGCGTGCTAGCGGAGATCTTTTGAGAAACTCGATATGTGCCCGAATTCTTTGGAAATCTAGGCGCCATGGTAAACTTGCAAAGATGCTTTAGGAAAATCGGGAGAATCTGGGGGAAAATTATACTTGACCGGTTTTTTTTGACATTCCAACGATTTCCCCTACAACTACGCAACGCTCCAAAGTCCGTCCTAACCTGGCTAGCCTTTTCTTGCCCTTTAAAATCCGTCCCGTCACCAGGACGCGCCCTTCCGGATCGTGATGATGCATATATTTTGGCTTGTGCCCCCCCTCCTCGCGCTTCTTTTTGCAACGTGGCCCTCTCGAATTTTAGTGCGAATTTTCGGGATGAAAAAGACCATTCTATTTCGGCTCCCTAAAATTGGCTGGTTGCCAGCGATCCGGGCTGGCTAATTATTATGCCCTCTGTGCCTGTCAGTTGGCTATCGGAGCGTGGCGGAATCGGGGTGGCGGATAGCCCATACCGACAAGGGAATCGTCGGCTTGCTACAGTAACGCAGCATGGCCATAGGAGTTACGCGGAACTGGGTTGCTCAAATTGACTAGGGGGATTTGGAATTTTAAAGACCGTCAGAACGATGAAATTCCGTTGAGCGCAAGAAAGTTGCGCACCGGGCGGGAGTCGAACCCGCGATGGTTCGCTCCACAGTCGGACGCGCTAGCCACTACACCACAGGGCCAAGTGGGGAAGGGAGTCAGAGACGCCCCAAATCCCAGAGGGCCTTTGGCCAGTACGGGGCACCACTAATGACGCATCTCTCTACGCGTTCTTGGGGGCAGCACCCTCGGGGTGACAGTGCGCGTTCCATCGTTCTGGTAGTCTTTAAAGGATCTTTGTTACCCTGCCTCCGAAAGTTAGTTAATTTTGCGAACAGCTGCTTGAATTCCTAAAGTATCCCTGCTAGCCTGTTTTTGGGAACTTTTTTCTAATTTGGCGGCTAGCCAGAGAAACTCTCAAATAATGCTTGGGCTTAGGCTTATGGACGCGATTAGGAAGCTAGCTAGGTTAGGATACCTTAAAGGGATGCCCAACCTTTTCGGGGCTCAAGAAGCAAAAACCATGCCGCGGGCGGGGGTCGAACCCGGGACCACCGGTTTGTAGGCCTGGATGCTATCCATTAGGCCATAGTGGCAAGCCATTGCGTGGGATGGGGACGCCACAAGAGGGAAAGGTGTCCGAATTCTGTGCGGCAATGGCGCCCCATTGCCGCACAAAATTCGCGCGTCATTTGTACTGACCGGAATCCATAACTATATATTTGCCCGCAAAACCTTGGGTATCCCTTTAAGTAGCTTAAGGTGGGTGTTGAGACGGTAATTTTCGATTCCCTGGGGTTCTCTGTACTTTTAAAATATCTACGCGCCGCAACGCCACGGTCACGCGTTTACGCGTATCTTTGAGTAGTTTCAAATCAGTTTACGAGAGCTTCGAAATAACCCCGATCCCCGGATTCCGTATCACAACCCCCATCCGCATCCGACCGCTATTATTGCTGGGCACCCCCCCCCCCCGCCCTGACTCATCCACATTGCCAACCCTCGCTTTTTTCCAATTGACTCACCATAGCTCGGGGCCCTTCCTTTCCTTTCTGTGGAATGTAGATTGGCAGACAAGATTTGGAGGGGGGAAGGGACACCCGAGTGTTATCTCCTTGGCCCATCTAATCATCATACACCGTAGATATCAACTGGAAGAATGTTGAGAACCGTGCCGGCCAGTGCCCAGCAAGCAGGGGAAAAGCCGTTTGCGAGAGAGAGAGAGAGAGAGAGAGAGAGAGAGAGAGAGAGAGAGAGAGGATAAAAATAGAGCTAGAGGGTTGTGAAATCGAGGAGCAACGC